ATTGTGTTCTTACGACCTACGCTGAGACGATAACTCTTTTTAAATTTTCCTTTGTTTTCCTTGTTTTCCACTGACTCAAGCTTTAAACTTCTCTGTCTCTACTTCAGTACTGGAAGTACAAGTTCCGGAATGCCTCGATTAATGTCACGGATCTGGACGAAGAACTCACCCCGCTGCAGAAGAGCTTCACCTGCGATTTGGCCCTGACGGCCACTATTTCGGGCACAATCTTCCTGCTGCTAAATGCCGTTTACGGCCACCATGTGTCCCTGCGCTTCAAGATGCTGGGCACGCTTTCGATTATCCTTGTCCTGTTCGGGGTCACCACTGGCTTCGTGGAGGTTAATACGGACAAGTGGCAGGAGCAGTTCTTTTTGATCACGCTCATCATAGTGGTGCTGCTAAACAGTGGGAAGTCCTACTATTAATTAAATAATTAACCAAATAACATTGCTCTCCTGCAGTATCTGCGGCCACCATGTCGGGGGCCCTTTACGGAGTCGTAGGACTCTTTCCATCCGAGTACATCACCGCTGTGGTCAGCGGACAGGCCCTGGGCGGCGTCTTCACGGCCTTGGCCTTTATACTAGTGCTTGCTTTGGACACGGGCCCCAATACCACCGCCTTCATCTTCTTCATCCTGGGCGGAGTGCTAGTTTTGCTCTGCATTGTGTGCTACGTGATCATGGCGCGTCAGCCCTTCTTCAGGTATTACCTAGAGGGTGGCGACAAGTACAAGGTCATTCGAGCAGTGCCGTCGCACAGCCGCAATGAAGGAGCCGAGGGCTTGCCGCTTGAGCCAATTCTGAAGCAGGTCATGTCAAAGATATATCTGCATGTGATTTGCATGGCACTGCTCTACACCACCACACTGTCGGTGTATCCAGCGGTTACAGTGCTAATGCAGTCGGAGCATGAGCACAGTGAGTGGACAGGTGAACTAAAAACATATCTCCCATTTAAACTCCCTTCTAAAAATAAATTCCTTTCAGATGTTTACTACCTGCCCGTGGTCAACTATCTGATCTTCAACTGTGGCGACTACTTTGGGCGTATTTTGACTGGCTGGATAGAGCGACCCGTCAACCAGAATACTTCGCTGCTATTTATTGTAATTCGCATGGCGTTCGTTCCGTTTTTCTTGTGCTCCAACTCCAGCGAACACAATTTTCTGCCGATCTTGGTGAAGCACGACTACTCCTTTATTGCGATGATGGTCATGTTTGCCTTGTCCAATGGCTATTTTACCAACATACTGCTCATCATGGCGCCAAGAAGCGTGAAGCAGCACGAAAAGGAGCTTGCTTCCTCCATTATGGCTGCCGCTTTGAGCTGCGGCATGGCTGTGGGGTCGCTGCTTAGCCTGGTCTTTGTTCAGATGTTGTGATAAAGCAAAAACAAAAACAATTAGTCTGCCGATGGTGCCTTAGAAAAGTATAGAATCTTTAAGCTTTATAGTGTTATTTTACCTAATATTGTTTCCATACCATATGTGTAATTCATTTTTAACTCCAAATTGTCAATTTTTCTGAGTGGTTCCAATTTGTTATTAGTTTCCGAAAGATTTTTATCAAGTTTACTGTACCATATTATTACCTAGCTATAAGTTTTAAAATTTTGCATACCTCCCTAAGAACAATTTTTTAGCAAATTTTAAACGCTGTATTTATCTTGGTTTAACGTTTATTATTTTTTCTGCGGATCACAACAACAATGTGGATTAACTTTATTTATTTTCCTTTTGACATTATTATTTGATTTAACTGATGAATTCCATTGTAACCATTGACTGCAATTGATTTAAAAATGTACATATTTTACTTTTATTTTTTATTTACCGCCCGCCGAAAGAATGTTTTAGCGGGCTTCAAAACTATCAATAATCTTAAAGCATACTTTAGGGGTTCTTCTGATTTAAATAAATCTTGTAGCATACTGTTGGGGTGATCAACTCATTTAATTGTTTTAGTCTTAGAAGCAAAAATGGCCAAAACCATGGGAAAACATGGCCAAAACAACGATTGCCGTACCTCGTTGAACTTGTAGAAAGATTCTCTATTGGTTGGCATTCAAACCAGGCACAGTAATATTTTGCTAAAAATTGAAAATTATCGTGACGTTATTTTCTTGATTTTTGAAGCAAATTTTTTGGCCGGAATCGGGGAAAAACTGGTGGGAACCTGTAGCTTAGGTCCTCGGGAGTCCAAAACAGTCCTTCTTTCGGCTGTGGGACCTGTATTAGCCGAGATATCCGGAAAAAAATATTGTTCAAAAAGTGTTTTTGCAGGATAACTCCGTTAAAACAGGACCCCTAGAAAAAAGCGTTATTGTTTTGAACTGCTGAAGACCTAAGCTAACGATTGCCATACCTTTTTACCCGATCCAGTACTGTTTGACACTTTTGAGCATGGCACTCCGAAAAATGCGCACTTTGTTATAGCCAAAACACAAGGATAACGTGGCCCAAGCCCGGAATGTCGTACCTCCCTGAACTCGTAGAAAGGTTCCCCATCGATTGGCATTCAAATCTGGAATTTTTTTTTCGAGCTAAAAATCAATAAATTTAGTGATGGTTAGTTCACTTAAAAATCGATTTTCGGAGTAAAAATTGATTGATCGGGATCGGAAAAAAGGTGATTGGGCTCGTTAGCTTAGGTTCCTAGCAGTCCGAAACAGTCGTTCTTTTTACTGTGAGTCCTGTTTCAGGGGAGTTATCCTGTAAATACGATTTTCGGAGTCATTTTAAAAAAGTGTTTTTGCGGGATATCTGTGACAATATGCGACTCACAGAGAAAATGTTGACTGTTCTGGACTCCTGGGGACCTAAGCAACCGAGTACCATCACATTTTTGATATATTTGTATCCCTGTAAGAAAATAGAATTTTGAAAAAATTACCAGGAGAACAAATAAAACAAAAATGCGATGGTTCTTGGCTGTTTACGTCCCCAGGAGTCCAAAACAGTAACTCTTTAGGCTGAGAATTCTGTAATAGCCGAGTTACCGGAGTAAATAAGTATCACCCCAAAGTTTATTTCCAGGATATCTCGGCTAATATAGGTACCACAGCCGAAAGAAGGACTGTTTTGGACTCCCGAGGACCTAAGCTACAGGTCCCCACCAGTTTTTCCCCGATTCCGGCCAAAAAATTTGCTTCAAAAATCAAGAAAAAAACGTGATGGTACCATCACGATAATTTTCAATTTTTAGCAAAATATTACTGTGCCTGGTTTGAATGCCAACCAATAGAGAATCTGTGTACGAGTTCGACGAGGTACGGCAATCGTTGTTTTGGCCATGTTTTCCCATGGTTTTGGCCATTTTTGATACAATTTAAGCGCAATATCTACCCGAGACTCAAACCATAAGCTTTAGCTGTTCATCCTAAAACTATGCCACAATAAATTTGTACATCGAATTAAAGAAAGGTGCCGCCTGAAAGTATACTTTAAAAGCAGTTGTACTTAAAAACCATAAAACTTATTGGTTGTTTAGCCAACACATTAAATGTCTTATGGTTGAACGTTGGGCTAAAAAAAACGTCTAAATTTCGATATTTTTTAAACTTATAAAAAATTCTTTTAAAAAAACGTTCTTTGGTGTATCTTGATAATCTGAATTCATTTTACTAGTTCTTTGGTGTATCTTGTTAATCTGAATTCATTTTACTAGTTTTGAGAAAACTTTATCCTTAATTCTTGCTAACATCAAGAGTTGTTTCGGTAAACGCTTTATAAGTGCCTTGGCAATATAATTGCAACAATGGGTTTCGGTTCCTCAATATGTATGTAGATTCATATATAACTCTAGGGTAAGTCTAAACATTTATTTGACTAGTTTATGTAATAGGCAACAACAAATTCGTTAGTTGCTCTGCTCAAAATGTATATTTCTGCTCTTCGTTACGATCTAAAATGTTTCCGTACTTATTTTCTTATTCATTCTTTCCCTTCGAAATCGAATACGCTGCTCTTCGGGTTACTGGTGTTTGACACCGATTTTGCTTTTCAATTTAAATTTCATTTTCGTATAAGTTTATGACTTAATTGTTAACTTAGCTTAATAAACACACGCAAACAACAAACATCGATTAAAGCCTTTCATTGAAGTGGGTGTAGGGTAATCGGGCGGGGTGGCATGCAAAAGATTTTCTGCAGTTAATAAAGCAACTACAACATCGACAGCACACAGATACGGATGCGGATAAAGTTGATCGAGTAATGCTTACATACGTACAACACCAAAACTATTTTCGAACCTCAGCCGAGTTGCTACAGTGTTAATGCCGGTGCATTGGATAAGTCAAGCCAATTTCACGATTAGACAGAGATAGACAACGAATGAGATAGACGATAGATGATAGACAACCAACATCAACATCGATGCAAACATTGGAGAAATGCACACGTACATACAGTCAGCAGCTAGATACCAACACTCTGGATATTGCTTGTTTCTTATGTGGATATATCGTATCTTTTGGAACGTTCTTAATATGAAATCTACGGCACACGCACATCAAAAATTACAACATCAATTGGGAGTAAGGGGGGACCAAATGCCACAACTTTTGGGTTTGCGTTTGGGGTTAGAGGAAGAGATTGAGTTCTTGAGTAAGAGTTATGGGAAATTACAACATCTAAGGTGGTTCTGCCGTCCAGTGAAATGTACTTTTACTTTCAACATTGTTTTGATTATTCTCGTAGTGTTCCTTTAGATTACGTACTCGTGTATGTATGTTGCGGGCTATGCTTGAATTTTGGATTTTGTTACAAGGCAGCTTGGGTTTATTTGATTCTCTTTCTTGTCACTTGTTCGATTACCTAAGGAGTGGTGTCTGGTCTACAAAAAAGGGTAAGTTACTCATCAAATTTGCACATTTTATTGTTTGATTGTCTCTTGTCTTTTTGGTGTTGTAGGTTGTGTGCGACACCGTCTGTGCGTGTGTGTGTATGCGTTGGACCAAGGTGAAAATCGGGACAAAATTAAAATAGTGGGGAAAACAATTCAATATAGAAATTTATTGGAGCTTTGTAACAACTAAATAAAGATTAGAGTAGAGACTAAATCAAGAATAAATAGCAACCAACCGAAAAATAATTGACTAAGTGTTGGCCTAGACTTGTGCTCGGCATCCGCTTTCGCGTCCGCCTTGTGTGCGCACGAGATTCATTCCACAGTTTATGCGAGAGCCTTAAACTAAGCGTATAAATTAGATCGATTAAAACTGATATAAAAGAGTAATACACACAACCACAATTAGCATTAGATAAATGGAGCACTCGACTTTCCTCCCTTGTATTGACAAATAAATTATACTTAGATTCTGCTTCTGCTTTTGTTACGTTTGTTTGTTTGTTTAACTAGACACTTAGAGTTTCAGTTTCAGCGTAGTTCGAATAGGAAGAAACCGTACGGTTCGACGAGGGTTCGATGGACTGTATCTGTATCCACACCATAGATATACACCGATAGTCACAGTATACAGTATAGAGCATACATATAAGGTACTGCAAAGTACGGCTACGTTGACAGTTATACTACAAGTACATCATACATGCGAGAGAGTTGCATTTACATCTATTTTGTTCAGTTAGAAAACGCGTTTCGCTTGGATTCCCCTTAGGAGTGGGAGTTGCACTTAGACTTAGGTCTGTCTGCAGACCCTAAGTTCTAGAACTAGTCGAGGTCAGTTCCCGTCAATTAGGTGTCAGAGTAGGGTAGCGCCTACTCCGCCGTTGCTTAAACTCTACGAAGACTATTTCATTTCTGTTTCTGCTGCAAATACTGAATACTAACAACTGTAGAACCACAATTAATCCTAGGGATAGTTGGGGGGCGGGAAGCAAAAACCGTGGGTGCGAGACCCATTTACGTTTTCATCTCCGCTGCTGCGGCGATGCTGTTGTGCGACCTGGCCGGCGAAATGGCAGAATGACCACCGGCGGCACCCGCGTCCAAATTCAGAGTGAGATTATTGCCAGAAATGGCCGACGAGCCGGATCCCGAACAGCCGTGGTGATGGGGTCCGTGGAAGAGCACCAGGAAGCCATTGCTGGAGACGCAGCTTCGCGATTCCGCTTCCTTGTCGAGAATCTGACGAGCCTGGAAATATGGATCATTTTGTTATCGTTAGTTGTAACTTTTGCAAACTGAGGTCTACGTTTTGTGATTCCCAAGCCAAAAGCGGACTTGTGGACCTACCTTGGAGCGGTGTTCTGTGAGGGCATTGCGCACTGAATCGTGCTGCTTCTGCAGCTCATCCGTGCGCCGCTCAAAGGTCTGCTTCAGACGCACTCGCTCCGCTACACCACGTTCCACAACGGAGCTGGCCACCTCGCGTTTCATCCTGAAAGTACAGATGGTACAGATGATGAAATCAAGTTAAAAAGAAATGGGAGAAAGGTACGCGACACCCACCTGACCAGCTCATCCCGATCCCGGTGCACAGTGGCCAGGTTCTTGACCTCATTGCGGCGTGCCTCCTGAAGCTGGTGCATCACCTCGCCGGTGACCTTGTCCAGCGATGCCTTCAGTTGCTTCGTTTGCCCGGCCTGCGAGGCCTTCAGCACCTTCTCAGCTGCGCTGTAGATGGCCTCGTGGTACTTCTCCTGCAACTCGCGATACTGGGAGGTGTACTCGCGGCAGGCACTGCGCAATCGGGACTCCTGGGTGCGGCCATCCAGGCTGCCACTCCCGCCAGCCAAATCCTCACCGGCATCGACTGCACCTGCACTCTCCTCGCTGCTATCACCCAGATCCAGGGGGCAGGCGGGGATCTCCACGCCGGGCTCGCTGTGTGGAGAAAGACAATTACTAATTTCAATGGCGTCGTCTGGCAGTGCCACGCCCTCCGAGAAATGCCCCCGGCCCAGGAACACTTACAGACTCTTGTTGCTTAGCCGTTTCACCAGCTTGTTGGTGATGGCAAACTTGGGCTTCTTGCCCTCCAGCGGACTGGACTTCTGACCAGCGATCTTGACCTTCTCCTTGTCGTGCTTCTTGCGCAGCGACTCCAGCTTCTTCTCCATCTCAAGGCGCTTCTCCTTGACGGTCTTGTGGTCGAGGATCTTGTCCAGCGGTTCGGCCAGCACCAGATCCACGTCGAACTGCGACGACTCCACCTGGCGAATGGAGGTGCTGACGGACTGGTCCAGCGAGTGCTGATGCTGTATGGAGGGGGCCACAATGGAGACGCTATCCTCACCCCTGCCGCCGTCGGTGCGATCCATGGTGACCTCCACACTCATCGCGGCCGCCGCCGAGATGCTGGCCCTGTGCTTGGGCGATGTGGCTAGCGATTCGACCGGACGCAGCTCCTTCTTCTGGCCACCTACTTGGACGAAAACGACTGGAGGATCAGAAAGAGTCGAGCAGAGCGAGTGGGCGGGGGGAATAGGTTTGGAGGTGGTGCAGATTGTGTGTCCGTCAACCGTTTTGAGTGTGGGAGTGTGGGTGGCGGGTGGTGGGTGGTGGTTGGTGTTTGGTGGATAGTGGATTGGGTAGTGTTTGTGGTGTTGGTTTAACCAAATCCGAAAATCCAAAAGTACAACCGAAAGTTATTTGAAACGTTACCAAAAAGAAAAGTAGAAAGAAAAGAAGGTAAATTAAAATCGCAACTCGAAGTGGGTGAGCTTCTCCGGTGCTACTCCTTACTTCGTTTCTACAGTTTACTCACACGACTTGGAGAGATCCTCGTCCGCATTGCCCAGCGCATCGGTTTCGTCTGTCAACACAGACAGCTGTATGTCGCGCTTCTCCAGCTCACTCTGGTACTTAATGGGATTGGCCAGGGCCTCGGCAAAGTTGGAGAGATCATCGGGCACATAGTCCTTGACCACCACGCACAGAAACAGGGAGGCCAGGGCTATGGGCTGGCCCACCTCAGATCGGAGATTCACATGCCGGTAGCCAGGACAGAGACCAATCACAGGCAGAACGCGATGGCCAATCAGCTTGCCTCCCTCCTCGTAGGCTGCAATGCGAATGCTCGCCAGTTCGGGGAGCACCACCTTCTTAAACACGAAGGGCTCCTCATCGTAGACCGGATTCATGCCATTGTCCCGAACCGTTTTGGTGCGGAACTTCTTCCGCACCGTGTCCGCTGGCAGTCCGTACATATCCACCTCCACGAAGGTGTTCGCCCGCTTGTCTGTGAGGAACTGTCCGGAGAGGACCGTGATCGAAACTGTGCCCGCTATGATGCCATCCACAGTGCTCTCCGCAAACGGATCCAATCGCCGGTCCGAGCGACGCATAAACTCCGGCTTCAGTAGGTAACCAGATCGGGCGTTGTACTCGAAGATGCCCAGGTTAAGCTGCATGGCCAGGTCGAGGGTTTGGAAGTTGAGGGCCACCAGCTGACATCCCGCATTCCAGAACAACTGCGGCATAAAGTTGGAACTGTCGAAGCGAGTGCCCGCCGGATAGACACGCGATAGCTGGTGCTTGTTGTAGTTCACAAACTCAATGGGTCGCTCTTTCAGCAAGGTTGTTGCCTGTTTTTCATCGAACGAGGACATTTCGTAGCAGCGATTCTTTTCTGTTTTGATGGATGGGATATCATTAACAGCTTATTATGACTATAATCACTGATACTCACTCTCCGCATTCTCGAAGGAGCTGAAGTGGATGGGCTGAACATAGTTAACCAGAGCCGAGATCTCCGCTCCGGCCTCCGTTTCTTTTTGCGCCTTCTCCGGCGGAGGTTCGTTGCCGCTGGGCGGGTTGGGCGTGGTGTTGGGCAGGGATTCATCGTCCGAGGAGCTGTCCGAATCGGAGGATCCTGTGCTGTCCTTGGAGCTCTGTCGGATTTGCTGATGATTTTGTGGTGAGACATAAAAACGAGCAAGGAATTGTTAGTCTAGCGGGGGGCTAATCTATTTGTTTGAACGCCTGAGGTCGCATATTACGTATACGCAGTGTTGGACCCCGAGGCGGAACTATTAAATTGCATGTCATTGCATTGCTGGTCCCGAAAGGGTCAGCCCCATACGAGGAATGTCCGATGAAATATGAAACCCATTATTATATGTTGTGCTGTTGTGGCTGCCATATCTTTTTTGCACAGGAAGAATATATTAAAAGTTTCGCCACTTATATGCTGCTACGCCCATCTGTGATGGTTTAGTTTACAAAACTAAGGCTAACGTTGAGTGTCGGCCTTCGACTACAATAATGTTTTGGGTTTTCAAAAAAATGTTTGGTTATTATTGAAATTTCTTAATAAAATATTTCCCTTAAATCTCCACAGACTTCAATAACAATCACATTATTTCTCTCTGTGTGCGAATATTGCGAATGCGGAGGCAAGAAAATAGCACAGCTTGTGTTTCCCTTGCCGAAGAGGAAGGGCCAAAGGGGGGATGTACACAATGCATTGCTGGGCATTGCATAAAGTTTACGACTCGACGACAACCAGGACATGGCGGTCTGCGGTCTCTGGTTTCCGCCATTTCCCCTTTGCTCTCCGTCCCAGCGGAATCACGTCACTCCGGAATCGATTTATAAAAGCCCCACAATTCCGGCCGGCGAAGGAAGTTCGGATAATGTGGTGCTGCTGGCCGAATACCAAGACCCCGGCGATTCCCCTGCGGCTAATAAGCCCAAAATGCACAGCTTCCAGTGCTGCCCAAAATGTAAATATTCGGCATGTGAGCGGCGGATGCTTGACTTCCATTAGCACCAGCCTCCCAAAACGACATTTATTATGCAACACGGCCATTAAGCCCAAACCAGGCCAGCAAAAAAACATGAATTATAACGCTGCACTAATAGCATTCTGGCAAATTAAATTAAAAGGCCTTACGTTGGCTAAATTAATCTTTTGGGGGCGGCTGACAGTTGGCCATATTTAGTCTAATTAGTTTGGGTTTCAATTGCAAATGAGTTTGCTTTCCGGGTGATTTCCCCGTGGCACCAGCTTTGATTACTGTCTGCGATACATGTGGTTATGGGTATCTTCGGATTAGTGAGCAGGTCGTGTGTCATTTCCCCTTTTAGTCCACTTTAGTTTTTCACAAACATGCCTACATTCGCAACCCCATTTCATTGCTCAATAATAAATAGCTCACTGAACTTTTAGTAAAAAAAAGTAAGGGCTTTCCGCTTGTAAGTCTAAATTGTTTGCAGTGCATCGCTACCATAATCCCCCTTTCATTTGCAATGGCCAGCAGCAAACATAAAAATGAATATTTCCGCATATCTGTATCTACGACTGGGAGTGTGCCATTAAATGCAATTACAGGCACGCCAGAGCCACTCCCACAGATACAATAATAGATAGATATAGATATGCAATGGCCTTTGACCTTTTATAGCCATGCTCGATAACAGCGAACAGTACTCACTTGTAGTGGCGGTGCATGACCCGCTGTCCCAGTCGCACTTCCGGTTCCTGTTCCTGTTCCCGTTCCTATGTCCCCGTTGGCGGTGCTCCTGGCCACGCCCCCATCCTCGTGGGCTGCCGCTGCCACTTGTTGCGCCGCCGCCTTGGCGTCCACTGCAAAATGCATAAATTTAATACATTTATTGCACCCAGTTAAAAGTATCATACAATTTATAGAAGTTTCCGGATACAAGTTTAAACAAATAAATAAATGAATACAATAGTACAATAAGATTTTAATGCAAAATATAATAATAATTTTGCCTCTAAAAAATTTAATTTTATAAAAACTCTATATTTTGTGTATGCACTTGTTTGTATTTAAGTGTGAGAAACGAAAAAATATAAGTGCTCACGCTTCCTGTCAAACTAATAAAATTATGGACAAACGAAAAATGCGCCAGGTTTTTAAAATGCAATTTCTCCCTAATGGAATATAATAAAAAATATGTATAAATCAAATTACAAGAAACCGGAGCGGGGCAATGGCTAAAGAGGAAGCAATTGCCGGACTGCGATCCCGGGGATCCAGAGATGACAGCTGGGATCCTGCGATTGCATGTGGGGGACAGGGGCAAAGTCATTTGCATTTATAAATTGGCTTTTTGCAATTCATGAGCTAAATGTCATCCGGCCAATGCCAGAAGGATGTGGCTGTTAAAAGAGGGAGTGGCTGTCCGGCTGTCGGGCAAATTGTGCAGCTGTGCATGCAAATGGCTCCTGCAGGACCTCAAAGCTCGCAAACAAGTGGAAGAGGAAGTGGCCAGGCGGTAAATTTATAAATAACATTTTCGCTGCAAAACTTTTAATAAAAGCAACTCGAATACTCTTCGTAAAGTCTTTTTGTTTTTGCACAATCTTACATTCCTGGAAGATATTTGGTCAGGTAATCATATACTAAGTGTTTAAGAAATGGGCATACATTCTGTTAAGTCACAAAACCTTACTTATAATTTAATAAAAATAAAACCAATCTGTTTTTGCCATTATTTTTTACAATTTTAAATCCTAACTATTATAATTATAAGGATAACATTGTCGTCATGTTCAAGAAATTATAGTTAAATGTTAAAAAGCAAGATGATTTGCATATTGAGCAATTAAAGTTCCAAGTGCTTCATATTAGGTAGCAAACCAAACATCTTGTTCATTAAAAGCCCCCTCCCACATTTGTACTCCTTTTAGACTAGAAGGTTTTTCCAAATTTGATATTCTCAGCCTGCCTTCCTGGCTGATGAACTTTTTGCATACAAACCCCGAACAGCTGCTGCGTGTGCGGAGCTCATTTGCATTTTTCATAGACGTAGGAAGGCGGTTGGGTTCGGAAGGGGTTCGAAAAAAGGGCGGAGAGGGTGTGGCAGGAAGCTACGATGCCAAAACATATGTGTGCCCAGGCATAACTCTTTGCACAGTACGCATATGCGAAGCAAAAGAAGCAGTTGACATGGGGTTAGTTAAGCATTTACCCACCTGAGTTGGCCGTCGTCAGTTTGTTGCTAGCTGCCGGCGTGCCCACCTGCGCCGGCTTCTTGTGGTGGTGATGATGGTGGTGGTGGTGGTGCTTCTTCTTGTTCTTGATGATAATCTTGCGCCGCAGCATCGCCGGCGGTGGCAAGTCCATGTTCGGTTCCAGCGGATGAGAGTCCAAGGGCTTGTCGAGCAGCATATCGCCGAATATTTCGCGGCAATAGTTGGCAATTTTGGCCTATCGATGGGAATAGAGGCGGAAAAATGAATAAGCTGGCAAAAGCAAATACCGAGGAACTTGTAAATTATCTGCTAACTGGCTTTTGACGGGTCAACGGAAAAGTTTTCTCTGGTATACACAGGGGAAATGTAACCATAAGCGGTAAGATAATCAGAAAGGTGCTTCTTAGAATGGTTTCATCTTGGTGTTTACTTTTTAATAAAGCCTCAAGGCAACTAAGTTTCTATGAGCTATTTTAAAGTATACAGCTATATAGAATGCATTATGAAAGTACTATATCATACGTCTTAATGGCAGATTTGTCGATAGCGATTTAACGATGTACGAAACAGGCCGTAAAGTACTTAATAAATTCAAAACTATTAATTTTTTTACGTGCAGCTGTCCAGGCATCATATGTTGAGCTGTGCTGTTGTAAGTTTGCTTTCTGGCACGCGGCACGCTTGTTACTTGTCTACTTGGACTACCTGTGGGAAATTCGGTTTATACTACTCTTTTAATGGTTAAACTTTAGCCTCTTGTCGACGTTTCATTGCCCCTCTCCACGGCAGCTGCTTTCCTTAGCCTGATTTTACCTTTGAGGCCGTAAAAACTTTGCCTTTGTTATTATCTCGCTTGTGGAGCTTAAGCAGCCGGCAATTACCGTTCGAGTGGCTTCTGAGATTCTGGACTCCCTTCTTGGTCTTTAAGCACTGTTTTCGGACTCAAGGACTCCCCCATGTGTGCCGCCGCCGTGTTATTTGTTTGTCTTTCGTCAAATGATGGATTAGGGTGATGGGTTGAGGACCCGCCGCTGTTGTTTTAGGACAAGAAACTTTTTGGCCTTCTGCGTTTTCCAATTTAGTTTAACCAAAAGTGGGAGCCATATTTAGTGCCTTTCTTTCTGCTTCTCTCATTATTCTTCTATTTTCCTTTTTTGGTTTCTGTCTTTGCTTTCCTTCAAGTGGCATTCTGATCTTTATTTCATACCCTTGCCTTTCCTTGTTAGCCTCAAATAAATAACCATTGCTAGCTCTTCTTTCATTACCTGTTACCTATTTCATTTAGCGTTTACCTCTTTGTCAAAAAGGAGAAGGAGATAATTAAAATGTTAGTTCACAAAGTTCAGATAGGCCTTTCTATCCATAAGTCCAACTAACTTGAAAGTAGAGAAATTACTCTAAAACATTTCCGTCACACCATAAAGCCAGTCTTTAATTTGTCATTCGCAGCAATTCTCACCTGTTGCCTTGGATTGCAGTGATTCTCAAAGCTCAATATCACAGGGTATTCAGATGTTTTAAATGCACTCTCTGCGATGGCCTCCAGCACGTCCTTGGCAAAGATCTCGGGCACAAAAGTGTAGCCGTGGACAATGACCGGCTCCTCGGTGCGCCCGTTCCAAAAGTCCAACTCAACGCATCTGCAATAAAGCGGGCAGGACAGACGAACACGAGTTGAAAGTGGTAAAAGCAAATGACAATTTCCTCAGTTTCAGTTTTTATTTTCCTGTCCCCATTCTCTTTCATTTAGCCCTGTAAATCGCACTCAAAGTGCCGAATGCATTGCGACAGTCGTGCAAGCGGAGAATAAACGAAAAGTTACAACTTCTGCGTCAATAAGTTTTGTGATGTGTGCATCATCGTCAGAATCATTGTCGTAAGTGACAGAGGAAATGAGAGCACACACAAAGAAATATATCCTGCAAATTTATTTAATATAAGCTAACTAAATAACTCAAACACATAATGTCTTTATGGTGAAATGGACTCATTTAGATTGCTACCAAATAGCGAAACAGAAAATTGGTATAGAAATTTATTTGATAATTATGCAGCATCTAGTTTTTGCTAACGCAAAATCTCTTTTGTGATAAAAAAAACTAGTCAAAGAATAATTCAAGCCTTCTCAATTTAAAAATTAACTTTATAGATTTACAATGTTAGCTTTACAAAGTTTGAATATGAAATCCGATTTACTTTAAATTAATTTTTTGTTCGCAGTGGATGTCATTTTCACAGCTAAAAAACTGCACCTGATGCACACACTCGCACTGTTTAAAGTGAATGCGAGAGAGAGTTGCTTTTTTATTTCTTGAATGAAGGTCACCACATACGCACACACACGCACACACGCACACACACACACCTCGGAATAAAGGTCATGGCCAGTGTTTTGGGCAAAGGCAGTTGACCACATCAATTGCGTCATTTGCATTCCAACCAACTGAATGACCCACTACCCGCAAGCGCATCCGCATCCGGATTAAGTGCGTTTCCCACCACTCACCTGCAACCCGCCAGGAGGCACTGCCTGTAAATCTCGACGGAGGACTTGCCCGTCAGCTGGTGACCCGTCAGGTAAGTGTTGTGCGAGGAGTTGATGAAGTAGTGCGACATCGGCTGGTCCATGTCGTCGCAGAGATCGAGCTTGTTGGGCGCCATGATGGGATTGTCGTCGCCCATTAAGTACCTGTGGGTGATGGATTAGTAAGGCGGAGATTAGATGGTATGGTGGATTATAGGATAAGCCCATATATATCACAACTTAATGCTTAAGGACAAAAACAAGAAAATCTATATATAATTATGTAAATATAGCTAGCTTTTAAATATATTTCGTCTACATTTTAATACATGTTCCCAGTCGACGGCAGTTAAAGGGTTTGAACAGTTTGCAGTTTCAGCTGAAGGACGCGTCAGTTTTTGGCACGTCCTTTGTCGTTTGCCTCCTTAGTTTCCTTAGCTGCTGGCTGATACCGTAAACTGCGAGTTTTCACGACTGCTAAACCACTCAGGGTAGACTACAGTCCCCTGACAACCGTTCCCCTGAAAACAGCTTTTCCTCTTTTCCACTTTGCCGAGAACAAAAACGGCGCAACGTCATATGCATATGCATATGCACTAGCACTCGCACTCGCACTCGCACTCGCACTCGCACTCGAGAGGTCCTTCAAGTGACGCTAACAGCCTTAAAACAGCTTGCACTGCGTCTGATAAGCTGTCACGCCCAGAAGAGTTCCCCCAAAGTGAGTGGATCCAGTGGCCCCATCTGCTGACATGTACCTTCTCCTAATCCCAATCCGAGTCCCAGTCCCAGTCCCAATCCCAAGTAGCAACAAGTCTGACAAGTCTCACCTCAAAAAGCCATCCAGGCTGAGCTGGCCCTTTTGTGCGTTGAACTTATTGGGCTCGTATTGCTGGATAAGCTCCTTGGCGCGGGCAGGATTTGCATACGGGTAGAGGATCTCGTTTAGCCGGGGATCGCGCTGCGTCTTGTTCAAAAACTCCACCAACTGGGCGATGGACATGCACTTGCGCTTCGAGTTGCCAACACTGAGGGAGAATCAAGAAGGTAATACATATAATTGGATATCATGATCATTACCGCAAAGCACTCAAATAAACACCTTAATACTATCTCACTGATTCTGATAAAATAGTTATTTAACTCAAAAGAAAATTCAAATAAATATTTAATACTCTCAATTAAATAACCATGTCAATAATTATACTTTTCAAACATTTTTAAAACCAAGAAATATAAAAACATGTAGTTGAAAAGCATATTGTATTTCAAAAGAATTTAGTCAATTAAACGCTGTCGAAAAAATATGTATTTCCCTTTTACACTAGTTCTATTTGATTTTATACCATACCATGATATATTTAAATTAAATTTAGTGGAGAAATATGTTTGATTACTACTTTTGAAGTGCACTCACATGCTGTCAAAGAGTCGCTCGACCTCCGAGCGCTGCGTGAGATATTTGTACAAATTGTAAAAATCCTCGAATTGAAATTTGGACACCGATATGCTATCGACCTTCCCCGACGGCAAACCGGTCACGTCTAGCGCCTTCTCGACACGTTTGCGATCCTCCTTGTTTTGGGCGAAAAGTTTTATGATGCTAAAGTGGTCACGACCAGAATTTGACCAGCGCAAAATGGAGTAGGCAGCATGGTTGTTGTTCATGAGGTTGTTGTCGTCGTCGTAGTCATCATCGTCGTGGTCGTCAGTGATGCATGAGCCACGTTCCGGGAGCAACAGCAGCAGCAACAGCAGGAAAAAGGGAAATTGCGAAATAGAAATTGGCGTAAATTTCAGCTCAACAGCGATGGCTTCACTTAACAAATATTTGTCAAATGCTTCAACGCACAATGCACAAGAGCCAGGGACCCAAAGCCCAAAATTTGGGGGGAATCCAGGATCCAGGACTCGGAACATCGAGCGTTGTGGAATTGGATTGAGGGGTTTGTTTTCAATTACTTTTTCACTGGTATGCGACCGCTCTTGTCCACCTGCAGACACAGTTTGGTGTGGGCCTTCTGCAGGAACATAATAGCCGAACCATTGAGCTGGGCCAAACTGTAGGCCAACTTGATGAGCCCGTCCGACCAGAGCTGCAAAAAGCCGAAAGAGAATGCGAAATGTGAGCAAAGATAGATTAAAATAAAGTGGCGAGGCGGGGCGTTGTAAAACACAACAAAAAAGCACCCAAGCATGGTCTGCATCTCCTGAATTTTCTTGCCTACCTTAGAAGTTGGATCAAGTTGCAAAACTGTTCATACTTATATTTAATAACAAATATTAAACACAATCTTTAATCAAAATAAAAAGGTTTAAGTTATTCTGTATGTCTACATTTTTTATTTCAATCATTATTAAACTTTCAATATATGTAATAAGGCGAAAAAATACCAAAATCAAACTTTAAACATTGGCATAAAGTTAGCCTTCACAAAATGTAATACGGAAAAGCACAAATTCTTTAAAACAATTTTAACCTGACATTATTGAAAATACCAATATTGAATTAAAACCATCCTTACAGCTGACAGGTTTGGAACTGTATTAGAAATCGTCCTTGGTGGCGTATAAACAATATTTGTTTTTGGTTATTTCGTTTGAGACTAAACAAGCCAACAAACGCAAAATGCCAAATTTGATTAAGATTTAAGCAAATGAAAAGGCAAACTTTCGATGAAAGCATTTATCAGGAAACACCATTCGCAATATTTGCCTAAAGTTGGCTTAACCTGAATTTAATTAACCCAAAATGTGATGTAACACACTGGCGTGATTGGCTTATGTGAATGAAAATGCTTCTATATTTTGTCGGTGGCAACACAGGGCGTATGCGTGATGTATAGTTAGTCAGACAGAATTGTGTGCACACCGCTTCCCATTTGGCGTTCATTTCATTCCTTTTCAGGCCGTACTATCGTGCATTCATTGTGTATTTTTATGGCCCATATTGTTTATTTTGTTTTCCAAAATTCCTTTTGAAAAGTTTATAAATTTCAGCATTTTCATAATTCGATTTTCCTTTGTTGCCGTGCCTGCGGTTCGAGTTGCGTTTGTTTATTTTGGGGATGTCCGCGACGCGTGCCAAAAATAATAACCGTAGCAGAACGGGCCCGAGGCTGCTGACCATTGATAAAATAAAACATTGATTTTGGGCAAGGTCAAGCCAGGACGGACAGTGGCAGACAAGAGGAATGAACGGTTGACAGTGGACACGCCCCGGGAGGGAAATCAATAAAAGCGCCGTTGGCTGAGTGGTCCATAATAATTTTTTACGCGCCTTCGGCGACCCACTAAAAATAGTCCAAAACAAAAAGCGACTCGGCACAGGTGTGTCCCGAACAAAAACTGGCGGGGGAAAATACACAAGCAGAAAAATAAGATAGCAAATAACAAGGGCGGTAACAAATAAGAAGTCAACAGCTTTAATCGACAGTAAAAGATACTACCAGACACTCAAATATATTTAATTTAATAATAATAAAATAACAAGTTTAGGGACTTGCTGCATTAAATGCACATCAAAAGGAATTTATTGGAAAAAATTTGTTATAGGGGTTGCTCTTTGGACTCAAAGAAAATCACGCATACGTACTGTTGCCCTAAAACAAAAATTGTTCTTAGCTGAAATTACGTGACTTGTGAGTTATTATTACGAAAACTTTAAGATCATTCCGCTGTGCCTCATAATTGAAATAAAATGTTTTGGTTTTCGAAAACAATAAAAGTTTAGGGATTTTTTTTTGACCATCCTTATTGTGTTCAACGTTTTTATGTTTAGAGTAAATAATATGTGATTATTTTTCTTAGTGCTCGGTAGCTGACCGTTATGGCCATCATTAGCGTGGCACACTCGACCCAATTCCCCGAATGACTGGGAACTATGGCTGTGTGCATGCGACCCACAAATGGTAAATGGCTTTTCCCCTTCGATACTTTTCAGTTGTCATTGAGTTGTCACAAGTGTCCGGCGCAAGTGGCCAATAATGAGCTGTTGGACGATGGCCAGGATTGGACTTACCTGGGCAATATCCCGCCGTGTGCAGCAGAAATTGACGAACGTCATGTTGACAAAATCAGAGCCGTGGCACACCGTCACCGTCTTCTCCTCCAGCGTGTCCTGCGGGCCCAGCGTCACTATCTGGCGAAGCTTGTTGTCCTGCAATCGAAAGACGAGCATGGTCGTTATTAATTACCGAATGGAATAAGGGATTGGGGGGCACACGCCCGCGAAATGAAGTTTTATGACCCAGCAGGCAGTCGTAAATGGGAGTCATATCCTTGCGCGCTAATCCTGCGAGTGCAGCAAAATTCATTTGCCCGCCTCGTAAACCAGACAAACAAACACGATTCTCTAGCTCAGCTGACCGGGGTGTCATATTTCAATTAAACGGCACAAATGGATTTACGAGCCCGGGAAAGCCAACGTGCATCCTTGGCCAAAGGACCCACCCAACAGAGCCAACTCAACTCCACTGAACTGAACTGAACTGAACTGAGGGGAACCCAATCGAGCACACAACATTTCGACTTCGCAGCCAACTGGGTTAAATGCAAATCAGCCCGCGACACAAGCAAAACGAATAAGAAACAGTGCCATTTGTAGACTTTCCAGACAAATGAATACTTCTTAGAAGACTTTCTTGCTGCTGCAAAAGTTATAAATACGTTTCTTTGAATGGGAATAACTTTAAGTTGGTACTAAGGTACTTTAAATTGAAAAGCCACTTACATTAAATCAGATTAAAATGTTTACCTCTTATAATACTTAAGGCCGCAAAAACTGCTTAAATCTTTATTGTGACCCTAATCTTATTTTAGAGGGTAAGTAGTTAGAATATATATAATTTAAGTATCAACTATTATAGGTTTAAAGTGTAGCAACTGTGCAATGTATATATAAACTAAAAGTCCTGAAATTAGTATCCTTGAGCTATAAAAAAATTGCGTTTTCTACTTTTCAGCTCAACACTTTTCACCCATTCAGCCATCTATCTCTTTAAACATCCAACTGAGGCGATGTTCAGCCCGGGATTATCAACGTCCTTTCGAATGCATGACACATAGTTTGGACACAGGACATCGGTCAGTTGGCTGCAACAAGGAAGGACTTAAGGCGGAAGCCAGAGCATGAATTTGGCATTAACTTTGTGGCCGGCCATGTCTTGAGGAAGGAGGGAGTGTGTGTTTGCCTGTCTTCCTGCAGCGCTTCCGGTGCTCGGACATCATTTGACAATCTCTCCAGTTAGGGTGAACCTTATCGGCAGGCAGTTTAGAGCGGAATGGCAATGTTATCTTTTGTGCTCGCTCATCGAATGCACAAGCTGGGGAATTAAGTTCTGGCGGATGACTAGAGCATAAGAGCATTGACTAAGCCTGAGCCCTGACCTGACCTGACTAAAACCAATCATGGTCATGGCTAAACACTAAAAAAATCCTGATCTAGTTTTGACATAACTATTCTCTTCCAATTAATGCAAAACTTTGAACTTAAACTTATACAACTTCTGAATATTAATTTAAAAACTATGAAAATTCACCAAAATAATTTATTTTCCTGAACTTAAACCTAGAAAAATCCTGCATGTAAATGGGAAATCCATAAATTCTTCAAATAACATTCACCACAATCTTGGGTTTAGTGCACTTAAATCGTCCCCTTAATAAGCTTTCCTGGTCCGCAATATTCCAGGCTCATGGATGGATGATGCGTCGCCTGAACCAAGCAGCTGTGTCGACTAATTGAAAGGCTTCCCACCTCTCCACTTCCGCTTCCACATCCTGGATTTCATCTCTGGGACTCTGGGGGCCATTAAAGCAGCTTTCCCTTTAGCGGTGATAAACGAGAAGTCACCCATGCTGGAAAAGCAGAGCGAATCGCCGCCTACCTACAGGTAACGTTTATCTGCGAGCGACATGATTTGCTTTTAACTAAAAACTAATTCCGGCAAATTTGTCCCCCAGAATAATGTAAATGGCTGTCACGGCCGGAGCTCCTGTCGCTGGCTCTCCGGATTTTTGGCCCGCCACCGTGCGAAGCGTAAAGCGGAAATGACTACGGCGATTATCTTAATTGCTTCTCACGCTTCGCGCTCGGCACTCACGCGCAGTTCCGCGCAGTTCCACCCGCCCGCCTACACCAAACCCCCCTTCCTGAGACTCCCTTTTGGCCCTGCTAATCCTTTTGGCTCTGCTCAAAATTTGAATTTTAAGAACGCTCATTATGGGCCCAAAGAGCGGGGGGGGGCCGCCAGTTGGCCGTGATAATTTTAGACAGCCCCAATCCCAGTTATTGATTTTAAATGTGCTAATAAAATAATAATCAGCGCATTACGCCACTTAGCAGAAGCCCCATGAAAGGAAGAATGCATTATTTCAATACATGATATTTAAATAATAGTTCTGGCTCAACTGATTATAAATTATAATCTAGCCCTTTTCCTATTTCCTTACCCGTTTGACCTTTTAGCTGAAATGTGTATTTGTGTTTTAGCTTATACATAAACCTATAAGCTGCTCATAATATTAATTTTGTGCACGACATTTTTTTAATCCCAAATGCAATGAAATCATAACATGACACAAGCTCATAAAAGTATATTTTTTTTCTCTTTGAAAAAAAAGTTTTTTATAAAAGCAATTTTACATTTTACTAACCAAACATTTTAATAATTTTCTACGAATTAAAAATACCCCACCGAAATAGATCACGGGTCGCACATCAAGGAACAAAGTACTACCTGTCATCGAAGTTTAAGCTGGTTTTTGACTAATGTTTGGCAGTAGGGGTTAGAAAGTCAAGCAGTTGATTCAGATAAAAAAAAGTATATTTTTTAAATTTTATAAAATTTTAAATTTGTATACAAAAAATCAAGCCTCAGCAGAAGTCGACATCGCATGTAGAAAAAATATGGCTGGCAACCGACGGATTGACGCGGAAAATTCCAGTCACACGGGGGGCCCCTGCAATGAATTCGGAACCCTTGAGTCTGAGATGATACCCAGACCCTATGATTTGATGCGACAGCGCAACTGCAAGGCCGAGAAAGTCATCCAACTGGAGCGGTATCCCAGCATTCGACCGCCGATTTCAAAGTGCAGTTACGATCAGACGAAGAACTGGCTGTTGGAATCGGTAGACCAGGTAGGCTGTGAGGACCACAATGCTAGGTTGCAAGACGCCCTTAAAATTTGGAAATTGAGTCCGCACAAGAAGACGCTCGGTTATTATGGCGTGGCCGATGGGATGTATCGACCGGAGGCCGCCAAGTTCAACAGGACATTGGCAAGCTGCCTACGACATGCCCGCGGTCCAAATAGACGTGTTCGCAAGCCCTCACTGAATTCTCCACAGCCAAAAAGACCGCCCCAACCCTCTCCCTTATGTCAGCCCTATATCCTTAACCGTCAAGTCTTAAAAGCGGAGCTCCAAAAGATGCCCGTTGTGCGGCAAAAGCTAAGTCCCAGTAAGGCTTTTGAAACGTGGTTCTGCGAAAAGCCAGTGGATCCTGATGATCCTCTGGGGGTGGATGCTGCTTCCACCAAAATGGTAAGCTTAAGAGAAGCCCTGGACATAGCGAAAAAAGAAACCAAACCTCCAAAACACGGTTTGAGACGTAATCACTGGTACTGCCCACCGAAATGTAATGAGCCGGAAAACAAGTGCACTGCCTACGAGTGGGCCAAGTACAAGTTGGACTCTAAACCTTACAACGAGGCCTTCCAAAAGTGGTTAAAGGAGCAGAAAGTGCCAACAGAGAGGGAGCCGCACAACTACGATGAGCTCTATAAGCGATTCCAAGCCTGCTTCGAGGTGAAACCCCAACCAGATCCCGATTGTGTGGCCATGGCAAAGTGCTGTGCAGATATGATCAAGGAAGTGAAAGAGGAGGGTGGTGGTGGTCCTGGAGGAGGTGGTGGAGGAGGTGGTGGAGCAGGGGGAGGAGCAGGAGGAGGTGCAGGAGGAGGAGGAGGAGCAGGAGGAGGAGGAGCAGGAGGAGGAGGAGCAGGAGGAGGAGGTGGCGCAGGTGGAGGAGGAGGCCAATCTGGTCCAGGTCCTGGTCCAGGTCCTGCTCCTCCTGGAGGTCCAACCCAGCCAGGTGGTGGGGACAAGGATAAAGGAACTGATAAGACTACGGACAAGCCCAAAGACAACAAGGATAAAGGCAAGAATGAAGACAAGGATAAACCCACAAACCCAGATAAAGATAAGAATACAGGCACTGACAAAGAAAATAAGAAAGATAAGGGTAAGGGCAAAAAACCCGGCAAGGATAAACCAGAGGAAACGGACCAGGGAACGGGCAAAAAACCCGGCAAGAATAAACCGGAGGAAACGGACCAGGTTACGGACAAGAAAGATATAGAAAATCCCGATAAGGAAAGACCGAAACCCAAGCCTCCTGGCCAGAAACCGATACCGCCCAAGGAGCAAGTAACAGAAGGCACCACCGATAAGAAATGGTCAATTGAATCCGACAGTGGATCATATAAAGAACCGAACAAACCAGACGTAAACCAACCAAAGGAAGGGCCTCCGACAACAGACGGGGACCCGTCCTCCAAACCGCCGGATAAGAAACCGCCAAAAAAGAAGCCACCCCACAAGAAACCCACGAAGCCCCCGAGGGTCGACGAGGGGAAGGTGGACGAGGTGAAGGACAGGTGCCCGCCGTGTCCTCCAGTGGGCTGCGCGTGCTGCATTTGCGACAGTCTGCATGCCAAGAAGATTCCCATCTCCCCGACCATGCAGTCTGTGTTTGCCCAGGAAAAGGTTCGCGAAATGAGGGAATATCTGCGGCGCATGAGGCACAGGCAGTACATGGAGTGCTCTGGCCCGAAGCCAGTGGCCCCCCGGCACACGGTGGATCCCATTGAGTGCGACAATTGCTTCTGCCTGGACCCAAAGATCTCCGAGTATTGCGAATGCCTGGGTGCCCTGCAACATCTGCAGCGGCTCCTGCGCAAGGAGCGCCATCCCATTGTGAACAACGAGCTGATCTTCAACCTCGAGGATCTGCGTCAGAAAATTGCCCAGCGAATGTGCGAGTGCTTCTGAGAAGTGTATGTTTTGAGCTGTTTTAATGGCTTGTATACCATTGATTTTTTTTTAGTGCTTTTTCAAAATTTGACCATTGAATAAAAAACGAATCATTTCATTTTGCGAATACATGTCGTTTAGTTAAGAGGCATTAAGGATACTTTCAAAATAAAGAATCTTATACTGTATTTTAGTTATTATTTCAATCCAAAGTTTAAAACGCAGTAAATGAGGCATTTCCGATCCTAATAAGTACAAATAAAAATACATTCTTCATCAGCAGTAAGAGTAATGCCGTTTCTATGTTAGATTTATCTTTTCAAAGTCGGTCTTTCAACTGTAGGTTTGGATTGCTGAATTGCTGTGGATTATTTACGATCCTTAATTCTGTTAGGCGGCCTTGACATTGCTCTTCAATTTTGTTCCTCTGACAACTCTAAACTGTACTCAGTATTTTATTATGTGTTCAACAGACGACATCTAAATTTTAAAAATAATTGTGTTTTATTTTGGTTCTCAGTTGAGCATTTAAAACATAAAAAAAAGAAAAACATTGGCCCCGAATCGGATAAAGACACCAAGGAGAGAATAGATTAATTATCGCAACGATGGGCAGAAAGGCGGCGCAGTCTCAAGGATCTCTGAGATTTCCGGGTGGTCAGGGCTCACAGGCGTCCGCAGTTTGCCAAGAACCCGACTTGCTGAACACGTTTGCGGAGGGGCCGCCCACCATGTACCAGTGGATGCGATGGAACAACTGCAAGACCAACAAGCCGCACCTGGAGGAAACCTATCCGAGCATTCGACCACCGATCTCCAAATGCGACGAGGGCAAGACCCTGCAGTACATCGATGACGCCATGGAGGCCAACAAGTGCTTGAGGCTCTTCGACTACGAGAAGGAGGATGTTGTGACCACGTGGAATTACATTCCCCAGAAGGAGACTCTGGGATGGTATGGCGTTGGACCGTCGGGCTACCCAACTCCACAGGCTGCCTTCTACAACCGAATCCTGAAGAAGAGTCTAAAGGCGGCTAGTCTTTTGCCCAAACCGCCCAAAAAGTCGAACATTAAGCCCAAGTGGCAGCTTAAGAAGAAGTCCCTTGAACCCAGCGGCGCCTACGTTCTGAATGAGGCCTGCCTGAAGGCCAAGCTGGACAAGATGCCCAATGTGAAGCGCCAGCTGAAGTCGAGCAACGCCTTCTCCTGGCTGCACTGCCCACAGCCAGCAGATCCCGAGCATCCGTTTGAGGACAACGCCGGCTTTCCGGCGATCAGCAGGGAAGAAGCCATGGACATGGCCAGGCCGGAGAAACCTCCGAAGCATGGCCTGCGTCGTAAGCACTGGTACTGCCCTCCGAAATGCGGCGAGGCGGAGAGCAAGTGCACCGACTACGAGTGGGCCAAGTACAAGCTGGATCCACGACCCTACGACACAGCCTTTCAACGGGAAATGGATGCCCGGCAGGAGGTCAAGGAGCCCGAGCCCCGAAACTACGATGAGCTATACAAGTCCCTGGTGACCTGCTTCGTACAGGACCCGAATGGCCAGAACGAACTCTGTGAGGCACTCGAGAAGTGCTGCAAGGATCCCAAGGACCCGCCATCCCAGGGATGCAGCGAGTTCGTCCCGGATGGCGTTGGAGGAGATGGTGAGTCGGGTAGAGATAAGGACAGGGTTAAAGATAAGGATGGGGACAAGGACAAAGACAAAGACAAGGACAAAGACAAGGACAGGGACAAAGGGCAAAATGGTGACAGTGAGGGTGACGGTGAAGGTGGAGCTGGCGGTGGAGGTGACAAAGGTGATGGTGGCAAGGGCGAGGGCGGACAGGGAAAGGGGGATAAAGGAAAGGGTGACGGGGAGGAGGGCGATGGCGGAGACGGGAAAAAAGATGGTGGAAAAGTTAAGGATAAGGATAAAACCAAGGACAAGGGTGACAAAAAAATTAAAGTGCCGGAACAAAGATCTTCAGAGGAGGAACATCCTTCAAAGTCGCGAAGTGCAGATTCCAATCCCGAGACCAATGAAAAGACAGATGGCAATGGCGATGGCCTTGGCGGCAAAGATGGTGGCGGTGGCGACTTGGACAAGGACAAGGATAAAGACAAGGATAAGAAAAAGGGGAAAGATAAGGACAAGGGAAAGGACAAGGGAAAGGGCAAGGGCAAGGGTCATGGAGACAAGAAAAAACCCAAGCCAACAAAGGATAACGATAAGGATGGCCAGAAGATCAAGGATTGCCCGTGCGAAATCTGCTGTCCTGTGAAAGAGGAGGATTCCCCGCTGATCAAGGAGATGCGCCGAAGGGATCGCGAACGCCAAGTCCGGGACTATCTTCGCCAGATGCGCCACCGCCAGTACATGGAGTGCAAGGATCACCAGTACCCAGCTCCGCACCACAAGTGCAATGCCATCGAGTGCAGCGGCCTGTTCTGCAGCAATCCCCGCATGCAAACGCATTTTGGCCGGGTTCAAGCCGTTCAGCAGGTGCAGAGTGCCCTGCAGTGGAGGAATCGGCGGGGCGATGACAAAATTTGCAAGGATCTGGACGGACTGTTGACCCGCCTGTGCAACCGCCTGACCAAGAGTGGTGGCCAGTGCGAATGATTCTGCCCACGTGCCCTGTGTGTTTGAGAAGTTCCCTTTTGCATATTGTGTGTGGATTCGTGCAAGTGTTATTAGTGTTTTGTGCTGATTTAAAGCGATCTTAATTGTGTGCTTTAAATAAAATCGTATAAATAGCTGATCTCTAGGATTTGTACTCCACTCGGGGCGGAAGGCAAAAGATTGTTGCTCTCGGATGTATGCAACGCTTTTCGTGGCCTTCAGTTAATCACACATTTGCCAGTGGTCTCTGTGAGTGTGTGTGTTTGGGTGTGGTCAACGCCCACGCACTCTGTGCATTTAATTAATTTCTGACAAGTTATTTGCTTTTAATGCCCTGGAAAAGCTTCGGTTTTTTCCTTATTCGAAAGCAGCTTTTATGCAAGCACACGACTGACATCCTTTTAAAGTAGATTATTAAAAATAGGGAATTCACTTATAAAATTTTAAATGAATTACCTTCAGAGAATTTAAAACTTTACTATAAATATTAACGTGATTTTTTATTAATGCAATTAATATGTGTTTTTAGATTGTTAAATTGGATGGCTTTAGTTTTATAGTTTTTTATTCATATTAAATGGCATCATAAGAAATACCTTGTTTCAAGGACCTTTAAGCTATGTATGTGAAAAATTCATTTAACCCGCTATAAATTATTACACTTTATTTCTAATTTAAAGGGTAATTCTGTAGAGTGTAGGCAACTTTCACAGTCCGAATTCCTCCCGTCACGCCAAGACCGTTTTCATTTTCCAACTTTTCGGGCGCTGTTAGTTTGCCTTGGGCAAACTGAACGGAAAACAAAACTCATTTGGCTTTGCCCTTGGGCCTGTCGCGATTCACAGCAACAACTGCAACATTATCGGGGCGGTGAGCTATGGGCGTGGCCCCAGGACGAGCAGCATGATTTATACAGAGAACAAAAAGCGACACTCCTCAAAAACCAAAAACGAATTTACGCCAAAGGATTTTTCCACCAAAACAAATGCCATAATGGGTTGGATCCTGATGGAAAAACGGAGCAGCATTTATGACACATTAAATTGATATCATTAATAAGATTGTTAAGCTATGGGTTAGATTAGAACCCGGTTCGGCTTTAAGATTTCAGCCAAAGTTTTAAATGACTTTTCCAGCACAAACACTTTTTAAGCGCACAAAAGCAGGACTCGAACCAAGTTGCCTTGTCATTGCAAAGATAAATGTATTAACTTCCTCACATGGAGAAGAGATAGTAGCACACAATGAGGCGAGTCCTACTACCATGAAAAGAAAATTGTGTAAAACCGAAAAAATCGTGTCGCAGATGAAGGCAAAACTCACTACGGAAAACTGTTGCAACACACACAGAAACAATGTGATACTACTGATTCCCATTCCGGAACAAGAGATGGGGACACAACGCACGTGACTTGGCTGGGCAATCTAAACGGGGCATTCATTGGGTTACCTGTGCCCCCATTCTTGCAAAATCTGTTCACATCCCAGTCCCAGTAATTGGCATTCGATTGTGCCCGGTGCCCAAAACCATTCGAGTTGCCTGTTCCCTCAGATTCATATCCACTAGTTCCCAGTATAATTAATTTTTCTTTTAAGTTGGGCTATTTATCTATTTAAAAAACCACACCTTATCACACATAGCCGCCCAGAAAACATATATCATATACCACACAAATATTTCTTATTTCGTCCAATTCAATTTCAGAGAGATGCGTCTGCTGCGGAAAATGCTGCTGTGCAAGGAAAAAGGGAGGTAAATCCAGCGATGTAATGCCCATTGACGAACTAATGGATGAAGTCGATGACAATGAGATCGCAAATATTAAATCTTGCATCGGGCTTTATGACAAACCTCAGGAAGAAGTAACCGAAGAATCGACAGAAGATGTAGTGATTACAAATTAAGTATACGCACCTTTGGCCGCTTGGCATACTGTCCCGTGCGAACATCGCGAATGGTGGCTATATCGAGAATGTCCAATTCGTTGTTCTGATCGACCCAGTAGAGGTAGAAGCCCTTGGAATCGACACGCATCGTCACCGGCGTTCCATTGCCCGAGTCCTGAAATCAGAGATACAAAAAAGAGATTAGTGAGAACGAAAGGAAAACCAAATTCCCTTCAAGAAAGAGGACGTCTAACCACTTGCTATAATCAAAATACATTTCCTCCACCGATTCGGGTCCAATAAATGTTGAACACATGATATACACAGTCGTTAATCTAGAGTTTATTGAACTGCTCCCAATTTCTCAGCTGAATTGGTCGCCTGAGTGCAGTTTTCAGTCGTCTGTTTTTTCTGCTTATTATTTAAGTCAAATTAAATGGGCCTCTGCCGGTAGCCATAAATATTTAATACCCCGGCCATCCATTCATAAAAGAAAAGGCTGACGAAATGCACAGCTAGCAATGCCAAACAGATGCGCATTCGTATTTCTTAAATATGTGGCAGCCAAATCTGACAGCTGGCGAACAAGATGTCTCGAAAATTTGGCTTCCCTCCTTGGAAGCGAGTCGAACAACGCGTTAAATGGCTCGGGCCAAATTAATGTTGCCAGCAGGAAGATGGAAGTGGGGGTGGACGGGATTCCTCCATCTGGGCGGTAAAGTCAACGCAGAAAACGCGAAATATGTGTGCAACTAAGTGGGGAAAAGTGCGGTCGTCTCGCTAGCTTTACATCAAGGAATGCGGCAACAAAGTAAGTGATGCGCAGCCATTTAGTATTTTCAAGGGCCTATTCCATTAAAATATTCATTGACTTTGATATCAGCAACAAATGTCATTACTTGTGGCATTTTATTTGTAGGGAGCCAAAATTCAAATACCTAAAAGTAACTTACAAATAATTACTAGATATTCCAAGCCAATAAAATTACAAATCTTAAAAGGGCACTTTTTTAAATATTCAAAAATGTTTTTGTGGAATTTCCCAACTTCGTTCTGATAAGAATAGTATTACTCTTATCGAGTTAAGTTCCACGTCATTCTTTTTTTCATTTGTCTAGTAAACAATTACTCATTTCCCGACTTTTTTTATATAACTGTAGATCAAAGAGTGACTCTTTTTGTAGTTCTGCCTAATTTTTACCAAAATAATCGCTTCGCCATGCAAATTTTAATATATCAGCATGCACTGCGCTTGTATACTGCATATTATTTAACGTCTAAAATGTATATAACAGATTAATTATAAAGTCAACTGAAGGAATGGATTTGCATAATTCTAATTCAAATAATTGTATAGATTTTTAATAATAAAAAAATCTCTTTCACAGTTTATTTGATTTATTTAATACCCCATATATTTTGAAGCCCAAGCAGCTATATGTTTGCTTATCCAACTGCTCTTCCCCACTGTCCCACTAGAATTAAAGGGTGAAATTCCTTGACCCCAGCATTGGCCCATTAAGATTAGGGAATGCCTGTTGTTATGGCAAAAATTGATGAGCTCTGAAATACTCGTTATGAGAATATTTAATTTGCTCAGCCCCAAGTTCATTATCCTTGCGGGTTCGAATTTTGGGGTTGAGTTTAATGAACCCGCTAGGTGCCAAAGTGGCCTGTGCCTGCCCTTTCCATTTCTCCCCAATAATCCACTCGAATTCGCCCCACCACTTGTGATATTCAATCAGGCGCATATTTTCCAAAGATCTTCAGTTGGTTTTGTGGGTTTGTTGGTTGTTTAGGGATTCCGGTGCGAGGGTAGAAGTTCGTCCCTCGCTAATTGGAATCCACAATCACCCCTCGAGTTTTCTTGGTTGCTTTTTCTGTTTGTCTAATTATTGAAAACTAATTGAGTTGTGTTCGCCGCGGAGAGGTCGGGATAAAACCTCGATAATTCATTTCAATAATTCAATATGGAAAATTCAGGGGCAATCCAACAACTGCTGAATTTGTGTGCGAATTTCAGTTTTCACTTCTTGACTGCTCTGGAATGCCCAAGTTGAATGTGACTGCCAATTGACACGCTCCTCAAATATTAACAGCCACCGCTTGCATGCGTATTAGTAATTGTGTATTTGTATCTATATCTGTATCTGCAAAAATATATTTGCACTGGAGTGTGCGTTGAGGATAAGAGCGATTACATGCATAATTCAATTGGCGTAACAGTTGGATCTGCTCCCTGCATGTCGGTCGGCTATATAAAACGCTTAAGGGAGACTGCACACCGAGAGGGGAAAAAGGGACAACTGCCAGCTAGCCAGATGCCCCCTAGATAAAAGCACTGTGGGAAAATGTCGTCGCGTAAAATATTACATAAAGTATTACTTTAATTGAAAACTAAAATTAAGTTCGTACAGTTTTGAAGTTGAATTTGTTCTCAATTTTAGAAAATATTTTTAAAAACAATCTGTTTCTGCCTTTAACATTTTTTCAGTGCACTTTTCCATTTACAGATACACTAACATCTAATGCCATGGAACACATCTGTTGGTGACGATTGTCACACGCCATTCTCCATTCGCCTGTCAATCATGCTTAGGGAACCAAGTTCTGAAAGGTCTGTCAGGCATCCACAAAGGGCGGTGGAGTGCTACAGTGCATTAGGGGGCTCTGGGGGGCGGATTGGCATGGCGACGGCGGTTAGGGATATGCAAATGCTGCCGGGGACCACTCAGCAGCCAGCTCGGTTTCCTGCTAAAGTGTACTCGTCGGTCTTGCCTCGGACCAAACTATCGAAATGAGTTTAAACAGCTGTAAGCGAGAGCTACATGTAAACTATATCTTCAAATATGCAGCTGCTCTGCTCCTGTTTACAACCATTCGCCTTCCCCTTCCCCTAATTTCAGCCCCCGCTTAGTTCTCGTACGAAAGTTTTCCCGGCTCTTGACAACTTTGCCTGCTACCACTGTTGACGTTTCCCCAAGCTAACCGTTTGAGAAATGGCCAGGACATGCCGCTCTGCAGCTCAGAAATGAAGATTAACGATGAGGAAGGAGTGGGAACCAGTTGGGCACCTTTCCCTATCTATCAGGGTCTTCCCTCATTTATTTCACCTTATTGCTGTGCCTCAACATTTCCATCTTTGATCAATATAAATCGGGACCCAAACTTTTTTTTTGAAAAACCAACATCCATCCTAATAATAAGCTACAAAACAAAGTATCAACAAATCATTCATCAACCAATTCAAGTTTAAAGTGATTTTGTATATTTAAAAAATTTTTCAGTTAAACACTAACAATCCTATTCTTATAAAATCCAAGTTCTTTAAACTTTGCTCCAAGAGTACTACTAAATTTTTAGAAATTTAATTACAGTGTTAAAGTTTTATGCTTCATAAAAACATATTATGTACCGATTTAACCAATTTCATAATAATCCCGGAAAAACCTCAAATCCGGCCATGACTAAACACCTGAACACTGAAATGCCTCCTGAACTTACTCAGCACTTACACAGACTCTATCATATATCACTAGCTGATCGGCAATCGTAAATAGTAGTTCGATTTTGGGCAATCAGCCGTCCACTTATCGGGCAATAAAACACGGTTCTCGATTCGCAGTTAACGAGCTCCGTGATTAGATACGGAAACTCGCGGTGTTTACTTTAATGCAGTGCTAGAGTATTACGCAAAAATCTGCCATTAGGCACCCCTAAATCTCAGTTTAGCTGGTAGTACGCGGCGATCACTTGATAGATCCATCCGACGTATGGCGGCACAGAGGTGTACACAGTGGGCCGTTTGGCATAGCCGCAGGGCATGTAGCTCCATGATCCGAGGGCCACCAGTTCCGCGGGTCCAGTCAGGGGCCAGTAGATCAGGGGAGTGCCTCCGTCTCCGTAGCAGGTCTTCACCTGCGAACACACCTGTTTGTCCGTAAGAGGCGCATCCGAAGGGAGCAACTCCTTGCAGGCGGTGCTGTTAAGCAGCGGAGCAAAGGCATACTGCAGTTCCTTGGAGTACTCATCGCCATCGGCATCTGTCAGTCCCCAACCATAGGCAGCCGCTGTCTTGTTGCTATAATCATCGTTGATATCGGGCAGTGCGATTTGCTGCACACGAGCGTTGTATTCGAAACTTTCGGAGACATGCAGCAGGGCAATATTATCACTTCCAGCACGGCCAGTAAACGAACGGTGAGTGGAGGCAAAGTCCACATAGCGCACTTGGGCGGCGGTCACGTTGGATCTGTTGATGATCCCCGCATAAACAGGTGTTCCCACGACATCCCCATTGAACTGCCGCAACTCCTCGACACAGTGGGCGGCCGTTAGGAGCCACCGCTTGGCGATGATGGATGCTCCGCACTGGTGGGTATAGGTGGACCTGGTCAGGGACAAGGAAGCCAGGTAGGGCACATTGTCCACTCCCTGCACATCGTAGCCATCGATGATCAGCGGCTGGATCTCCACGGGCACTTGCTGGGTATCCCTCAATGTCAAGTGCTGAATGTGCAGGCTCTTAGCCGCTCCGGCCAAAGCCAAAAGGGGCAGCAGGAAAAGCGATGATAACATTACAACTGATACGGTTGAGAATCACAAAACGTCTAAACCGGCCGCCGAAATGGAAAGGGGCTTTTATACTAATGGGCTAAAAAGCTTTGGAAATCAGAGAAAGAAAAAACACTTATCAGAACGAAAATCCCAAAGAACTAGTTCTGTTACACACGCTTACAAAATTTCATTTTATTATGGAACGTTTTTCATTTGTTTGTGTCAAATTTGATTTTGTATCTGATGTTCTAGGAAACTGATTTCAATTATTAAAAAATATACAAACAATATGCCGAATATAGTCAATAAATTTATTAACGTTTCTCTTCCTAACTCACACTTGATTTAAACATTATTACTCACGACTGTTGATTGAACTTTGGAACCAGGAACTAAAAGAATTTTTTATATTATGTCTGATAGAAATCTTTTGATTTAATGAAATCCGAAAAAGACCATATACGTAGATAATTTTTATCACCCTTTTTACCCGATCAATAAGTTATTCTTATGTTCTTTCAGAGCCGGCTTGTTGCCACAGCTCTAGAAGCAATTACGCTCGTCGGGTGCTGTGGCATATAAAACATGCAATTACCCTTCCGGTCGAGAAATGGGAAAACGGAGTTTAGTGCATCCCTGCATGCACATCCGTGCACATAATTGCCGGCTGCGCTGTGGCATTAGGGCCACATGCCCCGTCGTGTGGCTGTTGTCCAGAAAATGTTTACGCAAACGTGCGGTCACTTCAGGGGTATGAAATCCACTTTTAATTGGCTTTGTCCGCCAGCTGGGAGAACGCAAAAGCGTCGTGAGGGGTCAGTATTTTTAGCATCCTTTGAGACTGGGCCTTGGGCGACCTTGCCGTGTCAACACCTCAGTTAACACATTACGCACGACCACGTGGGCGGAGTTTTACAGGGCTTTTCCCGTTCAAGGGCAAGTTACTATATAGTACATGTACGCTCGTTCCTATCGACTAATCCTAATCAATTTCAGACGAAATAAACTTATCGCCAAATGCGATTCATAAATCTATCTGCTAATCAATAGTTGAAGACGGCTATAAAAGGAGCTTTCCGCCAAAAAGAGAGTAGACATTCATCGCAAATCCGCAGAATGAAGCTGATCACTGTGACTCTTCTTGTTGCCCTGGTGGCCGTCGCTCAGGGCGCCAAGCTCTCCGACAAGCTGGCCAATCTCGTGCCCAGTTTCGCCACTGGCTTCGTGATCAACGGCACGGAGGCGGCTCCTCACTCCGCCCCGTACATCGTTTCCCTGGCCACCAACTTCGACAAGCACTCGCACATCTGTGGAGGCACCATCTTGAACAAGGATTGGGTGGTCACTGCGGCCCATTGCATCTCCAACCCCGTGGGCATGAGCATCATTGCCGGACTCCATACCCGTTCCGAGGTGGATGAGCTGACCCAGCAGCGCAAGGTCGACTTTGGCCGCGTCCACGAGAAGTACAGCGGTGGAGTGGGACCCTACGACATTGCCCTGCTGCACGTGAGCGAGTCCTTCATCTTCAACGAGTGGGTGCAGCCCGCACCCTGCCCAGCCGTGAGGAGATCCATGAGGGAGAGACCCACCTGTACGGATGGGGACAGCCCAAGGCCTACGTCCTGACTGCCGCCAAGACCCTGCAGACCGTGACCACCGACATTGTGAACTTCAAGGAGTGCAAGGAGGCACTTCCCGACACCGCTCCTCTGGCCGAGTCCAACATCTGCTCCTCCTCGCAGCAACAGAGCAAGTCCGCCTGCAACGGCGACTCCGGCGGCCCACTGGTCGTTGAGTTCGAGAACGCCGCCTCCGAGCTGATCGGCATCGTCTCCTGGGGCTACATCCCCTGCGGAAAGTCCAACCTCCCCTCCGTGTACACCAAGGTGTCCTCATACGTCGATTGGATCGCCGACATCCAGAGCGCCTACTACAAGCTCTTCTAGATGGAAGGGAGAAACCGGTAGTCAGATCTAGCCAGGGATCGGTATCACTTTAGATCAGAGCCGTGATCAATTGTTGAATAAAAGCATCCAACCAAAGTTAACTTGTCTTGAGGTTTTCTGAATGTGGTATTCTTTGAACATGTTTCTGGGGTTGAACATTTTTAGGCTCAAAAAATTAGCACATTCACGTTAAATTTAACGTTGTGTTTTAATGAAAAACAATTGTTATCCAATATAAAAAGTCTATTGATTTAAATATCTATCAAAATTACTGGACACATTTAACACTATCTCCATATGTGAATTTCACACCGTATTGGAAATTTGTGTATGCGGACCTAATAAAATTTAAAAAATTATATATTATTAGGTTTAAAGCGCAAACATTTTCATGATTTTCATACAGAAGTCTACTATGCTTATGAATAAAATTATTTATAAGCGAATGGAGTTTTAAGCATAAATATAAAAGTTTGAGAGTTTTAGGTGTGTAGGCTTTTGTTTAGAAGTCAGCCCCAATATATTAACCCTTTGTAAGACCAAAACAAATCGGTCATATAGTTTTCAACCAATCAGTTGTGATATAATTGCAAACAATGAAAGTCCATTCTTTGTTAGCTTTTTCTACCAAGGTTGATTTACAATTTATGACGTCTGATTACCCTCGAATTGATCGATAATGGCTGGATGGATTAAAGACCATAGTTTGTCTCTAAATTTATGGCTTCTAATATAAGAACTGGAAAAGCCCGGACTTTTGGAGGCGTGTGCCATTGATAGAGATTCCAGTCCCAAAAGTCATGCACTCGACCAATCAAAGCTATCGAGTAGAAGCTCCTTATCGGTCAGATTAGAAAGTGCTAACTAATGAGTGGTTAAATTAAATTGAAAAAGCTCTACAAAGCTCTTCTCTTCAGTGTTAGCAAATTGCTAAAATAACATTTGAAAGCCACTCAAAAAACAAAGACAATAACTACTAAAATATATACACAGCTACTGTAATTTCTATTTATGTCATTTCTCTTCTAAACATTGCGCTGTTTTACTTATTTAAATATGTTATCTTCATAATTCGAAAAATCGAATTTTAATTCAAACTTTACACTATAACTAGACAGATTATGATTAGAAATGTTAGAAAAAATGTATCAGGGTTTATTTACACCTCGCCTATCTAATCATACAATAGTTAATAAAATAGTTTGCGAAAGTCGCATCGACTATCTATGCAAGATTTACTTATGTTTTATGACCATCACAGTACGAACTCGAGATATACCGAAAAGACTCTCAACTAAAGTGGCCAATATATATATAGTGCCCTGCAGATCCAGGTCAAGAACCAGACATGTCGACTTCAGGGAAGCCTTTTTCTTTGCTTCAAGTGCCATCCGACGCTGCAAGATTAGCACGTTAATCAGTCAAAGGCGTTAAACCAAAGGACAAAGAGAAACCGTATCGGGGCCAAGAATATGCCGGTCAGAATCATAAATCTCTCGAGTGATAACGATAACCGGGGGCTCCAATTGGAGATTGGAGACACCTATAAAAGGTGCTGACCGAGTTGGCATTAGAACAAACTCAACAGAGAACTTAAAATGAGACAATTCGTGGTCCTATTCGCACTGGCTCTGGCCACGGCTTCGGCTAATTTGATCCCCCAGCCGGGATTCCCCGAGGGTCGCATCATCAATGGCTATGAGGCGGCTAAGGGAGAGGCACCCTTCATCCTGTCTCTGCAGTCCTCGACCGGTTCGCACTTCTGCGGAGCATCTCTGATCGATCCGAGGACCGTCTTAACCGCCGCCCATTGTCTGACCAACTCAAAGGGTCGGATAGTAGCCGGGGCCCACGACCGCACGAGCACCGAGGATGTCCAGATGAGAGACTTCACCAGTGCCCAGTACAGGATCCACGAAGACTACAGCGGTGGCGTGGGTCCCAACGACATTGGCCTGATCCTGCTGCCTGAAAAGGATGCCTTCAACCTGAACACCGTGTCCCGCGATGGCAGCAATCCGGTGTCCGCCGTGAACCTTCCCTCCAAGGCATTCGAAGGCACTGGCGATGGCATTCTGTACGGATGGGGTCGGGACAACTCGGGACTCCTGCCCAATAAACTGCAGAAGCTGGATGCCACAATCATTGATGCCACTAGGTGCGCGGCTGCATTGCCCTCCAACAGTCCGTTGGCGAAGTCGAATGTGTGCGTCCACACCGCCGGAAAAGCCGACGGAGCCTGCAACGGAGACAGCGGAGGTCCGCTGGTCATCAAGTCCGAAAGCGGCGCCACCCAGCAGGTGGGCATCGTCTCCTGGGGATACACACCCTGCGCAACTACCACCTACCCCTCTGTTTTCACTGATGTGGAACATCACAGGGCTTGGATCGAGAAGAATCGTTATTCCGATTAGGCGATAACCTAACGTGTATATACTAACATTAAAAACGAACATTCTGTACTCAAACAATCCAATCTGTGTTTTAAGAGGCACGGATATTTAAACAAAGTCTTTTTGTCACAAAGTCTAGGAGGAAAGCCTATTAGTCCAAATAGAAATAGAAATTATAACCAATAGTGAACCTTTTCGACATGCGATTTACCCAGAAAGAATCGGTTGATATAAATAATATGATACTTACATCGTCCCATCGAATGAACTTTTCGCCATCCTGCAAAGCTTGTGGAACCTCCACGCTGGCGGTGGAGATGTACGTTCCTCCGGCGCTCATCATACTGACTGAGTTTTTGGATTCGAATTCGGTTCACTCGTTGAGCTCTGTTCCACTGTTATTTTCTGGTTTGCTTTGTTTTTGAATCGCTGCAGCTCCCGGTTTCCGTTTAGCCGCTGCTCGGCGACTTCGTTGCTGTAGTTGATTCTGTTTCTGTCGCAGAATTCACCTGGCTGCATACAAATAACTCCATGGTCCTGGTCCTGGTCCTAGTCCGAATCCTGGACGTGGTCCGAGCCTCAATTAGAGCGCCGTTGTTTTTGCCTCGCCTCCGACCCTTTTTGACTGCATTCTGCACTTGATTAAAATTCCGGTCCCGTGCTGCTCGCGGTTTCCTGAAATTGCACAAATGGAAAAAGTTGGTCAACAAAATTATCTGTACAAAATGTCTTTAATCTCTTAAAGAACATTGGTTTTTTTATAACAGATTGGTTTTGCGTAGTCTTGTGCCTTGAATGATGCATTTCTTCAGACACCTTGAACATATAAACTTTTCATATCAAGTTTTGAGATGAAACATTGTTTAACGTTTAGCTAATACACTTTTTAAATTTGATCGCATTCGTTAAAAAATCTCTATTTCAATTCCATCTATATTTCCAAAAAAAAAAAAGCCATAACAAACAGTAGATACAGATTACCCAAAGAGACGAATACGGGCAGCTTGATTAGCGATTCGGCGAAAGTCTGGCGCTTTTGTTTCTCTGCTACTGCGACCCTATTACGGGGAACCTGAAAGGTCAGGATCCAAGGTCCGGGATGTGGAGCCCCTTGATGGGGTTTCCATTCAGCAATGGAACTCCATTCACTCGGGGCCATCTCATTCAGAGCTCGAGTGCTTTGTTTGCCTATTTTCGGGCTGCTGTCGTCGGCCATTGTGTTGCGAAATTCCCTTGTAGTTTCCTTGCCCTTTGGCCTCTGTTGGGTTTCTGTTTATTGTGTTCGGCTGCACTTCATTAATGCAGGCAAACCGTTTTTCGGTTCGCTAATTTGGCGCACAAACATTTCCAATTTTCAATTAGCCGGCAGAGAACTCTTGACCTGAGCATTATCGAGTAGCTTTAAATAAACACCCAGTGCTGTTTACGTAACATGGCTGATCTGACATGAGTGGTTCCCCTTATTTTTATACCCTTGCAGAGGGTATTATAATTTCAGTCAGAAGTTTGCAACGCAGTGAAGGAGACATCTCCGACCCCATAAAGTATATATATTCTTGATCAGCATCACTAGGCGAGTCGATCTAGCCATGTCCGTCTGTCCGTCTGTCCGTCCGTCTGTCCGTCCGTCTGTCCGTCTGTCCGTCTGTCCGTCCGTTTATATGCAAACTAGTCTCTCAGTTTTAAAGCTATCTGCATGAAACTTTCCCAAAAGTTGTCTTTCTATTGCAGGTAGTATATAAGTCGGAACGAGCCGGATCGGACGACTATAGCATATAGCTCCCATAGGAACAATCGGAAAAATAAATGAAAAAAAATTATAACTTTTCTGTTTTTTATTTTTTTGTTTTGTTCTTCGAAATTTAGTAATGGTTAAATATTTACGATTTACGGTTTAAATTTCATCAAAGTCGGACGACTATATCATAAAGCTCTCATAGGAACAATCGGAAAAATAAATGAAAAAAATTATAACTTTTCTGTTTTTTAATTTTTTGTTTAGTTCTTCGACATATAGCAATGGTTAAATATTTCAGAATTATGGTTTAAATTTTATCAAAATCGGACGTCTATATCATATAGCTCCCTTAGAAATAATAAAAATATATAAAATAACTATCAAATAATTGAGCTGCCAATCATCATAGCTTCAATGTTTTTAAACATATACGAAAGTAAATCATAATTTTAATGTTTTCAAAAATGTTTAATTCTTGCAATAGCTGCAAGGGTATATGAACTTCAGCTTGCCGAAGTTTGCTTTCTTTCTTGTTTGGCATAATCCACTTAGGCAGACTACTATGACAGCTTATCCAGAAGTGGACTAGATTAAGGGAAACTCGCACACGTGACTGCGGGTCTAATACTTTCGTAATTTCTTTTGACCCTGTCATAACCAATTTCAGTCAAGTCCGCCAGGCCAAACCGAAACTCAAACTAAAACAGAATCAGAAACAGTAACAGAAACAGTAACTAAAATATCAACAGAAACAGAAGCACCCAATGAAAATGTAAGCAAAACTTTTAGTCACAGTCCAAAAGCAAACAAATCCATTCAGCCACCCGAAACAAAACACATGTATGTATATTGTACACTGATAACAAATTTCTTAACCAAAAGCATTTGTAAAAATTCAACTGAAAACTTATTTATTCCTTTTCAAAGTGCTTGGTTTTAACTCTTGTACTCCCACTTTTATGCCGAAGGTTGTTCGCGCATAAAGGAAGTCATTTGTTGATTTCACAAATAGAATTAAATTTGAATTTATCTTGTCGTTTTCCTTGCCAATTTCTGTTTCAAAAAGAGTTTGTACGTCATAAATTTGCAGGCTGCCAAAAGGGGAAGTAATTAAGCATTTCCATTCAGTTTGTGTTCCAATTATTTTCGAGTGTTTTTGTGAGGGGCAAATGGACTTCGAGTCGATATCGAAAATGGTTATCGTAAGTGAAATGAAAAATGCGGGAAATGCTTGCTCGGTTTTCCTCATTTCCATGCTCTGCTCACTTCCTAGCTTTTCTTTTACCCTGCCTATTTAAACTTTGCAAATCGTTTTAAGTGTTTTATGGCAAACGGCAAAAAATTTATTGCAGTCAATTTGCAAATGTACCCCAGAGTGGATGGAAAAGTAGGAGGCTTGTGGGTTGAATTAAGGGGGTGGGTGTTTGGGGACCGGTGCTCGGGATACACAATGAAAATCACAGCGGCAACATGGATTGCAAGTGACTTTTCCCCAACGTTTTTTTTTTTTTGTTCTGCAAAAGAGAGATAGAGCAATGCCATGAATCATGCACGCGACAGAAACAGAAACAGAACGCTTTGCTCCACTTCCCCCTCCTCTCAGGTTTCCCCGACCCCCGTGACCCCTGTTTACCCCACTTTCTTGGGCAGGAAAGCGGCATAAATCAAAGCACCAGTCAAAATATGTTTTCCTTTGCCAGCTCACATCCAAAGGTTGTGAGGCCGTTGATATATATGTATATATAGCAAACCATGGCGTACTTGTTATTGGCTTGTTTATTGCAGACTGCCAGTTGATCTGAGGTGAATTTATGGATCTAATTGAAGTCAAGTAGTTATAATTATAAAGTTTTTAGTTATAAAGCATTAAATCAATAAAGCTATTAAGTACTAGGCATTTTTCTATCAAACTTATATATTTGTTGAAACTATACATTTTATTATTGAATTTCCGACCATTTTTCAAAATTAATTTAAAAGAATAAAGTTGAAGGGAGTACATTTTGTAATGCCTCTCGTGCACTCCGAGGACTGACTTTTAAGTACCTACATTTAAGTGTCCATTTAACTCATGGACAACTTTCCGAATGAATTGGGATGCCCCCAGTGGCATGGCTTTCTCTCTCTTCTTCGCAGCCATTTCCGGGAAAAGTGCGGATGTTGCTTGTCAAACGGCAATCTTACCCAGCAACACACTCCACGCACACACCAACATGATAATCAAATCAAGGCACCAGCTATTTGGTTAATGTGCATGACAGCGTCGCCGGGAAAAGCGAGGGAAATGCGGGTAAAAGCAAAGAAGAGGCTGAGCGGGTCCAGGGGAAAGTTAAAATGTTTAAAACTGAAGCAGGTGAGAGTCGAAAGATAAGAAAAAGCCAAGGGAGGCTCCAGAATTTGTGTAGCATGCTTTTAGGAGCGACAGTTTTCCACTCTCTCTTTGATTTTCCCGCGCGGAAATTGCAGCGACAGCCTGTGGCGCTCTATGTATGTGTGTGTGTGTGTTGTGTGTGTACCGACTATAATTTCATTTGTGGTACATAAAACTTTGCCAGGCTTCATCTCTTTGGGCCAAGACGTTGCAAGGCCAGAAGGGAATCACATTAAACTAATTGCTTTAGCTTGTCGTTGCTGTTGCTTCCATTGTTTCAACTCCTGTTGTCGAGTGTTTGATTGTTAGTGCTTTTAGGCAGGGAAAATTATATTTGCTTGTATGCCAAAATGGTTTCTGTCCGCATTTGGCAAGCCATTAAAAATTAAAAAGCCAGCATCACACACACACACGCGAACCCAGTTTGACAGCCTCTGAGAGTGTCCCTAACCTCAACGATTCAAGGCAAGCAAAAGATCTAAACACTCAACTAAGCTTTGTTCTTAAAATTTCAATCTTCTCTTTACTGTTTCGAACATTTTAAATACTTAATCGGGAGTTTAATCGTTAACTTTGTGTTAAAACAAAAGTAAATAGATTTTAAGCACAAAATGATTTCCTATATGGGTATGGTAAATTATATAAATTAATTTCAAGGAACTGCTTGAAACTCACCCAACGAACAGCAGAAAGGCGAACATTAAATATTAACTGAGGACAGCCCTAAGGTCACTGTAAGATGATTTACCTTTTGCTACTTAGTTTTTGGGCTCTCCAATTTACCCTTTTTCCTTTGTGATTTTAAATATTCAAATTTGATTTATACTTTTCTTGCTAAGTACTTATATGTGTACTATATAAATTAACGGAAATGATTTTTGGAGCGTTGCGGCATTGATTTCCCTTATTCCTTTCGATTTTTTGGACCTCAATGTAAAAATTCTTGGAAGAGTTTTCTTTTATTTTTCTACCATGTTCTGCTTGCTATTTTTCATTCAGAGAAGAGATGAGGGTTTGAAATTTGGGCGCTGGGTGCAAGTCAACAACTTGCCGGCCCTTCCGCTCTCAACACAGTCGCTTATTTCGGTAGCATAAAGTACACAAATAAATAAAAATATAAAGCGTTAGCCATGGCACAGCAAAGGGCTTCGCGCGGGGGGTGTGTCTAAGCAAAAGAAAAACAAAATTAAGTTCAATGACACCCAAAACAACAGCTCCCGGCCGTAAGCTCAAGTTCCTTCTGGTTTTTCTTGTTTGGAGCCTCCACCAACGTCAAGTTGAGTTTTCTTCGGGATCCCTGAAACCCCAAACAAATACACCTACATAGCTTGTGTGTATGCGTTCGAATCCAATTGGATAACTTTTAATACACTTTCTTTTCAGTATTTTTTTTCGCTGGAGGAGAGAGTTTGGGCAAACTGAGCAAAACGCAACCGAGCAAAACCAATTTATTATTTGAAAATTTCGTCATTCATTAAATGTTTTTTGCAATGGTGTTTGGTGACCCCTACCTCACCCCGATTGATAATGCCCGCCGATAGGCAAATTGTGAAAATATTGACAAAACAATTGTTTTTAATGGCACGATAGGTAATCATCCTTTCTCACCACACATTTGTTCACCCCTATTTGTTGGCTCGTGGCAGTTGCTTGTCTAAATTTTCTATTTATAACGCTGGCGATGAGTTCAATGTTTGATTGGCCTCCGCTGAAGGGTAAAATACAACGGTGGTGTGGACGCTTTTCGAAGGAGAAGTGAAAATAGGGGCGTTTAAACACCAAAGCATACGTTTAGGGGTTTGAAAATGGATGGATGCGGGATTTGTCAAGCATTTTCTTGAGTTGAGTTGTTAGATATGTATATCATACTCATAAAAACAAAATATGTTTCGAAAAAGCAGAATAGTCACAAAAACAATATGAATCAATCAGCATGTGCGGAGTTTCTGTTTTAATATTAAAATTGGTTTGTTTTACTTTAGTAACTTTCATGTTTCGATAATTTTCTGGCATTTTGCGTTCTCCGGCAATTTAGTCTGGATTTTTCCACTCATTTCCATACCACAAACACCACCTGCACCACTAGAACCACCATAAATCGTCTGCCACTGCCACGGATTTCGATTACAGCTAATTGCTCGACTAACTGCACGTCGGATAACCAAAATAAACAAATAAACAAATGTGCGGCATTAATTGCTTAAGTTATGTGCATTCGGCTGTTAATTTGTTTGCTAGGCACTTCGATTATGCAGATACTTACAATGTCCCTCACCCCTCGTGAATCGATATGTTTAATGTCAGCAGACTCGCTTTGATTGTGGAAAGCTTTGTATATGTGCACAATTTTGACAGCTTATCACGCTGACTGTGGTAATGCATAATCGAGCAGAGACATCAAAAACCGCGAGGGTAGGAATTTACATACAACCACCGCAAACAAAATGATTTTGTGACAGAAATTTATAATTATTAATTAAAACCGCGTTTCAGTGTCACCGCAAACAAACTCAGTATTATACAAACACACCGGATTCACGTTGCCACGCACAAAGTTTACTTATATTTTGTATATACGACCAGAATTTAATTTGGGTGTAATAAAAAAACAACTTTTAATAATAAAACAATAATATTTTGCTACCTAAATTAAATTAAAAAAAAAAACAATTCAAAAATATTTTATAAATAAGTTAATTATTTTTCAGCATTTTGTTTTAAAACTTTATCAGCGTGTGTTATCTTTTTATCGGTAAACGTCCCCATAAAATCTAATTAATCAGCATATCGCGGTTCTTTCACTCTCATAACCGGAGTAAGTGGCAATTTGGTTAAGTTTATCGCTCATTACCAACAGCAACGTCAACAAAGAATCTGCAGGCAATCTCATTCATATTCATAGAATCTCTTCCTTTCCCCACGTCCAAGTCCTCTTTAGCTCCCTTTTATCACGGCTTATATCTCGCAATCCATACAAAATTCATTCTGGATTTCTGGGTAACGTCTTAGCTTCATCTTTTGTTTTATTTATAACATTTTTGTTTTTGTCTCTGCGCACATTTTGTTCGCCTCTCTTTTTCATTTTTATCGCGCTTTTATCTAGTTTGTCAACGTTATCAGAAGGCGGTAACAACAATATCAGCAGCAGCAATAAGAGCAGGAGTAGGAACTTCCCCTATAAACATCATGCCCAAAATGCCACCCATGCTGCTCGGGTAGTCCGACATATTAGATTTGACGCTTCATTATAATGATAGATCGTTGTACGTTGGTGTATAGCCAAAACAACCAAACGAAAACTACACTGCGAGGAAGTTCTAGGAAGTTATGCTCAGAACATGCTTCTAAATACATTATCGATGATCACATGATTTGTAATAGTTTGTAAGAACTATTTCTTCTTTAAGATCTACAAGTTATACAGGCAAATTCAAAATAAAACTCATATGTTTCTTGCAAAATATCACAATTATCACTATTATGGGGCCACGGTGCGTATGAGTAACATGAGTAACATTGAGCAAACAATGATAAAACTTTGTTCGCATGTCAATCAAGACACCTTGGCATCTTCTATTCCCGCACTCGAGCACATTGTTGTGCCAGTGTACTGTCCACAATAATTTTTTTAATTTTTAGCTTAGCCAACGCTGCGTATGCGCGACTTTTATTCAGTTTTGTAGTCGCATGTTGGCGTCTGCTAAATAATTAATGAGCAGCCTCAAGTGGTAAACTGGGTAAGGGTGATAGAGAATGGCGAACGGAGATGAAAGAAGTGGAGCACGATGGCCATGTCAGCATAATGAGTCAAACACACCCACGCACGCTAATTGTCCTTTTCGACCCTCGTGTCCTTTAATGCCTTAATTGTGTTTGAATGATTGAAACTAGCGGACGTTGAATGCCACTGAAGTGGAAGCCGGTGGCTGGCGGAGCTGACAGGGCATGGTGCAGCCATCAAGTGGGATAATTGCATATCAGTGGTGCAGATGATGCCTCATCTTGAGTAATGCCTCAAGCGGCAACTGAAACAGGACCTTACTTAACGCTGAACTGGATGCTGCAAGATGAAAGAGGGAAAGCAGAGACGCAGAGAATTGGCAACTGTAAGCGTTTCGCTAATTGGCAGCAAGAGCTTATGTGATATCTGATGCTCTGCTCTTTCGCATCGAATTCATCGCCAGATTGGCCATAACCTGATTACAAACTTCAATAATTGCAATTGAAGCGGGGGTTCTCTAATGAATACCTTTTCAATTGATGGGTTGCCTCCCCTTTAAAAGGGTCTGTTGGTAATTGGTATTAAACTTGATTTTTCCAATCGAGTTCCTAATTACAAGGTTACGTTTAATTTGGTTTGAATATACCTGTAATTCAGAGCATTCCCTTGGAATTATCTTTTAATATACTCTATACATATCTGTCAGTTAGTTTACTTATCAAAGTAACAAAAGCTTTCTGTAAGTCATACATTTCGAAAAAAAAAACATTTTGGTAATCCGTCACTGACTTTCCAAATATTTCATTAAATACCTTTTTTAGGATTAATGGCTGTATCATTTGATCGATTGTTCTATATATTTAAATGATCAAGTTTTTTGTCGAAAAATATAGTATAGTAAAGTTTGGTATATTTACATTTGATTTGTCTTTTATTTACTAAGTTTAATTCCATTTGTATTTTTAAAGGTTTTTCAGTTTAAGTGAAAGCGGAAGGATCAAGGACGTCTTTGCTTGTCAAGGAAAACATTCTTTCATTGACACCTTGTCAAGGGCTTTCGGCACATTAACACTTTGCAAAATAATAAAATTAACTATGTCACAAGAGTTTCTTTAAACAAAACTTGCTTGAGTTCTTCCTAAATGGCTCCTATAGGAAAAACATTTTAATACTGTTTTAATTATTAATAATTATGTTATTACTAAGCAAAAGTCTTAGCGCTTTTTCAGGTAATCGCTATCACAGCTTATCCAAACCAAGTGAAGCGTTATCTGGTTAAGTCTCCGATTTCCACTAGAAGCAACAGAATCTTTCAGATTTTTTTTAGATACGCGCCACCCCACGCGCTCGTTACGAGTTCAAGTACAACCGGCGACGGCGACGCAAAATCATTGACCAAAAACCCCACATCCCGTCACAGATCGCTAGCTCAGTTATCGACAGAGATCTTTCAAGTTTTCCAAATCAAAAGCAAAAAAGCGAAAAAGCGAAATATTTAATCTTGAAAAGGAACGAGAATGGGAGCGAGGCACAGCAAACAGTTTGGTGAAACTCAAATAGAAATCGCCTAAATTTGCTTATAAACAAGAGCGAGGGGCAAGAGAAGAGAGGGCAACAACATTTTTCGGCACAATTTTCAATTAGGCAGCCGTGAAAAAAAAAACGATGTTGAACAAATAAATTGAATGGAATTGTATTTTGATTTAATTTTGTGTGTGTGGTGCTGAATACGGGAATCAAATTCCCCCGACCAAGACACTTCCTGATAAATTCGCAGATTGAAAAGGTTTTATTTCTGGTAAGTTACCTGTGCCAAAGTGTTTGACTTTCAGATGAAAACTTCGTTGAGGGCAATTTGAATTTCGTAAGCGACGAAATTTCAATTACAGATTTTGCACCCGTCTGCAAAGGAAGATTAACTCCCCAGCCAGCACCCACAACGGTTTGGGGTATATATTAAAACGAATTTATTCTTCAGTTCTAGCTTTAGCTATAGTTTTTAACTGGTTGGCTTAGTCACATAGCACAGATACGAACAAACACACACGCACACGCCTGCTGCAGATACGGATGCGGATTCTGGGGAACCGGAGAGGGGTTCCTCCTATGAAAAATCTCGGGTGGGTTGTTTTCCGGGCAAAATCTTCCGTTGACACGACCAAACGCCTCGGCGTACGACGAATTTCTGTTGGGAAAATCTAAGTGAAAATCTCACTGCTGCTTACATTCAAAAACCGAGAGAACGAGAGAGCTGCAGCGAAACGCCTCTGTCTCTCTTGGCGAAGGTGAGCTACTGTTCTACAGAATGTTTTTTTCGTGTGCTTGCAAAATGTCAAATTGTAAATAAACGAAAAACGCCAAGAGAAACTGTCATACCAAACAGAAATCAGTGGCGTAGTTAGGCAGAAAAATGGTCTAAAGCAAAACGAGTTCACATAACATACTGAATGTGAAAATGTTTATTAAATTCTGCGAATTTTTTTACAACTTATATCTCTTTAGACATATTCGTCAATAATTAATAATTTTGTTCAGAAGATTTTAGAGTATATATATTCCTAATCAGCATCTTAAGGTTAGTTGATTTAGACATGTGCGTCTGTTTCTATACCATTTCCTTAGTTTAAAAGCTATTGTTCAATCAAATCCATTTACCATGCCGCTATAAGCCCCCAAACGACAATTTTAACCCCGACCCTGGTCTTGCAACTTTGGGTGAGTCCCACCACCAGAACCCTCTTGACCCATAGACTGCTATTCGGAAAATGTTATACAAGAGCTTTTGCCATGTTACACACTTCCGTGGCCGTTTGCCTGAATTTCTCTGAGAACTTCTCTCTTTTCGAGAAGCTTTCTGTGTGCGTTGCCAGGTTTTGTTTTTGTTTTGGGAAAAGCGTTCGCGGCGAAATGTTCATGTTTTGATAAGAGGAAAGCGATTCCCCTACTTCATTAAAATCTTTCTTTAGGGGGAAGTCGAGCGGGGAACAAGCCAGCCGAGCCGAGCAACAAAAGAGGGATTCAACCGACAAACCCAAACCCCCTTTTGCAAACCAAAATTTATAATAGTTGCTAAATAGTTTGGCAGAACCTTCGATTGAAACGTGGGGACGATGTTTACGTGGACATCACAGTGCCTAATCAGCATCTGAAACGGTCAGAAAATCAAATTAAAATTGCCAATAAGGGCGATGTTGTGTGTGCGCCTCGCTACGATTTGAATTTGATTTTTGGGTTTGTTTGCTGCTACCCAATGCAGCCGGGAATTTATATATTTATTTATTTTTAATGCCCCACCAATACGCCGTACGTGAGTACAGCGTCAAATTGTCCGGACTAGGAACGCGCGCATGAAAATAGAGGAACAAAAGCAATCGACAACAGGAAGCCTAGAAGTAATGGCTTGACTCTTCCATTACCCTTGCTTACGACTGCTCTTCTATCATATAACGTGATGTACTGCTCCAATTTACAATTTTGCCATTGTTATTGTAAGTTACGTAAAAAAACTATACAATAGCAATGACATAACTAACGTAAATTTATTACATTTAATGTATTATGTATTTAACAATAAAAGTTAAGGTTTTATACTAATTTAAATTAGTATTAACCGTTTGAGATTGCCCTACAAAAATTTGTAAACACTAACTTTATTGACTTCAAAATTTTTTTTGATTTCATTTCTTTCTCTCTGCACTCAAAGACATAGTTTTTATACAATTAAATTAAATTGATCATTATAATTCGCTCTATGACCAAGCCTAACGTATACGCTTATTTAATAGGTTTACAGGGTAGGGAAATACAAAAATTAAAATTGAAAACGGGAAATCAGAGATGGGCAAAACAGTTGAAAAATATGTCAGTGCTTGCGGGACAGCGGAAAATATGGCATCCAACACTCGGGAAAATATTGAAGACCTGACCCACATATTTCGTTGGCAGAGGAGGTGCGCTCCACATTTCCTTTCCATCCAATACATGATTTTCACTGTGTGCCCCGAAAGTGATTGACAAGGTGAGACAAATGCTTCTGTGTCGGTCCCAGTGTTGTCTCCACAAAGCGAAAGTTGCAAGATGCTTCGCCCTCCTCCAAAGCGCAGACCCCTCTGCCGCCCAACCCCACCTATTTTTTCGTACGCTTGATTGATTGGGGCTCGGCGTCCTCAAGGTCGCTCGGTGGGCTACAAAAGATATGCAAATGGTGGTCCCGAACGGGAGATGGTACCGTGACTCACGTTCATTCGGGGTCACCCAACCAAAAGCACCCAACTAATGGCAACTAGGCATTATTATTGCATATTTATTCGGCCATAAAATGCGGTAAAAGCAGCCTCACATGGGATCACATGGCATTCCATTCTAAGCGATCCCTAGATCCACAACTAAATAAATTTCAAAATTGTTTATTTTCTTCCAAACAAATCAGCGTGCATTAAAAACAGCAAGCAGAAAATTTCAAATCCAAATAAAACATTAACATCCGGTGGGAATCCGGCGGCCCCCCAACTCATTGCACTGCTTTACCCGTTGTGCCCACTGTGCGTGGGTTGCTGTTGTTCCTTTTGTTGTCGTGGGTGGTTCGCCTTTGAAGAGGGAATTTACAGGTGTTTTATCTGCCAGTCTGTTTGTTTACAAAGGTCATGAGTTCCCAGACGAGTGTAACTAAACGAAACTTTGCGGAAAACCAGGGTACAATAAACAAGAAAGTTCTTTTCGGGCACATCATAACTAATAAAGAAGAACCTATAAAGGGATATCCCATTTGACTCAAATTTGAAAAAGATTTTAGTCTTAACTTTCTTAAAATTTGTTTCAAAAGTTTCGCGACGTTTTAATTTTAAACCTCCTTTCTCTTGTGTTCTTAGTAAGTTCGCTTTGAAGTAGGGAACTACAGGTGTTTTATCTACCAGTTTGTTTTTTACCGAGGAGTTGAGATTTTAGAAACTTAATTAAACTTTTTGAAAAAACCAAAAAAAAAGCAGCAGCCAAGCCACAATAAAGACCAACAAAATTATAACTAATAATTGAAAACTTATACAGGCTAACACTTTACTATTAAATTGCACTATTGAAACGCATTTAGTAGTTTTTAGCCTATCTTCTTTTAAGAGCATTTCTTTCGATGTGTTAAACTGCGTTACCCTAATCTTAATGAAACCACAAGCCAATTTTGGTGTTCATGTGGTACTTGTTTGAAGAATTAGCATAAGGCCTACACATTTATAAAGACTACACAAAAGACATTTCCATGATAATTCGCTAATAATCGAGTCTTTTTATCCGTCCGCTTCTGTGGTTGGCTGATTTTATAATGAAAGACAAGCAACCCGACGTAGAAAAACAACTGCAAACTGGGAATAAAGAGAAATGGATATTTTACGTGATTTCGAATAAAAATACCGTGGAGATTCTCTTTGCCAATTGCAACAAATCGAAAAAAACACATGAAATTAAAACAAGAGCTCTTCAAAATTCGCATTTGATTTATTTATAAAGCGATGATGACGTTGCCATTTCGGATCGAATCGGGAACAGTCTGGTTTTTTTCGGGTCTGCCTGTGGACACGAGCGTCTTTCAAAGAAATTTTAAGTTGTGGGTGCTGGAGAAGGAATTTCCTGCGCTAAAACATTTAATTTATTAATGCGATTTATTTATAGAGCGTTGAGCGCTGAGTCGGCAGGTGAAAGGTTGATGTCGAAGGATTAATTGAGGGTGGTTTAATAGGGTTGAGGGGGTGCCCATCAGCGCGTGGCTGACAACATGAGAGGGTGGTCAGGGGTGAAAGTCCCCACTTCTCTCTCCTGTTCGAAATACCGCGTGGTTATTGTAATTAAAGTTATGTACGATATGTGCTGCCACTTTTATACACTTGTATTCACCGCACACTCCTATCACCTCCTCAAGACTCCTCAAATTTTCGATCGTCTTTTTAATGGCGCCTGGGTGCGGCCCACAAAAATAATTTACAACATGTTGTTTTTTTGGTTGTTTTTGTTTTGTGTGAGGTTGAAGAGGGTGCGGAAAGGGAGGTGTTGGGGAGTAGGGCAATCGAAGTGAAAAAGGCGGCCAATTTACCCAAGATAATGACTGAATTATGAGAAAATTGTAAGCATATGGCAAGTCAGAAATAAATCTGGATAAAGAATTATAGGGTCAGAGTGAAACTCTTTTAATATAATTTATTTGGGAGCTTCAAAGAGCAACTAAAAGGGTTGTACATATGAACAGCAAAACTTCTATGTTACCAATCCAGTCAGTAATGTTAATATTAATTCTGCTATTTACGTATGCATGCACTTTTTTAATCTTCATTGTGTAAATGCGTATAAATTTTTGTTTTTTTTTATTTTTAAAAAGTTATGAAGTTATGTTGAGATTTCAATAATTTGTATTTTTATAAATTATAAATTATAAAATCGAATGAGTATTTTAAAATAAAAAAATTACTATGTATGTATATATCTTTTAATTATTTTTCTAATTGTTCCTATGGAAGCTACATGGATAAGTCATCCGAAACAGTAATGCTAATCAATAATTTACCACACACTGCGTTGCAAACTTTCAACAGAAATTATAACACTCTCTGTATAAAATAGGGTTTTGTCGAGATTTAAATATAAGCACAATAGTTTCGTAGGTTAGTGTTTACCTAAATATAAATTTAATTTAATATCAGACAATTTAAATAAATACATTTTTATTTGAAACTCTGAAGAAGACTACTCTCTAACAATAATCTCACCCCGCCCACTGTAACCTGCGTCTCCCTTAATTCCTCTGAACGCCTGAGCCCCTGATAAGCGGCACTGATTAAGTTCGGCACAAAAGCAAGCAATGAGATCACCCCCACCGATCGAATAGGCCCCCACTGCCCACCACTTACAGTTAACCCCGCACTTCCTCCGTCCACCGCCCCCCGTGGAGTGTATAACTAAGATTACGGCATCTCTAAGCTGGGAGAGCCGATCCACGAAGAGAGAGAGCGGGAGAGAGAACGGGCACCTGCCTCCTTTTTTGTTAATGCCATGTTATTCAATAATTTGCTTGCGTTCTAAAATTTTGATTCATTTGCATGCTAACACACACACGCACTTTTTGCTTTGCTATTTGCCAGGTTAATAGTATTAAACACATTTAATTACCTGAGCGAGAGAGAGTGTGCCAAAAGCGGAGCTTTTCCGGAGCGAGCGGGAGAACGACACTCCGTTATGAAGTAATAATGTTGTGTTTGTTGTCGCCGTTTTTGTTGCAGCATCGCCCAGCAAATACAATGCTGAAAGTCATTATTTATTCATAACTTTATTAACTACAGCAATCAAAAACGCCGAAACGCCCCGGAGATTGTCCAAAAATTCAAAACAAAAAAAAATTCGCGAAAGCCCAAACACCCAACCGCGAGTAAAAAAAATGCTACTAGAGATGGAGATAAGTCGATGCCAATGTCATCGATGTTTTCAATATATCTGTCTTATCGATGGTTGACTGGAACCATCGATGCCATTGCACACGAGAGCTGGTATCGATAGGCAACGCGCCCATCCTTAACACAGCTGATATCGATATCTTACTTTGAAAAATGGTCACATAGAAAATGGCGCGCATTTTAAAGTCGTTTTTAAATCTCAAAACCTTAAAAAGAAAAATCAGATTCTAAAACCAGTCAATTGTTACTTTAATAAGAAAGGGTTAAACTATAAGCTTTGAAATCGTTTATACCCTTAAGTCTTAAAGTTTCGTTATTGATATAAAAGTTGTAAGCCAATTAAGGGTTCTTTAACATCAGCTGAGCTAATGACCCTCCTATTTAGGTCACTCTATTGCGATTCCCCCAAAATTGGAAGCCAGACACTTATGAAGTGCATGTTTACCTTCGAACGATCGGCCGACTCATGATATTCGTTTTCTTTTTGTTTTTCCTTTTTTTTTGCGATAGCTTTCTGCCCAGCTCAGCGGCTTTCTGTCGACGAAGGTTCATCAAAATCAGAACCCACAGCAAAATAATCAGGAAACCTGAGGAAAAGCTCCATTACAACTGAAGACTCGGTTAATATGTTTGGTATCTGGGATTTATATGTAAACTTCTTGCAGATGTTTTTTCTTTCGATTTTATTATGGTTTTTTTCGTTTATGTTATTTACGAACATTTTTTTAGACACAAATACAAATACATACAATGTTTTCTTCGATTTTTTTCGTCTCTTTAAAAAACTACTACAAAAAATGGTTGTTGCTGTTGTTTCAGTTGTGGTTGCTGTTAGCGCTTAAAGATCTACAACATATAGCATTCTAGAGCATACATATTTAATAAGTATGTATGGGTAAATATCTTTATATATATTCATATAAAAAAATACAACAAATTTGCAATTCGTTTCACATTTAGTTTCGTCGCCTTCCATTGTTTTCATTTTTAAGTCTTCTAGTTCCGGTCTGCGCCAAAAAATGCAGACGCGAAGCAGAGATAAGAAAATTCACACACAAATATTTCCATTTAACATTTAGGTATGGCAAAAAGTCATCATCTACCAGGTTTCAATTATAATTGATTTCGATCAATCATATTTTGAATACACTTAATCTTTCACTGCTACTTGTTTATTTTTTTGTTCTTATTTTTTGTTATTTTTTATGTGTGTAATGTTTTGTTTGAAACGACTTTTACAAACTAAATTTAAAACTTATAAATACTACAACGTACGAGATCCGCCAAAATCTCATAGAATTTAAGCAAAATGAAACACACAAGTTACGATTTAAATAATTTAAATTAAATTAAAGGTAAAGTATAGACTAATGGTTATATATATATAAAGAAATATCTGAAAAACGCGCCAGTGTTTGTGTGTGCTTGTTAGTGGACAGCTCAATTTCAATACCGATTTGGGGAGAATGCAAACAGGAAGATCGAAAAGTTTCCAACTGGCACAGGAGAACAAGGGAACGCAAAAAGTACCCTTTCCCAAAACGCAGTTTTAACTTTAAGCAAATATTTGACGTAGCTATGATGTAGCTGCTGCTTAATGTAGAAAAATCAGAAGAACTAAGTTTATTGAAGTTATTAAACTATATTTCGTTGGGAAAGAGTATTTTTAAAATAAAGCCCAGCAGGTGGGTTAAACTGGCATTCCTTTCTATATGCTAAATATCAGTTGTGTAAAAAGAAAGCTTAATCAGCGTTTTTGCCTATTGCAGCGGTTTGTTGGTTTGTTATATGGGCAACCATTTGTCTTTTTCCTGTTCCTTTCCTTGTATATATTAACAAATGTTAAAAATTTTATAATTACATTTTCGATTGCACTTTGTTTTTGTTTTTGTTTTGCTTGTTGCTTTTGTTTTTCTTTTTTTGTATTTGTGTGTGAAGTTCTCTTGAATTCATTTCTTTTCTTTGTACATTTATTTTTTTGCTTCAACTCGGTGTGTGTGTGTTGTGTGTGGTTGTGATTTTATGAAAATAAAGGCTTTCTTATTGACAAAAAAAAAACAATACATGGGAAATTACTATTTTAGCAACACTCAACTGATCACATCGAGTACGTATGTAGATTTCCTTAGAACTACTTCAAATCAATCATAATATAACAACAAATATTAGAGCAAGGGGTGGGGCGCAAGGGGTTGCGGGGGTCGGTTATCAAAACCTTAACCTGATTTCGCAAACGTTTCGTCGGCGGCAGCTCCTTTGTTTCGTTTTTAAAATATTTACATGAGCACGAATAAATGTGCTGAAGAAATGCAGAACATTTCTTCACGATCTCCTACCCCGCCCCTTTTGACAACGCGCAGCGTGATAACAATAATTATAAGGGAAACAGGAGAGGGAGCTGATACAACAACAGATAGCTTGACTTATCAATTATCACGCGAAATGCAGTATTACAAAAAAATATATATGTATGTATATAAAATTAATCATACTTGTAATATTAATAAGATTACTTTCTCAATTAGAAAACTTCGTTCTTAGACCAAAAGCTTCTAGCAAGCCATCAAACATGATCACCAAAAATGTTTACTCGTTTGTGTTTCTTTTCTGTTTTTAGAGCCTTCTGATTCCGAAGGGAAGGCGGGGGGACAGTTGGACTGCCAGCGCCATCCATCACACACAAAAAATAATCATACACAGATATATAGCTTATACAGCCTATATATGCCATTGTACACACTCGGCGATGGCCGAAATAACAGCACTGCAAGAGTAACGCAAAGTTTTTAATTCGTTTTAATTCAACTCTCACCGCTTAATATGGAAACTCGAATAGCTGAAACAGCTGAGGTAAGGAAAACACTTTGTGACAGGGAACCCTTTTTTTTCAGTAAATAATATTATCTTGGCAGTTGGGCTTGTTAAATAACTAATTTGAATACATTTTCAACTATTTATAAAGACTTCTTTCGAAGAATAGCTGTGCTCTACGATTAGTGTTGAACCCAAAACGAAGGTGGTGGACTTTTAAGGCATTCTTATAACAAGTTAAAGCCTTGCGACAGAGCCTGAAGTGCTATTATTTGGACAACAACCGCATTTATATCTAGAGATAGAGAGAGTTAGGGCTTTGGAGCGAGCTAGATTTAGAGGGATAAATAGCTAGCCTGAGGTTGGGGACTCCTACTGCGAAGTGCTGAAGTTTGAGGGCGAAACAGATGCGGGAGGCGTCTCCGTGTCGTGACTCCCCAATCCGTCCACCTGGTCGTGGTCCCGGGACCGACCCGTCGGGATGGGAGCACTGCTGCCCACCATCGGCGGCTGCCTAAGCGTGGCCGCCTGCTCGTACTCCAGATCCATCTCCTCCTGCAACTGGGTCAGGATCTGCTGCGGATTTTGCTGCCAGTACAGAACGGGCCAGCGCAACGTCGTGGTCAGCGTATCGTTGTGCTCCTCCAGCGAATTGTTGGCATAGTGCTCCACCAGCTTCTTGAGCGTGGGATATATGTTGTAGGGGGCGGCAAACCCAAAGCCGCTCTCCGTCTCGTAAATAATACAATGCTGCACGGTGTTCTTGCAGGCAATCGACAGAGCATAGTGGCCCGCATCTCTCGCCCGAATCAGGAACGTCCCCGGTGGCGATCCTATCAGCAGCTCCTCCGCATCCTGGCGCTTAGCTTCCTTCAGCAGCCAGAGGGCTTCGTTGCTGTGGGGCTGATTTGACACCGTTTCGTAGTGCTGCAGCCACTTGTCGAAGCCCATCTCTAGGATCGTCTTTAGATCGTCGTCCTTGATGTTAAAGCTTTTCAGACGTCTGAAGAAAATAAGAAAATTGTGGCCGAATGTTAGTGGGGCTCAAATACTATTTTTTAACAATGTGTTTGGCATTACAAAAGAATTTTGTCCAAGATTAGATGGCTTAAGGAACACATTTGTGGGCTCTTTAGATTCAGTAAGAGAAAACGTCTGTCTGTCCGAACTAAACTTCCGTTGGAACTCCCCTGTGGAAAATTAGGCTTTTTTAGAGTCCAAACTTATATTTTAAACAATATTTCTTAAAATCCATTTTTCGCAAATATGGAACGCAAACTTACTCTTTTTATGTAGGTGCGGTGTACGTGGTTTTCTAGGCGTAGATAATCTGCTATTTATATCGATTTACCCTCATGACGTTGCCTCCTTATCTAATCATTTCGAAATTTAAATTGTTAAACTAAAAAGTGTTCCCAATTTAATTAAATTTATAATTTAAATTTATAAATTAAATAATGTTCCTTTCAGTCCTGATTTCCAAAACAAGTGTTGCAACTTCTTAATTACAATTGATGATTGTCTTCCAATTATATAAATTCCGTACTCGAGAACTCTCTTCAGCCTTGGCTAACAATTAATTGCGATTAAAGGCGATATCGATGACTAGTCATTAAGTTCGATTCTGCCTGATATCGATGCCTCATCTAAACCGTGTGCAATTTCAACTGACGGCGAAACTCTTGATTACCAAATGCGACTGCCGTGTTCCGGCCGCCGTTTGGTCTACGAAAGCCTAGACCCGCGGGTTTCCGCATCACGATCGGACGATCAGGCAACCAGGGGGGGCTCTTTGTTGCCCGGCTGGCTATCCAAGTGACTAAGAGGACCAGAGGCGCGATAAGCGCAAGGCAGGGTGATATCATGCATCTTTGCAGCGATGAAATCAAGATAGGACAACGCACAAAAACTTAACGCCCGCCAAAAGACATTTATCTAATCGGAGCGGAGTTAAGTGGGAAAGTAGGAGACTTGCAGGCATTTATCTCATGACGGTGGCCGTCTAATCTAGCCAAGTTTGGAGACACAAAAGCAAAAAGCCTTGAGGCCCGCAGAGGTTTGCAAAAAGCAGACCAGAATTATATACAGACATTGGGTACATAGAAGTGAAGAAGACACTCGAAGAGAATTATTAAACACTCGGCAGACTTTTAATGCCTGATAAACGTAGCTATCTTCTGCAAGGTGCTAACCTTATCTAGAGGCCTGCGCTGACACTCGCGCTTCCACACTCCAGGTAATACCCATAGAAACCGAGAAAACTCATCCAACGATGACGTACTTTACAGTGTAAAGGCCTGTTGCTAGGCGAAAGTCACCTTTTGCTTTTCGAGCTGCCGTAGATTGTGGGTAGCGCGGAGATGGATATAAAGAAATGAACAAGTTTCGCTAATCACCAAAAAATTAAGGAAAAAAATTCCCCATGTGGTCGGTTTCACGCAAAAGTTTGGCAGATAAATAGCAGAGTGTAATAAAAGAGAACTTCTATTTTAACGCAGTAAATTGCGCTCGAAATTCCGAGAAAATTGCAGGGATCAATTAATAGAGCTATTGGCACTTTAAGAATTGATAGAACTAATGAATAAATCCGATAGCGACAATATACTATTTGACAGTATTAAAAGTTAATACATTTTCAATTTCCAACCTAAGCTTTAGTAAAGTATATATTAATAAAAGACTTTCAAAAAAATAATTTTTATGACCTTGGTATGCAAACACCAAGTCAACAAATCTAAAAGCATACACCCATGAACACCCGATAAAGTTCTCCATATATTTGAAAGAAGTTCTCTAATTGTTTAGCTTGAACTCAAAAGTTACCCCACACGAAATGACGTTGATAAGGCAAAACAAATATATACTACTCGCATACAACTAAATATTGCACATATCAATCCGATATAAGCTTCGATTTGGAGACCGAATGCCAAGACTTGCCAATCATGCTGATAAGAATGTTAGGATAAGGTACCTTCCATTTATTCCAATTCTGAGGGGGTTGCTTATCGTCCCCTCCAGCAAGTTGGACCTCCCTGGGTCGAGACCTTGAAACCATTAAAGTTCCAATCCTTTTAAGAGCGACTTTTAAAATACAACTTTTTAAAAAATTAAGAACAAAGGTTTCCTTATCATTTATTTTAGTTATTAATCTTTGTATTTCCTTGCATCTATTTATTTAGGTTTTGTATCTATTTGAATGGGTCTTCCTAGCGCTAATGCATAGTAAAGAAAGTCGCATGCCAGGGAGTGAATGGCGTGGAGAATTCAAGAGATGAGAGGGAGCGGAAGCGGCTGCCGTTAACAGTGTTATGCCATTATTATCGGTATCGTATAGTATCGGTCAGACGAGCTGCCGACACTCCGACAGAATGAGTGATCGGCCGACTGAGCCGCCTATAAAATGAACCAAAACCGTAGAGTGAGCATTAAAATTCCTTTCCTCGGTGACTAAAAACTGCAAACTAGAGGTTCTTGGCTGCCTGGTAAAAGAATATTCCTAATCCAGCTCAATATCTTGGGTAGACACTTAGTTTTTTCTTATAGGAGCCATTAGTTGAAATTGTTTGTGGTTTGTATTTCTTTATCCTACATAAGATTTGCATTTACTTTAGGCATATCAGTGAGTAAATACTGAAACAGCATTTGTCATATACAAAACCAGTACAACAATATTCCATTATAAATGGTTGATGGTTAGTCATACCGTCGAAAAAAAATCTCGGTTACCCAACATGAAAAAGTTTACAAAATGAACAGTCAAATGTACTGAAGCTCTATATTATTTTATTAAAGGGGCATCTTACGAACAGCTACCTTTTGTAATTGTTTCCTTATATTGATATACAGTTAAGTTAGTAAAAGTTTAAAAAAATTACTTACTCTATGTACTTGTCCTTGCGCAATTGCAGTACTTGAAGTTCCGGCTTAAGGGCGTTGATCTGCCGCTCAAGCAGCAGTTCCTCCTTCTTCTTGTTTTCCATGTACTGGTTTAGGACCTGTCCTTTGGCCTGAAGCACTTCGAGCAGGTTGAGAAGGGTCTGTTTGTTGTCTTGCAGACTTCGACGGGTGTTGGCATTCGCCGCAGCGGATGCGGCTCCTCCGGGGCCCGCATCTCCGGGTCCTCCAACCTCCGTGGACGGCGCATCCGGCGGCGCCTTTATGAAGGATTCATTGAGCTTGATCTGATTGCGGAATATCTTCTCCGCATTGCCAAAGACACTCTGGTGCAGCTTCTTCTCCTGCAACTCCTCCCGAATCGCATTGAAGGAGTTCCGCTTCTGCTCGAGATTCTGCTCGACGTTCTGGAGCAGCTGGCATGTCCGGATGAAGTCGTTGCTCAGCAGACAGAGATCCCCGTGCGGCTGCGATTCCTCGTCCTCGCAGGTTCGCACTATGGGATTGCTCAACGTGATGTCCAGCGCCTTGTTGTACATGCTCAGTGAGTTCTCCTTGTAATAGTTGATCATCTCCACCACCGAGTTGAAGAGCATCTTCTCGATGAACCCGTACATGCGATCCATGTGACAGATCTTAATCAGCTTTTCGCTGCCGTCCTTCATCAGGGTCAAAGTATATTCGCCTTTTTTGGATAGTGCGTCCCGCACCAGGAAGCTGCCGTCCGGTTTTCCGTGCAGGATGCTCTTGGCCACCTCCCGTGATATCCGGCCCCAGTACCAAGGTGCCAGGCGCAGCTGTTCTTCGTTGGGATCGACCAGCGATCCGGGCGCCTGTGGTCGCATCGTGGAGTAGTGCAGCGGGGAGGGTTGCACTGAAAAGCACAAAATTATTGTAGTATTAAGAAGTAAACTATAATATATTTCAGAAAAAAATATATGAAGGGAGGAATAGGTATTTAACTGCGCCAGCTCTGTTCCCTTTGTCCCTCTCTAAGGTTTTCATGGGTGTCCCAATAATAATATCAGAATATCAGAAAATACATAATTTTAAAAAATTATCAAAACAGCTAGTAATAGCAAATCTTTAATATAAAACAGTTAATTTGTTTGTAAATTGTGACTTAATTTAATTTAAACATATTCTCAAAAGAAAAATTAAAAAAAAAAAAATGAACAGCGACCCGGCGGACTCGATGTTTTCTTCCGATCTAAAACCTTTCATAAATCGATATGGTGGTCATGATTTTAAAGCTTAGTTACTTTTCGATCCGCTAAAAAAAAATGTTGTACTAGTGCATAACGAACGTATCTGAAGTTAAATCAGGGATGTAAGACGGGATTTAATTTTATAGTTACTTAAATCAGATCTTAATAATTGTATTCTGTCAGAGATTCTAAAGAATTCTGTCACAAGCAAACTTATTGTCTTATTAAATTGACATCTAAATGACTAAATATTAAACTTAATACGGCGGAAAATCAGATCCCAATGATTGTATCTTGAATCAGGGACTTTAAAGCAAAATCTCAATATCACTATCAATATCATATTAAATAAACATTGCACACAATCAGCTGCGAAAGGAGTTTAAGCCCTCGAGGAATCAATATCTCGGTAAGGAGCGCTATTATTTCCCAATCTCTTAATAGATATTGGCCACATATGTGCTCCCAACAGAAGCAACAACAAAAACTCGGTGTAAATCGAGGCATGTATTCGCTGGCGTCCCGGCTCTCTCTAGCTCTCGCTCCCGCCCCCATCCGCCCCGCTATCGCCCTCTCGCTCTTACGCACTCGAGCCTGTTGCCAAGCGCCCCCGAAACGCAAATACTCACTTTTTGTGGCTCTTGTAGGGGTTTTTTAATGGGTATAAATTCCTGCGATGCGGATGCTGGAGGGGTGGACCAAACAACACTGGATTTGTGGGTTGCGGGGACTACTCGCTCGACGATTCGCTATATAGCAGATATAGCTCACCACTCACCACCACCAGCGAATGGAACACATCTTTCTTTTCTATATTCTCGATTTCGCGATTCGACGAACGAACACTGATACACACACCAACGCACATGCACGCACACACGCACCACCACCAACGCACACGATGGACACTACGACACACTGGTTAAAAAAATGGTTGGCTTGAGGTTCGAATTTTGGTGCTTTTTACACACTTTTCGGTTCTTATCGTTGGCGTGAAACTTTCTCAACCGCAGCTGGTTCAAAACATTCTCGTACGGCACTTAAGGACGACAGAAATCGGGGTTTAATCACAATATATCAGCACACCATTATTTTCTCGAGTAGAAATCGTGCGGTGTTGGAGAGCGCTGTTGTTGCCATGCCACTTGCTGGGAGCACGACCTTGTCAACACTGGCGATTTCCTGTGTTGGCGAGGGCGAAACAACGTAACGGTTGGGACCAATGACGTAAGCGTTGCAGGGAAGGGTCGCCAACTGTTTACAAAGCTAACAGAAAACGAAATATATTTTCCGAAAAAAATTGCACTTTGAAATTTAATAGATTTGCAAGTCCAAAATCTACTTCCAATTAATCTGTTTTACTTTCGACTTTGAGCTATAGTTTGAGTGAACTTATATACATACCCAATAAATGTTAGTGTTGTTCTAAGAATCGAATTCTTTGACGGAAGAATATAAGACATTTTTGTAATTCATTTTGTGTTTTTTAAATTATTTATTTATATAAAACAAAGTTACTAAAATAATTTGGCAGCCCTGGAAAATACGTAAGACTACCAGTCGCTAGTGCTGAAAACACTTTGTCACCGTAGCAAACTTGTCAACACTTGGGCGGCAAATTCAAAGTCATTGCTTACCATTCTTTGACTCATTTATTTTACATTCAAAAACTTATTTTAGAGCTAAGCTACAGCATATTTATTGTAGTAAGAAAATAAGGACCTTGACGTTTGGAGCCTACTCCATCCATCTGCGTAAATCAACTAGGCAGACATTTATCAATGATTTTGTTTTCTCCTTCTAGTTTCAATTTCTTTAGTTAGTGGTAGTGTTGCGATTTCTAAGGTAATTACGTTTAGCATTAATTGTGGCCCGTTTCATCAAAAACGATATATTAGTTAACCAGCTTAAAGGTGCCATAAATTTTGTATAATGCGTATTATTGGGTGTTTGTCTCCTGAATGTTTATCAATATGGTTTGTATGTGAGTTAGTGAGTGTATGAGGGTGTGTGTTTGTGGGGTTGGAGTGCCTAGTGTATCTGAATGATGCCCGATTCCAGCAGTTTCATTATCTTATCGGCGATGGCTGGATTCTGCAAGTGTCTGCAAAAAAAAGGTGGTTAATTAAAAACGAGTTCAAACACTTGTGTACCCGATACTCGTGGAGATAGGGATGTATTCTAGATCAGGAGGGGGCCTAAGAGGTCCCGAAATGAGAAACTTAATATTGAGACTTTATATAATTCGTCTGAATTGATACTTGATAACAATTTTATTTGTGCTACGCCTCTTTATTCTCAGTCTCTATATGAGTCTCTATGCACCCTGTATATATTTTCTTCCTTTCCAAAAAGAACAAATTAATACCTGTTCCAAAAAAAAAAAAATTCAATAAACATCTATCATAACCATTGGAGGATAACTTCTAATCTTCAACTTTAATAAGTCAACCTTACCAAATATATCCACTTGAAATTAATCATTGTCCTATTTAAATATACAACTTATGTGTAATTCTCAAGGCCCCGTAGCAAGTAATAAATGCTAATTGAATTCGAGTGGACTTGCTCACCATGAAAACAGAAAGTTCTAAACCTTGTCCACCAGAAACCACGAAATCCCAAACGAGTAGCGGGTAAATTTCAAACAAGTACTTACTCTTTGACCGCATTGGGATCGTTCTGCATCTGCTCGAGAATCATGCGCATGGCCGGGTCCTTTAGAATTTGTTGGATCTCCGGGTCGGACATGGCGTTCTTGAGCACCTCCTGCGGATTGCGTTGGAAGTTCATCGAGCACTGGCGGTAGCCTTCGACGGCCTCCGCGTTGTTGGGGTCCAGCTCCAGGGCCTTTTGGTAGGCGGCCTGGGCCTTGGATTGTTGCTGCATGCCCTGCAGGATCTTGCCCTTGCGGATGTAGCCCTTGATGAACTTCTCATCCAGCTTGATGCACGTGTCGCAGTCCTTGAGGCCCAAATCGAAGGCGGCCAGCTTGGTGTAGCAGGCGGCACGGTTGCTGTAGAGCTTGGGATCATCCGGGTTGCGCTTGATGGCCTCGGTGTAGTGCTTCACAGCGTTACTGTAGTCGCCCTTCTTGAAGAAGTGGTTGCCCTGCTCCTTCTCCTCCTCGGCCTTCTCGGGATTGATGTAGGCCTTTCGCTCCTCCTCCTTGATCTTGGCCTCCACCTCGCTCAGCGAAGTCTTGATCTCCGGCGTGCGGTGCTCGGACATGGCCTTCTCGTAGTACACCTTCGCCTGCTTGTAGTTCTCCAGCTTGCGATAGGTGTTGCCGATGCGGGCAAAGGATTTTGCTATCAGCTTGAAGTCGGCGCGGCTCTCGCGTCCCACCTCGATGCCCTTCTCGCATTGCTTGATGCACTCGTCGTACTCCTTGCGCTCGAAATAAACGGCAGCTATGTTGTTGTAGAAGGTTATATCTGTGGGATCGTGTTCGATGGCAGCATTATAGTGTTTCAGGGCCGTCTCAAACTCCTTCTTCTTGTAGGCGGCATTGCCCAGCTCCTTCTCCCGCTTGGCAAAGTACTTCTTCTTCTGCTCCTCGGTCATGTCCTCCACCCGAGGCTCAGCGGGTTTCTGGCTCGCAGCCGGTTTCGCAGCCGGTGGTGGCGATGGAGCCCTTCGGCTGCTCGGCTGCTGAGGATCGACATCCATGGGCAAGTCCCCATGCGCCTGCATGTAGTTCAAAGCCGAGGCAGTGATCTCCTGGCGACCCTGCAGGAGTATAGCATTCTGGGGGTCGTACTTGAGACCTGGGTGGGTAACCAAAGTGAGGTTAGGTCGGGTGATTCATGATGGCATATGGCACATAGGCTGGATTAAGATCTGGACCTACCCTCGTTGTACGCCCCAAAGGCCTTCATGAAATCATGCAGACCCGCGGCGGCGACTCCTTTGCGGGAGTACCCCTTCGGCCAGGTGGGATTCAGCTCGATGGTCTTCTCCGCATCCTCCAGCGCCTCCTGGAACTTACCGGCCTTGGCGAATGCCGCCGAGCGGTTGCTGTAGAGCACATGGTTCTGCCCGTCCAGCGAGATGGCCTCAGTGTAAGCCGCCACAGCCTCGTCGAATTTCTCGGCATTTAGCGCCTGGTTGCCCTTTTCTTTGAGTTCGTTCACCTGCAAAAATGCAAAAACCTCAAAGGTTTTAGGTCGCCCACGCGTTGCCTTTGTCCCGTCTGCTCACCTTGTCCATTTCTGCTGGTGGAGCGGATGACGGTCTCTATTTACTGGCCTTTTTTCCTTTTTTATCGCTGAGTATAACACGCTGCAAGTCGTGCCAGGTTAAAATGCGAAAAATGCCGACTTTTCTAGAAGCAAATGGCCAGGGTTGTCAACGGTTGTTACGGTCTTTTTAAACGGCGGTTCAAAACTTGGCTAAGCCGAAGCGAGGGCTTACCATACCGAATTTATCGTTTAATTAAATTATCCTTGTTAAATATCACAAAAATAAAATTCAGCTAAAAAAAATCCAAAGCTTACGAAAATATGTTGTGGGTTTACTTTGAATGAATTCGAAAAACGCTGACAGCCCATTTAAAGGGAAACGATTACTGGGAGTATATCGACAGTACTGACATTACAATAATAAAATGGTCGATTTTAAATTATAATTAAGAGGTTATGTACCTCTTAGCCTTTCTGCCAGCTCATTTTTATATGTTAATGTATCGCTTCTTATTTTTTCAGCAAATTAATATTAACTTAATAAAATCAATAACTCACAAAAAAGTTAATAAACAACATATTATGAGAAATGATTCCTGCCAAAGAACTGACATCATCGATGGTATCGATATATTAATATATTTTTTAAAATTATCTCAAACTTAATAAAATCCAAAGTTATTTTAAAGTGAATTCGACAAAATTTCAACTGAAATTTCTGGGAATATATCGATTGCCGAAGTATTTCCATTATCGATAGTTCACACAAACGTCGATTTTTTTGTAGCTCTAGATTTGAAGCTGGCAACGCCGCGCACATACGACCAGACGCTGCTTTTCTACGTGCGGCAACCGAAAATAATTGAAAATTGGCCGAAAATAAACAGGCGGCGCACATAATTGCAATTCAAACGCGTTGCAGAGGCAAGCGAGCAGCGAAGTAACACATTTTGGCAGCAGCAACAACACAGCACAGCCGCCACCATGGCCGAGTACTTGGCATCCATTTTTGGCACGGAAAAGGACAAGTGAGTCGCATGGCACAATTTTTTTGCCCGGAATTAATTACTCAATTGCGTTCCATTCGACAGGGTTAACTGCTCGTTTTACTTCAAGATTGGCGCCTGCCGCCACGGCGACCGGTGCTCGCGCATCCACAACAAGCCCACCTTCTCGCAGACGGTGCTGCTCCAGAATCTGTACGTGAATCCCCAGAACTCGGCCAAATCCGCGGACGGGTCCCATCTGGTGGCCAATGTCTCCGATGAGGAGATGCAGGAGCACTACGACAACTTCTTCGAGGACGTGTTCGTCGAGTGCGAGGACAAGTACGGCGAGATCGAGGAGATGAATGTGTGTGACAACCTGGGCGACCACCTGGTCGGCAATGTCTACATCAAATTCCGTAACGAGGCGGATGCGGAAAAGGCGGCGAACGACTTGAACAACCGGTGGTTCGGCGGGCGGCCGGTCTACTCGGAACTCTCGCCGGTCACCGATTTCCGCGAGGCCTGCTGTCGACAGTACGAGATGGGCGAGTGCACCCGGTCCGGCTTCTGCAATTTCATGCACCTGAAGCCCATTTCGCGGGAGCTGCGGCGGTACCTCTACTCCCGCCGCCGCCGAGCCCGCTCCCGTTCCCGCTCCCCGGGCCGCCGTCGCGGCTCCCGCAGCAGGTCAAGATCGCCGGGACGCCGGGGAGGCGGCAGGGGCGACGGCGTCGGCGGCGGAAACTACTTGAACAACGAGCGGGACAACATGCGCGGCGGCAATGATCGCGGCAACGATCGCGATCGCCGCAAAGGAGGCGGCGGTGGAGGAGGAGGAGGTGGCGGTGGCGGCGGTGGTGGTGGACGGTATTAAATCTCCTGGTCATTTTTTAACACGGTGGCAATTGAGAGAGAGACAGTAACGGACAAGTAACAACGCCAAGTATCGTGTATTTTATTCTCTGCGTTAGTTTTCCACATTTTTATATCACTTCGGAGGAGAGACGAGAAGAGGAGAAGGAGGACGAATAAGGATGATGGGGTGTTCCACCACCACCTATGTACAAACCCCCCGCGAAATACTTTACCGAGCGCCCATTAGAATTGTAATTTACTATACACACATTCGTAATAATAAAATTGAGTAATACTATATGTATACAGAAAATAAGGAAGCTGGAGTATCAAACTACCATCTGCGAAGTGGGATACACATAAATGTCAAGAAACTAAGGTACGTATGGTGAACAATAATACAAGTATTTTCGAAACATTGACTTGTTTAACTGGTATTCATAGTTTTATTATAAATAACATTTTAGGTATACTTTACCCAGGGGAACATGTGTTTTCTGATATTAAGGTTATTTATGATTGAAGTAAATCATTTTGTAATTCGCAAGTTTAAAAGAAAAAATTATAATTGTTTAACAGCATTTAAAAATTAAATAACATATTTTCTATTAAATTTTTTTTAAACACTGATTTAGACTTTCGTCAAAATCTTATCTTAATAAGAGTTTTAGCCATATCTTCAAATATTCTAACAGTTACGTATACTTTAAAATGCAGATAGGCTTACTTATTGATAATAACAATAAAAGATAGATATATTTAAACTGCCACTATTTTTATTTACAACTATTCTAGCCCATCTGCAGTCCAAATAACAAAGTTAGGTCACGGTATAAAAGATAACGAAGTAATTTGAAACAACTAATGCCTTCTATTAACCAGAGTAAGTCTTACAGTGTACAATAAGTGCATGTTGAAAGGCATTTTGGGTATCAAACTTTGTCTGACAATGGGCCAAGATTAACTGACTGGTCTTCAGCCGGCGAAACAACGCCAGATTCCTCGGCTCCTGACTGCTGCTGAAGCTCAGCCTCTCTGCAGGCGGCGCAATTGCAGCCTTCTTTTCTTGGTGGGGTGGGCGTGTCAGAGGAGTTGCTGGACGCCTCCCTGGCCTTCAGTTGCTTGGTGATGTCAATCTGCTGCTGGAGGGTGTAGGTGTTTTCGTGTTTCCGCCGCTGCTGCTGCTCCACGTCCCGCAAGACACCATCGTGCAGTCTCAGCCTGAAAGGTGGATGTCTGCGGGTTATAGATTCCCTCCGGAATATATGGCTCACTTACCGGTCCGCCGATTGTTTATAGTGCACATAACCTATTATCGCCGTGGAAACGGTGACTGCCATGCCCAAAGTCAACCGCGAGGCTGTCGACATGTTTGCGTTTCGACCTGAAGCTGAATTCCGCCAGAATTGCCTGCACTATGAATTTGGGTGTCTTTTTGTGTGATTTTTGGGTTGTTTCGGGTTACGACATGACACTAAATTTGAATGAAAAACACCAGCCAAATGAAACTCGGAAGAGAGTGGCCAGTTTACGAAAGCCAACTTTTCCCCCCTGGCAGTTGCAGGGCGGAAAAATCGAATTTGAAAATCATTTTTGAATGCGTAAGCTATTCATTTTGAGACTTTAATTTAATTTTCACTTAAACTAAAAAAACATTTATACAAACCCAGGCCAAACAATAGTCTTATAAGTTCTTATGATATTCTTAGTTGTTTTTAGGATCAAAATAAAGTTTAATACATTTTGAAAATCAAAAATTTTTTATATGAACTTTAATATATTTAGAAATTCCTATTATCAAGTAACAATTTCTTAAAGTAAATTTATTATCGATATAAGCCAGCGCACTGAACGCTATACTCTATTTTTCTGTTTTATATTTAACGTTTCTTATCTCTTGCTTTGACGCAATTCCAAAGTGTTTCCTAAAAATAAAGTAAGATGCTTATCGCACTGCAAATTTATCTTTTTGACAATGGCTGCAAGTCTTTTCTAATCTGGTTACTTTCAAATAACATACATCCTAATCGGCTGCTGTGTGGGTGAAGCGATTCATTCAGGTGATTGGCTATCATTAACGCATAAACACGGAGCCCCACACTCCCGGATTTGGAATGCGAAAACCGGAGTCTATATAGTCCGGACATGCGCAACACGCACCTGAAGCGAATAAATGGAGGAACCGACACCACAAACCGAGCAACCGAAGCAGAAACAGAAGCAACAGCACAAGTACTACAATGCTAACCGAGCACAAAAGGCAGGAGGCAACACGGCGTATGGGCAACATCCAGTGCGACTCCAGTTTTCCATACGCTCAGTTGTGCCCGCGGTCAAGGGAAAATCGCAGCCGAGCATTTCCCCCGAGCAAGCCGAAAAGAAATCAGGAAAAGTACTAAGCGTGCGGGTGTCCGAGACCTGGTGATTGGTTTAGAGAGTGGAAATCAAATGTGGAACAATCAACAATTGTTTTAAAGGGCCATAAAAACCATTAAGTTATGAACATGTCCGATTTATAAACAAAAAACAAATTGTAGTGCAGTTCACATTTTCAACACATTTTTTTTCGAGCAATTCCTGCCTTAGTTTTTGGGGCTTAAATATTTATGTCGGTGACGCAAATATTGATTTAAATTTGTGCGCGCTTTAGGTTGACGAACGCGAGGTGCCGACTTAAGTGCTAAGAACACCTTGGCGACTATTTTTGTGTACTTATTTTAGAACTTACACAGCTAACGCAGAGAAAAAAATTTTAAGTATAGGTTTTCATGGCCTAATTAAAAAAAATTAATAACATTTGGTTTCATTAAAGAAAAAAATTATACTAAACCTAAATTCCCAAATTCGTTAATTGTATTTTGTTGTTGTTCTCTGATATTGACAATTACAATAATATTAAAAAAAAAAAATTATTTTATTAGATTTTTTGAAATATTTTATTGTGGAACTTAAGCTAGAAGCAATTTAATTGTTATTATCATATTTATACTAAAATTTTTTCATATATTGTTGAAATGAACGTATTTGATAAGCTATTAAAAATATCAATAAGATACAATACCTACAAAAGCTTTCATTGTGAAATTAAAAATTGAACAATTTATTAATTGGTTCCTATCATATTTATGATAGAAATATTAAATGGAAAATGCTATTTGAAATATCAATGAGACCTAATACCTGTAGTAACAAAGAGTTCCCCTTTGGCTTTTCCCCTTGTAGGGCCTGTGAGAAATCTTCAAGATGACCAAAGTGGAGCTCTACAAGTCCCGCGTCTTTGTGACAATCATTCACCTGTGTGCCCTGGGCCAATTCGCCTACGGGCTTTACTACAGCTCCTTCGAGATCCAGCGGAGCTACAAACTAAAGACCAGCCTTAATCGCCGCCTGGTGCCGGAATCGCTGCCCCAGAAAATCAAATTCCTGTCCTACTGGTCGCTGGTGAGTAGATTTATGGCAATGCCCAATGAAACCATTACCGAAAGATATATGTATGATAAATGATGAGAAATTAAAAAACCAAGACGGAAATGCAACCAGCTTCTGTTCTTTCAAGTGTCGAGTCCAAAAGCGAAACACAAATTATTCTTATTATGCCCCGCCGTTTGCCGCTGTTCACATTTATGTCTGCCATATGTTTGTTTATTTGTTTGTCTGCTCGTTGGGGATCGCCCCCTCTCCGAAATCGTTCCTACTCCTATATATTTTTTATCGCCTCGGGGTCAACAACTGTGGAATATAGAGGAGTATCTGGCAGATACAAGAGCTGCGCCTGCCGAATTTCCTCATTCGCATTGCACTTTCCCTGTTGTCGTTGCACATATTTTGCACGCTATCGTTCTGCAGATTTTTTTTCTGCTCAAGTATTTATTTGCTCAGATGTTCGCGGTTTTTCAGATTTTCGGTTTCGATTTTTGTTGTGGTCTGTGCGGGCGAGAATTTATGGGACTGACGAATGCCAGATTATCTGATGGGCGCCAGTGTAAATGTGCCATACGCGGCAGTTGGATTCGATTTGGTATATGGTGTGTTCCCATGCCTCATTTACATATCGTTAAAATTGTTTGGAATATCTATGGATTATTGCATTTTTCTCGCAGCTACCTGGTAACAAAAGAAAACAAATAACTCGAAGTGTTTGTCATCGGTTAACAACGAATTTAATTTGTTGATAGGTAGATAAATATGTCTTGAGTTTCGAAAAGCTTTAAAATAACGAGCGACGAACTAAATCAAAAAAGATAATTTCGAAAGCGGATATATTTCCTTTAGCTTACACTCTATTTTCGCTTTAGTTATGGGAATTTTTTTGCTTAACAGTTTATTTAACTTTAGTTATATATATAGAAATTTTTTTGTTTTATATTCAACATTTTTAAAATGAATTTTATTTCTCTTGACAATTTTGCCAACATTTTTTCACACCACTGGTTTTGACCATAATTATGTACTTAAAAGTTTCCATTTCCGTGCTCCTCTTCCAGTGATGTTCTTAGTTTATTATTGCGCGACCTTGGGTGCCCTTGATTAATACGGCCTGCCCCGCCCCCAAATACTTTGATCTGGTGAGCATAAAGTGCTTTATATCTACAGATCTGCACTCCCTTGTTTTTCATTAATTCCTTGGCGAATTGCTTTTATGTAGGCCGTCAATTACCAGCACGAGTGTGTTTCGGTGCCATTACCATCCGGTTGAATTATTTTTGTTGCCGATTCTTTTCCTTTTGCCTTTCTTCTGGCATTCCAATGGCTTCCGTCAAGCATAGGATGGGGCAAAAATTGTTTATATCAGCGCTTTCAAAATAAAAAAATAAACTTCAACTATTTTCCGACAAACAATTGCATTGCTGAAGGGAAGGAGAGAAAAACAGTGAATGTTCTGGGCCAAATCCATATAGTATCAATGGTATAGATACAACATATGTTTGTTAGCTGGGCACCATTCAATCTGCTCGATTTGGAACGATTAATTAGTGAAACAATTTTAATGAAAGATTTATGGAGCGTCTTATCCCCAAGTCTCAAAGCCGATCAGTTTCTGCTACTTCCAAAATTTATGCATTGTTTTAAGAGTAATTTTAAAGTGTACAATAAATATCACTTTTTAAGGTATCACTTACTAAATAGTTTTCGCAAGCCCCTGTGATATTTGGACTATTTGTAACCATTTATTTTGTGCAGGGTATTTGCTGTTCCTATCTGCCCGCGATTTTGTTTACATCTGCTGTCCCATTTCCCTGGTTTATTTGCTCTCGTTGAAAGTTCTCGATTTTGATTGTTATCCGGAATTTATTTGAGGGAATCGCGAGGGAAAACGCCCCCAAACATGGACCATTAGCAATGAGTAAAATTCTCTGACAAATTACAAATTTAGTTTGGAGTTAACTCTGTTCGCATCATGTGGTTGCACTGGCTGATCTGTGTATTTATCTTGCTGCAAGTGGCTAAAGCCACCAAGTGGTACGGTGGAGGGTTGGAATTTAATCACCCCTCTGCCTGGATAGATGAACACTTGCCTTGCGGCCAGGATCTAGTTGTTTTTCCGGAATATTATCCTGCCCTGTTGCCCCTGCCCGAGGACATATCCATTGATGGTTTAGTTTTCCCCAGAGAGGGGGCGATTCTTCTGGCTGAGGAATCTACCATGACCTTTGGATCGAATAAAGATTCCAACTGTGAGAGTGAAGAGAAAAAAGCCCATTTAAAGCCACCCAAGTCGAGTAAATGGTTTGATCCCGACACGTGGGTGGACAAGTCCAAAAAGGATTTTGCCACATTCATGCCAGAGCTGGAAAGGATACCCTGCGATGACGAGCAGGTCATAATCAAGGGTCACGGCCCATTGGCCTTTGATCTCGAGAATGTTCAGCACCTGAGACTGGGACAACTTATTCTGGCTGGCTCCTCCATTTCCAAAACCTATTTGGAACAACTCATCACCAGGGACTTGGGGCAATTTCTGTTCCACAATGCCCAGGATGTCCAGGTGGAGTACTATAGAGGAGAGCTGTGTGGCTGCCACAAGGACTTCGATCGTTTGCTGGAACCCGTTTGCCACAATGTTCGGGAGCAGTGCGAAACGCCCCACTGTTTGTCTCCAGTTTGGCCCTTGGGGTCCTGTTGTCCCATCTGCGGGGCCATTTTGACCACACCGACCAATCACTGCACCGAGAGCAGTAAAAAGGAAATCATAACTAAATTAAATGACCTAATTGGCACAAAAAGTCTAAAGGATCAGATCCAACTCCATGCGGAGTTTGTGGGCTCTCAACAGTATGGAAACTTCCTGCAGGTCACAGTTACGGATCGTCTTGGCTACAGTGAACAAAGCGTGGAGTTCTTGCAAAAGCAGCTCGATTATTGGAACAAATCGAACACTACGTTGAAGGTTTCCGGTCGACCCTATAACCCAAATGTGAGCTTCTCCTCAGTCGTTCTGATACTCTTCTGCATGGCCCTGGTTGGCTTGGTTTCCGTGGTCATTTTGGCCCACTTTATGCCGGAGAATCCCTACCTGAATCGTATACCTCAGTGGATCCACGATCCCAGGTACTGGAGGTGGCGTCACTTGGGTGTAAGACTTCGCAGGAATCTGCTTTTCAATCGGCTTGAAGACGTCGGCTCTGGTGGTGGTGGCTCCAGTGAGAGAGGTGCTTCTGGAGTGCAACGTCTGGGAGTAATGGCCTATGATCCGGAGAGCGGAGAAGTGAGGGAACGGTCCTTTGACAATCCCATGTTCGAGCAGGCAGAAGCCATCGAAGTAGCTGCAAAGGAATCGCAGGAAGAGGAACAACACTTGGGTGCCCCCAAAATGGAGACAGGCGATCTGGACACCAGTAGTGTGGTGGATGAGCAGGAGCTTACGGAAATCAATTTAAAAACCTTGGAAGCGGAAACCGATGAGGAGACCATTTAACAGGTTTTTCTCCAATAACGCAAATCGAAATCAAGAAAGCAATTCAAATTCGCCAAGCCGGAAAGGTTTTTTTGAAATCATAAAAAAACGTCTACATCGAGTTATATGCGTATATGTTAAAAATCAAAGAAGTTACATATATCGATTTTCCTATGACAGCTATATAATTTTATATCTACGATTTTTATTAACTAAACCCGAATTTCTAAAATGAAACAAATACTACAACAACAACTTAATTTCGCAGTATTTATTTATTTTTCCAATAACAGGGTTGTCAATATTTATTTTTTTTAAGTCTTATTTCATCAATAGATTTTATATAAAGAATCCTTCATTTATAAGTTAGAGAATCAATTGGAACATTTTTGGATATGACAACTGAAAATAAATAACCAACGCACAATCGCCAAATGACGTGCAGCAAAGGCACACAGAAACCAAAGAGCACCTGGTTATGATACCAGATAATTCAGTTAGCGTGGCTTTAATGGCGTCGCCCTCTGTCGCGGTGGCCTTGCTCCTTGACCTTCACTAGTGGTGATTTGGAGGTGGTTGGGGGCCGTGGCCTGGGAATCGATAGTTGCCATTAGCTGCGAACATAATTCGAGAAGCCTTTGTCTTGGCTCATCAATATGGCTCATGTGTATCCACATCTATTCATAGAGCGCTCTTGAAAAGGCGACTGCCTCCCCCTAGTTTGTCACAGGATTGAGGGGCGAGGGGAGGACGGAGCCCAGTTCCGATGCGGATTAAGAGCCCATTTTCAGATTCTATTTCAGCTTCTGTCAATTCATTCTCGAGTGGAAATACTTTGTACCACGGCGATCGAGAGTGCGGTAGATAAGCGCACCTTATCAGTATCAAAGCGAAAGCAAAAATAAATACAGTGAGCCTTCGAGTTTATAAAAGTATATAATTTTCAAGAATTAGATAAGGGCACAATATAAAACAAATGAACTGTAGAGATTAATACAGTCCCTCAAACATTACCTTAATTAATATATATTATTAATTTTTCAATACAAGTTTCATTGTGTAAATTAATCAGTAACTTTCGATCAAGAGGGTGTTCACTGTACGCAAACGTACATTCATGTGCAATTGCTGCTAGTGAGTGGACTCTGGCTATACTATAATCAGTACATTTCTGGTAGTAGGAGGTTCAACATGGTGAAGTCTAAGACAAAATCGAAGAGCAAAGGTTCCACATCGCCGGGTTTTAATAAGGCGGTGCAATTGTTGCTCCATTTGACGGCCGTGATACAATTCAACTATGGCGTGTACATTTTCCACACAATTGATATGCCCAACACGGTTCCTTTCGCCGGAAAGTTCAAGTTCCTAACATTTATTTGTGCGGTAAGCCAATAACAACACCGTGCTATAGCATTTTACCTTTATTTGTTAACATCAATGAAAAGATACCTTTCTAAAAATTACCACTTCTAAATTTTGAGAAACTGAACTCAGTGTTGGAAATAATTTTGAACCCTTATAGCAAACAGATTTAAATAAACCTGTAATAACAAAATCGGCCTGTTTTTGTCCACATTGGCATAGCACCGAAAACACTAGGGTTCAAATTTAGCGTTCGTTTCTTTTTACGGGTAGCCTTCACCATTTTTGTTGTTGGGAAATCTTTCTTTCTATAACTCCGATAAAAAAAAATGGACAAATTGTCTGAAATAAATAAAAATATAATCAAAGGCCAATAAGTTGGCCTTGGTAATATTGCTAAAAATATCAGGAAAATGAACGTTTTAATTCAAATTAACAAATAATACAAATTCTAATTTTGCCATTTTTACCAACTCAGCAATATAATTTTTAACGTAGAGAAATCATTTTTAGATTGAGATTTTTTTGTTTTGAATATAACTTTGAAAAGTCTTTCTTTGAAGTATGGAACAGATTTTTCGGTTGGTCATGATAATTCTGTAAGCCCAATTTTTGATATAAGGTAAATATAAACATAATATACTAGAGAATATTTCTTTGTAAGTTCAATGTAAGCAATTATATTATACTAAGGTGATAGTGGAGTACCCTAAACCCTATGGAAAGATAAAAATATCTGCACACCTGGTATTTTGGCGCTGCCCCGGCTCGGCCACACTGTTCCACCGCTGGCCCCTTTTTGGGGGTGGTTGTGTTTGTGGTTGCAATGTAGTATTTTCAGAGCGACGGACCGGACCGGTTTGTTTGCGTTTGGGTGCCTTGAAAAATCAATCGTGAGCAGAGCAGAGCGGCAGCAGCAGCAGGAAAATGGCATCGGTTCGAGGAAATTCCCTGTACCAGGGCGTCTACGGGGCTCTGAAGACCCTGCTTCACCTGACGGCGGCCGTGCAATTCAGCTATGGCATCTATTACGACTACACCTACGTAGAGTTTCCCATCAGCGAACGGCTACATCATCCCTGGGGGGGCAAATTCAAATATCTAACGTTCCTGGATGCGGTAATATCCCATTAGATCAACACGAACACACATCGCGGTTTAAAGTTCACTCGGTTTCAGTTTCTAACTGGTTTACACGCATCTATTTATGTAGTTACACAGAGAAAATAAAATGTATGTTCACTTAAGTGATCTTGAGAATTCTTCTATGGCCTCTATAAAACATCTCTAGGTTCGATTTTTTGTACAGATACATTTTCTAAATATTCAAAATCATAGAAACAAATATAATTTTACTATATAATAGTTTCCCTTAAGAATAGAACTAAGAATTCAAATTACTTTACAGAATTCCTTGCGCTTTGTGAAAATAGCTGATCGAATAGTACTTTTAAGAACCTAGTGTTAGGCCAACGCAAAATCCCTTAAATTTTACCGGTAATCCTTGTGGAACTTGGTTTCGCCAGGTGTAATTTCTTCCACTCCACTTAAGCAACCCTTCAGTTTCAGCCACATTATCTCACACACGTCCAATACTCTTCCACTTACAGATAATTCAGGCACTGTACTATATCGTGTCGCTCGTCAACGATTTTGTGGGCACCAATGAGCTGAACCCCAAAAAGCCTCCGGCAGTGCGTCGGTTTAAGGACTGGCTGATGGCCACATTGGCCTTTCCGGTGGCCGTCAACGTGGGCGTGTCCTTCTGGACACTCTACGCCATCGATAGAGAGCTGGTCTTCCCCAAGGTGCTGGACCCCGTCTTCCCCAGGTGAGATTGCAAAAACAGGGAAAACAGGGTGACAAGAACAATTCATGGGATTCATCCTCAGATTTGATATAGTAGCTTAGCAAGCGCACTTTAAAATATATTAATAAATTTGTCTTATACTATGTGGATTTCTATTTAAAGTGACATTTAAACAGCCCCATTAAAGCCCTAACCTTTTACTTTCACTCAAGGGTAATTAATTTTTTTACTCACGTACGATGCTATTTTAAAGCTTTAAAAAGAGTCAACATAGTTAAGACGTGATGGGAATACCTAGCTCAAATTCTTTATTTGCCGAAAAGTTATTAGTTCAAACCATTTTACAGTTAAACTTTTTTTTGGCAGTGATACTTGTGGACTGACTAATTCTTAGATAAATGTACAAAAGGCCATTTTTGTGAAACAATTAAAATGTCTTATTTATTTCTTTATTTCCTTTCTCAGCTGGCTTAACCATATCCTCCACACCAACATCGTGGTCTTCATCGTCCTGGAGCTGTTCATCTCGTACCGCTCGTACCCGAAACGCAGTCAGGGACTCGCCGCACTGGCCATCTTCATGGGCACCTACCTGGCCTGGATCCATGTGGTGAAGCACTACTCCGGCGTGTGGGTCTATCCGGTGCTGGAGGTCCTTCAGCTGCCGCAGCGTATCCTGTTCTTCGTGGCCGTCGTGGGATTCACGCTGTCGCTCTATCTGCTGGGCGAGTTCCTCAACAACACCGTCTGGGCCAAGGAGGTGAAGCTGGCCAAGCGCAAATCCAACTAGGAGTAGGCTGTGTCCCGTTTCTGTCCCATGTAGTCGCGTTTAATTAGCCACAAAATACAAATAACAATGGACAGGGTCAGTTTCGATTATTTATTTTACTCAGATGCTCAGAGTATTGTCATACTGTCAAGTTGACCGAAGAAGTCGCACAACATTCATGCCTGAAAAGTGAATAATCGAATCATGATCTTGCCCGATAAACTCGCTAATATATTTTTCATACCTAATGAATTGTGAAAGTCTTTAAACGTTAAAGAGAAAACCGTTTGCTTATGATACTCATTCTCTATTCTCTTTGCGAATTGTAATTGAGATTATAGCCGTAGTTTTACATTAAGTAGATGGTGTTACCTTCTCGATTGCAACAACCTCATATCAGGGCACTTCAACACCAACACAAACACCATCTTTGACAACCTGTGTTACAACCTGTAATTCAATTTTAGTATCGTAATAAGCCGATTAAAGTCTTGATTCAAAAATTTGTTTTTAAATGGGGCCGCCTAGCAAAGCTTTGTTAAAAAACTTTTAACGGTGCTGCCAACTTGCGCAAAGCGAAAACTTTAGAAAAAAAAGACAGAAACAGAAAGCTGTTGCTTTTAAAATTGTTTTATTTATAAATTTAAATTATTTGTTTAAGCTAGTTTAAGTTGTTTTTTTGATCAGTATAAGTTACTAACTTCGATCTCCAACAAGATCTTAGTTTTTTTCTTCTAAAAATCTAGTTTGGCTGTAAAATCGTATCTTGTGGTATGCACCAATCAGCTGTTTGCCAGCTTTTATTTGTTTTGTTTTGCTCGGCGAGCTTTTGGTTTCGGTTTCTCCGGTTAGACTCACTATCCGGTGAAAATGGGCAGAAGCAAGAAGCAGGTGCGTGAATTCGTGGCCGCCAAGGAAGCAGCCGAAGCCACAAATTCCCGTCTGGACAGCTGCAACGATGCCTACACGAGCGGCGCCTTCAAGTATTTGAGATTTCTGGTCCATCTCCTGGCAGCCGCCCAGTTTTCGTATGGCATATACTACCACTACTTCCGAGTGCACTGGCCCACGGATTTGCTCGACGAAGAGGAGCTGAAGGCACGCTGGGGAGGCAAGTTCAAGTATCTCACCTTCCTGGACGTGATTCTGCAGGCCATTTACCACTCACTGGCCCTCCTCAACGATCTCTTCGGCGACAACAGGGTCACTGGGAACGCAAAGTCCAGGTTGAGACTGGCCAGGGATTACGTCTTTGCGGCCTTTGCCTTCCCAGTCGCCCACAACGTGTGCCTCTCGTTCTGGGCCATTTACATGTGGGACCGTGAGCTCATCTTTCCCACTGCGCTCGATGCGATTTTTCCCAGGCAAGTGCAAAGGTTTTTTTTGTTCTCTGATACGTGGCAAAGTAATAAGATAACGTTCGCAGATTTTAATGAAATTAAACCATAAATTGGTAAGCCATTACTATTTATATCTCGAAGAATGGTCGTGAAAATTGAAGAACAGCAAAGTTGTAAATATTTTTTATGTATTTTTCCGATGGTTTAGTTTACGTAGGCGGACATGGATAGATCGACTCTGGTCAAGAATATTTTATATACTTTATGGGGACCTTTCACTGAAATTATAATAGCCTTTGGGTAAAGATTCATAATAATGTGTAGAGATATAGAATGGGTGATTATACCACCTTCATTTTTCTTTCTGTATTGAGATTCCCTTAAAACTGTCTTTTTAACTCACCTCTTTAATTTCTCACCCCTTACAGCTGGCTGAACCACGTGGTGCACACGAATGTGGCACTCTTGGCCATCATGGATCTGTTCACATGCTTCCGCCGGTACCCGAGTCGATTGGCCGGAATCGCGGGCAACGTCTCGTTCATCCTGCTCTACATCATCTGGCTGCACATTGTGCGGTACTTCAGTGGAGAGTGGGTATATCCCATTCTGGAGGTGCTGCCCTTTTACCTGCGCTACCTGTTCCTGGCCCTGCTGGTGGGATTTAATCTGGTGTGCTATCTGCTCGGCGAGTTTGCCAATAACGTCGTCTGGGGACCAGAGTTCAAGCTGCTCAAGCAACAGAAGGTCAAACAGGGCTAGTCTCGAGGATTTTAAATCGGTTTATTAGGTTACACAAGACTAATACTAAGAGACATTTTGTAAAATTGTAGGCACTTTTCGAGGTACGATTTGTTTGCCCAAAGAGAGCTATTTGTATCGTACTTTAATGTATAATCTAGGGTCTATTTTAAGGCTCAGTACTCACGGCAAAGAAAATTGATCAGGAAAATATTTCCTGATTTCTTTTATTTTGGCGTGAGCACTTAAAAACAGTCATTTACAACCGTACACAGACATTCGAATGCGCTTACTAGCTAGATGGGAAGATGAGTTTGTAAAATAACGCTTGCAGCTTAATGTCTAAGAGAATTCGTAATTCGTAGTTGTAGTTTCGTTTTTCTGCTCAATAAAACCGTTAAGAAGAAACTATAACCACATCGCTATGTAAACTTGCATGAAAAATGTTTAAAATGCTTAAAACTTTGTACTCACGGAAAAGGAAAATGAATGAACATTTATTTTTGCGTGAGTACCAGGATTAAGGAAACAGTAATTCACAAAGGTACACTGAGTTTCAAATGCTTACTAGCTAGATGGGAAGAAAAGTTTGTAAATTAATGTTCGGATCTTAATGTCTATGAGTATTCGTAATTCGTAGTTGTAGTTTAGCTTATTCTGCTCAATAAAACAATTAATAGGTAAGCTGCATAAAAAATATACATGTGACCTATTTCGGTTTCTTTCAGATTTCTTTAAAGATTAGCTTTTAATCTATCAATAGTTTTTTTTTATAAAATATCACTTCTGTTTCTAATTTTGTGGACTCAATAAAAAATTACGAATATATAAAGTTTCAGTACTTGTAGCTCTTTTTCAGCAGGGGTAAATGGAGAAAGAAAGTTTAAGAAACATTTTTTAACGGATTAAAAACATTGAAAGATTAAAAATAAAAAAATCAATTGGTATATAATTTTTAAAAAGAATTTTAAAACAATTTGCCTAGCTGCTAGCATTACATTTTATGATTTGCAAATTATGTTAGACACAGAAATGATAAAAATTCATTATAAAAAATAAGAATCAAGTGAATACCTTAAAATTTATCAGATATCAAAAACATCTAGTTATCCACAACAATTGACTTTGAGCTAATAAAACCGAAACAGTCTTGGAGGACCTTTGAAAATAGTTTCAAAAACTTAAGTAAATGCATTAATTAACCGCTTAGTCTTCCTATTATGAGGGCAGCAACAACATTTTCAGTTTGTCGGACTCGCTCATGAACGATGGCTCTCTGTGATGTCGATGGGATTGGCCCAAAAGGGCCTGCAGCTCCGTGCCTCCACCGTCCTCGTTGGCTACCTCGTTTCTTTGTCTGCTGGCAGCGTTTAGGAGTCGCATGGCCTGCTGCAGTTCCTCGTCCCCATAACTGGGAACCAGCTCGAAGGGATTGGCCTGAATGCCCACATCGCAGCTAGTTTTACTGTTCCTGCTCTGAGGTTTGCCCATGGACATGCCGGAATAGGAACTGTTTAGCGGGCTGCCCAAATCCAGACCCAAGGCCACGTCCAGTTCCTCGGAGGAGCAGCTAAGGGAGTTATTGGAGCGATTCCTTCGGACATAATCCCTGTTGAAATCCAGCTCTAGACCAGTCGTTTTAGGATGGCTCTTGCGGGACTTCCTTGACTGACGACTTCTTGTGGAGTTGCGGGAATGTCGATTGCCGCCATTGGATTCATTCGATTTTTTCATGGTCTTGAGGAAATTCTCCAGAGCCACTTGCTTGCTATTTGGTAGTTCTTTAATCTTGACTCCATCGTGACCATCATCCTCGCTGAACTCCTCCTGCTTCACAACCACATTGAGATCCTGTATCTTCAGGGAGGCCCGCGAGTTTTCCTCCTCCGAGCTAGAGCTCATGTCTTGATTTTGAAGGAATGGGAATATAAACTCGCCATTCTTTTGCAGGAATTGATTCAGGATGGAGGGATCCAGACCAGCGTTCGCTGACCTCCGTTTCATGGAGCTGGTATAGTTGTGTTGCTTTTTGGAGCTGTGATGGGAAAACACGCCCACTTTGTGACTAGCATTGGGGTAAGTGGTTTTTTTGAGCGCAATGACCTGCGATTCCACCGAAGTACTACTCTCCCTTCGCCTGTTGCTCCTGCCAGTGGCAGCCGCTATGTAATCCCTCCTCCTCTGAGTTCTCTTGTTGCTGGACGCGCCCCCGTGCTTACCCCTTGATCTGGATGCCACTTTGGTCTTCATCTCAGCTATTTTCACCGAAACCTGCGAGTCCACCGAGTTCCTGCGAGATTCAACGGAAACATGACGAACACTCACGCTTATCTCCGAATCCAGGGAACTTTTTCGCGGTCCATGGCTCGACGAGTTACCTGTCGCTGCTCCCGTCAAAGCCATGCGACGTTTCACGCACTGCGGCAGGTATGCAGCCCAGGTGGAGGAGATGTCGTTCGTCTCCGAGGAGTTCAGATCGTTCACATCGAAGTTGAGGCCCACGGGATCCGTGTGGGTGTTGTAGAGCGTTATGGAGAGCCTGCCCTTGTCCTCGAAGTCCTTGCGCTTGGCCCACGTCTGGGCAATGACCTTGTGCTTGGGCATTTTGACTTCTTCGACGACCTCCTTGCCGCACTTTCTGCAAGTTATACAAGATGGTGAATTCAAAAAAAATGTTCATGTAAAATTGACAGCAATAAAGCGTACTTTCTTATGTACCGCTTCCAAGTCTCAATGGAAGATGGTGTCCAGCACCAGGTGGACATCAGAATTCCGGAGCTGAACAGACAAAGCAAATGCAGTTGAAGGACGCCCACACTGGGGCGATTTTCGATGCGACAAGAGCTCTTCTCCTCGAAAACGGAAGAGATTTTGCAACTGCATACAGAAAGTATATTAGCTTGGGTAAACGTTAAGATCAAGTATTTCACTCACATTATAAACTGCCTAAAGCTCAGGGCCCATTCGTCTGCATGCCTAAACTCCGTAACGTGACAAGCAATGGCAACCAGAATGAAAACCAAAGTGAGCAACGCACAGACTCCCATTCGCATGATGATCAAATGGATTTTGTTGCTCGCAGAAGTTGATTTAATATCATTGGCAAAGTGCTTCAGTCCAAAAAGCATCACCATGCCCCGGGTGATGAAGTAGCCACCAATGAGGATCACACCGCAGAGCGGTCCGATAAGCAAGCTTGCCCTCATCGGATGATTAATGTAGCCGACAAAGCAGATGCCCACAATGCTGTTGCCATCGACCTCACTGAAAGCCATCGTGGTAATGGTTAGAACCAGAGGCAGTGACCAGGCCACCAGGTGGAAATAGGAACCCTTTTTGTCGATGCGATCCTGGACGTGGCCCATGGCCCTCCAATGCCAGGCGTAGGTGAGGAACACAAACCAAACCATTCCAGCGGTAAGGAAATAGTAGACCAGCACAAATATCACGATGCACGAGAGATTCTCGCCGGCCGTGGGCTCCGAATGGCGGAGCGTTCCATCCTTGCGACAAACAATGTCCTCCCTGGATCCCGAAGTAAACTGCAGCAGCCAGCTGAGATGCAATGATCGGATTACATTGAGATACAGAGAAAATCAGAATCAAAATCGAAACTCACCCAATGCAGGCAATTAGGAAGCACAGATTTATGTAGAATACAATCACAGCCGGATACTTGTTAGCATTCTTCCAATCGATGAGGAAGGTGGCCACCACAAAGAGGTTGGAGAGTAGGCACAAACTGCCAGCCCAGCCGATCAGCTTGTGGATTTGCCGGTGCTCGTCGTCGGTATACAGCGGATCCTTGCACCTCACACCGCAGCCCTCGATGCCTGGATAATAGCTGGCCGACGTTTCAGTCGGCACCAAAGGACTCAAACACTGACCAGTTCCATTGAACTTCATTCCTCGCGCTCCGTTTGTGCATTTCAGCGGAAAGAGAGTCTCGTTGCAGCGCAGAAATTTCGGGAAAAACGTGGTATTGTACAGAATGCGACAGGGTTCCAAGGTTATTCGGCACATTTCGTACGAAGGCAGGTAGACCATGTCCTGTCCATTGATTTTCTCGCACTTTGGCTTGAAGACGGCGCACAGAAAGGGCTGTAAATGGTTTCAATTTTGTAAGTTAAGCTAATCCGGGTTTTATGAGTCAAAAGAACTACCGCTTTGAATATACTTATATTTAAATTACATTACTCTAGATGGAAAATAACCAGGTGCGACCTTTTAGATATCAGATATTTGACTATCTGTTGTCTATACGAGGTTCAAAAGAACAACATATTAAAAATAGTAAATGGTAAAGGAATATAAGTGAACTTTTAGGTGCAATAGCATGCTTGTGACAAATCTGAGTACGCAAATCAAGTCCGATTCTCGCTAATCTAAGGTAATATTTAATTTCAACACATATGAATTTAAAATGAAACAGTTTCAATTTAGTGACCTCAACAGGTTTCTAACGATCCTCCTTATAGGTATCTAATGAAACAATCCAAAATGGGGCGGTTCATTAGATGCCATTAAGATTCCTCACCTGTATGGCCGCCCAGCATTTAGGCACATGCTTAAGGGCATAGTAGTCGTTCAGCTTCTCGTTCAGCTCCTTGTCGGTGTGGAAGTCTGTGAGATCGAGGCTGCTCAGCTCGTAGGGCAGTTTGGAGCCGAAACAGGTGTTGGTGGCGTTCGTGGTGGCGTAGCAACGGGCTCGACGGACGCACTGGATCTGCCTGCTGTCCAGGCCATCGAACCAGGGCTTGTCGTCCTTGCCCTTCTTGGCATACAGCCGGTAATTGAGTGTCCCATTGATGGGCTCCAGTTCCACATCCGATTGCTGAGCACTCGTCGCTGGCGTTGTGGTGCTGAATTTGGGCAAACTAGCGGTTGCTCCTGCCACCCACAGCCACAAGATCGCGAGTTCGAGGTACTTCCTGGGGGTTAGAAACAGCCATGTCATTTAAATTGCTTTTACCATTTGCTCGAGGCCAATCACTAACATCTGCATAATGTTGGGCGTGCGTGGAAAGTTAAAATACTGCATCCGCTATTAATAACATTAAGTAGCCGCCGCCTTTGGTGAATTTAAATGGGCTTGATGCCCGCCGCTGCTGTTCAAACGCTCTTCAATGCATCGTAACGCTGGAGGCTTCTCTGGAATTTCCTAGATTGATAAGTCCTTAAATCGGCTGACAGTGCAGAGTATTTAAAGTGAGGAACAGCACGGAACCAAGCAGAAAAACAAAAATAAATCGCGCAGTGCTCGCAGGAAGCTAGAGGTGGAAATACATCGATACATACATTGGTGTTATCGAAGTTTGTCGGGGATTTTTTACCATTTGAAAAATGGTCACACCAAGAATATGCATCTACTCGAAATAAGTTTGCAAAAATATGTAGCATACTTTTAAATGCTCAACGGAAATGTTATTAATGTAATGTTAATGTAAATACAACCACTTCATTGTGGGTAATATAAAAGAAAATTTGTTGTAAAAAAATTGTTTTTTAATTTGAATATACCATTGTGTTAATATAAGTCTGGTCTTCAAAGATATACATTAATTATAAGAAGTTAAAGGTTACTTACAATATTTTATTCAAAAACTTTTAAGGACTATCAAATTCTAAATATCTTAAATTCCAATGAAGATATGTTTCCCTGACCTTAATTAAAGTAAAATAAAATTCAAACTATTTGAAATGAAAAACCTTAAGTATTTCGGACGATGTGGCAAGCCCAACGCGGTGTTTTATTTCCATAAAGCCCGATTTGGTCACACTAGAATGCGCAGTATCGATACCATCGCGATAGTAGCGCACACAAGCATCGATTAATTTTTTACATCCCTATTCTGCAATATTATTTTGTTTCACGGTCCAAAAAAAACGGAAATCAGGGCTTGGGGTTTGGTTGGAGTCGCACAAACGCAAATAGAAGCCATGGACGTTGCCCCCGCACCGCCCGTCAGTTCCGCCGGCGATCTAAAGACCCAGCAGACGCCGATCAGTCCGAATCCAATTCCAAACCAAGCGCCGGCCGCAAACGCAAAGGCAACAACAATCGAAAATGGTGTACAAACAGGAGGAGCGAAAAAGCCAGAGAGTTGCGGTGAGAAAACACCCGGTTTGCGAATTTATTTGTGTCATTTGTGCGATTACTTATGGTTTTTCCCTATTGTTTGGACCCCACAGAATCGATGCATTCCACTGCGAAGGGCCAGAAGGACGAAAAGGACGAGGGCCAGCCCAAGACCGAGTTGGCTGACAAAGTATTGATTACCATATGCAGCGCCGATCGCAAGATCAAGAAGACTTTTATGTCCTTACCCACGCGAATGGATGTAATCGAAAAGGGTAAGAAATTTTAGCCAATAAAGGCGTACTTTAATTAAACAGTACAACCATCATATCGAAAATTACCAAAATCAATTAAATATTTGGAACCAATTGGAATTCGGTAATCCAAATATGGCACGAATGTTGTTTAAAAATAAAAATAAGGAAATCTTAGTTATTCAGTTTAGAAAACCAAATGGAACTCTGTAAATTGGTTAATTATTAATAATTAAACAATTTAATAATAGATCAAAATTAATTAAATTTGTGACTTTAAAACTCGCCTAAGTCAAAAATTAACTTCAATTAAACTATACATGTTTTATTGTAAAGCAAATACATTATGACAATTCCTCTCTCCCCTTGTTAGCCCACAAATACGGCCTTTGTGGCAGCACGATTGTCCTGGAGAGCAACGGCTGCGAGATCTGCGAGGACGACGTGCTCCTGTTCGCCGCCAAGGAGAAGATTCTGCTGATGCTTCTGGCCGAGTCAGAGGAGTATGTGGTGCTGCCTCCGCCGTCGCCACTAAATCGATCCGAACGCGCCGGCAGCTCGGTGGATCCCAGCTTCTATGCCAACAACAGTATTGTGTCCAACCCGAACGACTCGACTGTCTCCAATGACGAGACCTTGTCGCTGTCCAGCGTAACACCTTCGAGTGCAAAGAGTTCAGCTTTGTTCAAGGAGTTCTCGATACCCTGGAGTAAGGTGCCCGGGGACATAATGAAGCTGCTGAAGGGCAAGCTTAGCTTGGGCAAGCGCTTAAATACTCTGGCCAACTTTTTGGTGGACGCTCTCCGCGAAATATCTGCCCACATTCCCATAAGGGTTTTCCGGCAGGTGGCCCAGCAGGCGGCTGAAAAGTACCCGGACTCCCTGCTTGAGAAGGACCGCGAGGGTCAGTTCATTGCCACCACTCCGCAGTCGCTCATCTCCAAGATGATCAACCGTAACAATACCCTCAATAAACCGCAAAAGCGCGGAGGCTCTGGAACTTTTGAGATCCACATCTCCGGCAAAAAACGAAAATTCGGAGCTAGTGTCTCCAATGGCGACAGTGCCAAAGCACTGGCTGTCAACAGGGATCTGGAGCACAAGAAGGAACTTCTTATATCCAGCTTCCGCGGCAGTTCCCCCCTGGAAGAGTCCACCGTTATCGAATATATGAAGGAGTGCTTTCCGCTTCAGCGTTCCTTCTTCAATAACAGCGAAAAGATTCCGGACATCACGGCCATCAGGGACAATTGGCCATATATTTTTGACAAGGCTGTGCTGTACCAGCACTTCGAGCTGCTCATGTCCATCGATCCCCGGGTTTTGGAGAAGCGTCTGGCCGGCGAAAAGGAGCGCTTCTTTAGGTTCTTCAAGAGCTCGAAGAATAAGAAGATCAACGCTCTGGAGGAGACCAACGCAAATTTGCTGCGTGGCATAGCGTATCATTTCAATGAGGATCCCGACTACATCTTCAAGCACCTGGAGAGCGGTTCCCTTGACAAGGAAACGCTGCAGAGCACGAATCCCACAAATGCCCCCTGGGTGGCTCTAGTCAGTGAGTACTTTGAACAACTGCTATTGTTGAGATGCCAAGCGTAATTATAGAAATAGAGTCCCAATCAAAGTCTTATGCATTATTTTTATACATTCAAAGCATCGATCAGTTGAGCAAGAAGCCGAGTATTCAAATACGGATATTAACCGGCCTTTTTCCTACAGATTCGCCCATAGCAACGGCCGATGGCGTGGAACCACAGATGGAGGCCAAAATCTACATCGAGGGCCAGATAATGGCCACGTTCGCCGCCAAGGACAACGACCTGCCGGACATTCTGGCCCAGCTGATCTGCTACTACTATACCTTTAACATGATGTACCCCAAGGAAGCCAATCAAACACTCGAATTTATCGTCGTTTACTTTCTGCAACACTCGCCGGATCAGGTGCGGTCGGCCAAAAAATCGGTGACCAGCAACGGCAAGTTTAACCAGCTAATTACCAAGCTGATCAACGCCAATGGCTGAAAATCCGAGCTGGACTTGGCTGGATCCATCGCGCAGCGGGCGTCGCTTCAATCTCCTTTTGCTCCTCCCGTCGGAGGAGCAGTTGAATACTGTTTAGTTTATTTATTTTCGCCGACCTATTCCACATGTATTTGTACCATTACTTTTAAGATTTACATAAAGTGTGTAGTAATGTTGTGTATACATTTCTGATTTGTCACCCAAACACCTATGTTTTAATATTCTTCAATGGACCTTTGATTTATTTGACTCCGTAAGAAGATACATCTTAGTTTTTAGTTGCCATTCATTAATGGTAAAACGTACAGCCTAGGTTTTAGATGGAGTTAAGTCTAAGATCTTATTCGTTCCTTTCCTTGTTGAAGGGGTTATTTCCATTCTGTCCCTTTTTTTGCGAAGGTTTCTCTTCATTTCCTGCGGTGCGACGTCTCCAGTTTTTATTATTTCTCAAATCTTTTATGGCCTCGTGGAGTTTTCCCGCTCGTTCGGTTGTCTTCAGGCTCAACGTGATTCTATTTTTGTAAAAGTTGCGCTCCGCTATGGTGAACTTTTCAACCGCTGTGGGCACTTCTCCCTTGCGACACTGCCACAGAAAGTCTTTTTCACCTTTTCTCACATCTTTTCTCCCGACTCCTTGCTTCTTAGAAGTGGAGGAGGGCTGCTCCTCGTCAAAGGATTCCCATTTGGTGGCCGCCGTTCGGTTGGCCTCTATGATATTGCGCCGGTGGTTCTGCTCCCGCTGCTGCATGAACTTCCTGGCGTCCTCGTTGTCCACATCCTGGTGACCACGATCCTCCGAGTCGTCAATGATGTCGTTCTTCACATGCTGCCAGGCTTTTGCGGTGGCCTGCGGCACGGGCGGAACTTCCGGTCTAACATACTTCCTGGGCTTGAATTTTTCCTTTCCCCAGTCTCTGCTGCGATTGTCCAAGTTGTTCTTATATTTTTGTGCTTTTGTTGGCTTCATTACGGTTGTTTGTTTCTTTATTTATTTTGCCACACGGCCTAGTGGTGACACTTTCAGTGTGCGGACTATCTATCTAGACTAGCTGGAAATAGCTACAAACGAACAATTTATTAAAACTAAGCTTTGTTTTATTTTTTTATTTTTTCCCCTTTATTTTTTTATTTTGTGCAAATGTATTGGTTTAAATACACATGTTGAGCTTGACTTTAAAAAGTTTAAAGTGTAGCTCAGTTAAAAAAAAATTAATAGCCAAGCTGACGGCACTGCTGCCGATAAGTTCTTATCGATAACTTCTATCGGCTCAACACGTGCGCCGCGGCCAGCGGTTTATAAATATTACAAATTCCAGGATGCACAACGGCGGAGGCCATTCCGGCTGGAATAACTCGCAGCAGGAGCGAAACCACCACAATTCCAATTCAAGTTGGTCGAACAATGGACCCGCAAGTGGCCAGAACGGGAACGCCTTCAACAAATTCAGGGATCCCCAACAGCAGCCGAATAACCAGCAGCAGCCAAGCAAGAGAGGTGGCAGCAGACGGAGTAGGGGAGCTGGAAGAGGTGGTGGGGGTGGAGGTGGAGGCGGCGGCGGCGGCGGCAGAAGAGGGAACCGCAACAGGGACTCCAATAGGCGTGGCCGCAACAACTCATGGCACAGCCGAGAACAGCATGTCAGCCCGGGCCAGAGTCACATGCTGTACTACGACAACGTTGGCGATTTCACGGACGACCCACCATTACCTACACATGCTTCCTCACCTGCTCCCTCTTCGCTGAGGCAGGAGAGCCTGCCACCTGCCACCATTGATGCTGCTGCGGCATCACCACCACCACCACCTGTTCCTGAGGTCGCTGTTCCGCCAGAAGAGCCTCCTGTCTCGCTGCTGAACATCAAAAAGGAGAAGGAAATGATAAGACCGGATCCACAGCCAAAACCCTTTGTCAAGCCGGAGCCCAAGTCTCCTAAGAAGAAGAAAGAGAGCTCTTCCAGTTCGTCAAGCAGCTCGGAGGGTGAGGAACTCGAGCCCGAACCCGGCGAGGTGATGGGCAGCACCAAGTCCTCACTTGAGGCATCCTCATCCTCCCACAAAAAGAAGGCCAGTAAACTGGCAGTGGTATCCACGCCCAAACTGAAGGCGGTGAAACCGGTTTCGTCCAGCGGCTCCTCATCGTCGGACTCCGATGACGAAGGGAGTCAGCCGCAACCGGCAAAAAGTAAAAAAGCGCTGAAGAAAAACGAAAACGAGGAGGATGTGGTCTGCATTGGCTCTCAGGAGCGCCAGTTTATCATTACAGATGAGGAGGAGAGTAGCGAGCTGGAAGATAAAGGCGACAAGAAGGCGGGAAAGGGAAAAAACAAGGGTAAAACCGTCGATGTTTGCGGGATCTGCGATAAGAAGGTACGTGTATCATAGGTATTCTATACAAGTATTAAAAGTTGGTGTACTTTTAGGGCCACACCTCCTTTCAGTGCCAGATGATCTGCCGGAACTGCTCTGGTCGATATCACGGCCTCAAAAAGTGCCCAAATCCGCCCAACCTGAACATTGCCATGCAGTCATTCATGGAGTTCGCCATGCAGCAGATGACCGCCTTCCATGGCGAGCAACGATTCGCCTTTCCCGCTGGCACTGTGGCAGCTCCAGTTTCTGTGCCAGTTGCTTCTTCTCCAGCCAAGGCCAAAAAGGACAAAAAACAGTCGGTCAAGAAGGCAAAGAAGACGCCTCAAAAGAGGATGAAGCTCGAGCCGAGGGATGAAGAAGAGGAGGATGATGACGACGACGAAGACGAGGACAGTGCCACCGAAGCCAGCAGCGAGAGCGAGGAGTCCGAGTCCGAGTCCAGCGATGAGCCGGCACCCGTGTCCAAGCAGAAACGAAAACGAGCCGCGAAGGTCGCATCTAGTTTACCTCCTCAAGTGTTTCCGTTTCCCCTTTTGGGCGCTGCCGGCGCCCCTTACAACTCTATGATGTATCCATATGGTCCGCCGTTCAGTTTTCCTAAATAGTTACCACCTAAGTTAGTTAGTAGCGGAATGTACAAGCATAATGTTGCCGTGTTGCCGTTTAATGTGCTAACAAAATGTTAAATTGTATATCCCATAAAAAGCATTTCAAATCAAAGTGGTCAGATTGTAACCGATGAAAATAGATTAAAATTTGGTAATTCAAATAATTTAAAATCGTATTCAACTATCGATAAACGGGTTATGTTTGTGTAGCCCTAGTTATCGATAACCGATACCGGTTGCATGTTTTGCCAGCTGTTGCTTCCACGCTTTTGGACCAAAATTTAATTTTCTAGTGTTTACGAATGAATTGGGCACGGAAACTGATGAAAATAGTGAATATTTATTAACAGATTTGCACAGTTGCACGGGTGAGTGTTTGATTTTAATATTATACATTGATTTTATTTGTACCCACTTGAGAAACCACAAAAACATTGGGTTCTTAAATTGGGACTCACACAACATTATTAACTGTTGGCATTTGCAACGAAAACGGACGACGACTAGACTAATCACATAAATTTTGCCCCAGAGCCTTGAAACAGTATGCACACACGTGTAATTTATACAAATTATCTCCGCAAGACCGAGGGATCCACCCCCAACTGAAAATCAGGATCCTAGGGTATGCACAGGGCCAGGTTCTCGCGTTCCCGCTCCGTGCCGCAGGACACGGGGTGATTCTGGCCCCGGGGATCGATGCCCGGTTTGAGCATCGTCTGCTGCAGCTCCCAGATGATTTCGCAGGACAGAACGCTCACGGCCAGCTTCAGCACCGACTGGTAGTTGAGCGGATTGACCGCATAGCTGAGGATGCCCTGGGCTATCTGGTCGAACAGGTAGTTTCTGTCCAGCAGCAAGAGCTCTTCGCGCACCTCCATCACTCGGTTCTCAAAGTGACACTGGATGGCGGCAAAGACCAGCTTGTCCAGACCCACCAGTAGATCGCGCTTGAACTTCACCAGATAGTGTTCGATGAACACGATCTGGTTGCGGTTCAGGTGCGGCAGACGCACTTTGTCCTGGATCACCTGCTCCCCGATCTGGCTGACCACCAGCGAGGCCAAAGAGCCCGCCGGTGTGGCCCGACGCTCGCTGCAGCGCCGGACGTCCACGAACGGGTGAATCTCATAGCTGCCCACGCCAATGGTGCTGGCCACGCCGCTGAAGGAGACGTGGGATACGCGCGAATGGTTCTTCTGTGGCTTGGCCATCGACGGCGGCACCTCCATGGCCCTGTGGTCCCTAGCAAAGCCGATGATCTGATAGGCTTTCTGCAGTGGACGAAAATAGGAAAATAGGAAATTTGTCAAAGAAGGCAAAGAAGTCAAGAGGAACTACAGTCAACCACTTACATAGTGAACGTATTTCTTGGCATCGCACACAAAGTCCTTGATGCGAGATATCAGCACCTGCAGGGCGCACTCATCCTCGCTGAGGTCCTCGTTAAAGCCAGCTATGATGTAGTCGAGTATGTACTGGGCCGCCTTGTAGATGGGATCGTCTGGGGCGAAGCTGAGAGCGGTCTGTCCCTCCATGGCGATGGCTGCATTCAAGGCGTAGCACAGCTCGCTGTCCAATAGACCCTCGAAGGTGGCCTGGTACTCATCGCAGAAGGATGGTTTTCGCGCCTGAAGCGACGTCGACTTCTTCTTCTTCTTCTTGGGGCGCTTTTTCTTGGGCTGGCGAGCAATGGCGGCTTGCTGAGCTCTGCTCCTGATTTCGTCCTGAATCCTCTGCCATTTCTCCCTGTACAGAGCCTTGTGCCTGTTGATGAACGCAACACGTTCCTTTTCCACCTCCTGCAGGAGGTAGTTAATCCTGCGCTGGTTGGCAATGCGCTCATCCAATCGCTTTTTCCACGACTGAATCTGGTGCTCGGTGGTTTTCATCAGCCTCTGTTTCCGCAGCAGCCGCATGTTCTTGTTGAACCGATCTTTCTTGAACTGGAAGAGCTTCTTCTGCTTGATCAGCAGTTTCCGCTTCAGATCCTGACACATTTCTATGTGGGCAGTGACGCGCATGTTTGTGAGCATCTTGCGGTGCTCCAGCAGCATGTTCTGCATGGTGGCCAGGTTCTCCAAACGCTTGAACTTCTCATAGGTGATGTTCAGCAAGTGGACCTTCCTCTCGTGGCGCTCCTCCTCCTGCTGCTGCTTCCTGGCCAGAACCTCCTCGGTGCACTGGTGTCGGGCGGCCAGGTTCTGGTGATCTTTCTTCGTGATCGACTCCGCATTGGCGATCAGCATGCGATCGTATTGCTCCGACTCGCGTCGCTTGTAAGCCTGCAAGACATAGTACAGCTGCGATTTGTGCAGCTCCTGGCGGTGCTGATTAAAGTCCTTTAGATTACAGATCACATCGTTGCCCTGCGTTATCTCGCCGTTTTCCCGCAAACGCTTCAGATTGCGCTCGTTGGAGTAGAAGGTCTTCAGATTGGAGTCGTGCAGTGGATTGTACTCGGGAATGTGCTCGGTAACAGAGCACTCGAACTCCTGCTTACCGCTCTTGAACTGGAGTAAATGAATATATAAATATATATATTGGTTTCAATTCAAAAGCATCAAATTTGACCTCAAGCCGTGAGTTACTTACATCCTGTCCGATTTTGTTCTTCGAGAATATTACTTGGTTTCCGGGACACTTGAGCATGGGTAGTTTGCAGTTGAGGGGGATCAGCTCCCATCCTGGCAGACTGTTGATGGGCAGTCCGGTCTTGTAGGAGATCATCTTCAGCAGGGCCGGATTTCCGGACACCTTATTCCGGCGCGGCAGCGACAAAATATCGATCATCTTGCCACTCTTAATTTACTTTACCCTAAAATATTCGTGTGTACAATCAACATTTATTCTCTGAGCGTTATGTGAAAACTAATTTTGAATGAGCTTCTAATTTTAAACTATAATCAACTGCCTACTTATTTTTGCCTGTTTCCAACATTTTATCTGGGTCATTTCTGTTGTCCTTATTTTGATGGTTCACTAGATGTTCATCCCTAAATTGGTTAAAAGTATTTTGGATGGTAGATGGGGTTCTGTTCGGTCGTTGTTGCCTTTAGATTTTCTTTCTTAATATAAATTTGGTTTACGCGTTTCTATACCGATGCGGAAGAAAATATAACTTTGACATAACAACATAGTTGAACACTATTCTGTCATCATCATTTAAACTTAAGCCCTGCCCACGGTCTAATGGCATCCACTATCCTTAATTCCGTCTACTTATCGCATGCAAAATTAAATAAACTTTGTCCTTTCATTGATAACCCAAACGCATAATTTTGGTAGTTGTTTTTGAAATTTGCGGTCCGATTTTACGAGACCAAATCCCGGCCGTTGCTCTGGGGCTTACATAAATTCCCGCCTCACTATCCATCTCCATCTTTCGCTGCCTCCATCTGGGCTTATTTTCCACCCGCTTTCTCCAGCGATGACCTCGTTTTTCGTCTTTGGAAAACTCTAGATTGCCGACATCTCGGGCATAAATATTTACCAATCGTTTGGTCAGGCGTCGGCATGTCTGCATTGGCTTTTCCTTGGAAAGGAAAACCCACTCTCGCCCTCTATCGTGTATCTTCCATGTAAATAAAATCACATCAAGTGCTGAAACGTACTTTCTGCAGCACGTGCTCCAAATATTCTCCCGAGTGTGCTTTCCATTTCATCTAACACCTTCAGCCTCCCCCTTTTCTTTCCGCCCCGAATGGTATAAATAAAAAATTGTGCTGGCAGAAAAAAAAAGAAGAAACGAAAAGTGCGTGCTAATCTCCAACGGCCTTCTGTGCACTCCTGTCCCATTTAACGTTATATAATAGTTACTTCCTGCTTTGATACGGGACCCAAGAGATGGCAAGTTTGGAAATCAAAAGTTTAGGCATGCCATCCTGGGCTCTAACTATATCTATGTATATAAATTATTTTGATTTTACAGGCCATATGAAATTTTCTTACTATTTTGTTTTAAGCATCTTTTTATGAAGAAATATATTTTGCGTTTTAAAATTTAAAATTAAAACACTTAAGCCCTGATTTAAATTATAATAATTCGGAATTCAATTACGGAGGGGTTGTTGTTAGGAACTTCATAAGAAATTACAATAGCAAGGAAATTGTTTACAAAAAATGGTATCTAACAAAACTGTTTACTCCCACCCCCTTTCATACTCCTTATTTGACAAACGGTGCCGGCAAAACCACACACAGCTGTCTTAAGCTCTCTCTTTTACTCTCATCTGGCTTGTCTATTAGAAATTGACGAGTGCGGCTTTCAACCGGGAAGCTTTCAGCCTTCACTCGCTGAAGCGAGACATTCAATCACTTACAATGGAGAGAGGCTTTCTCTCGTTGCTCTTTGTTAAAGTTTGAGAGCGACTTCGAACAATGAGAGAAAACTTTCGTTTGGAACACTAGTTAACATTGTAACAGGCTTGCTGTAAGCCGTAAATAAATGAAAATAATTTGTTTTGGTTTGGATGGACTAACACAATTTTTTTTAAACTTTTTTGATGTGGGGAGGTGCTTACAAAATTACAATTAAACCATATTAAACATTTTTACCTCATTATATATTTATTTATATATATTATATATTTAATAATGTGACGAACTTAATACGAATTAGAGATGTAATCAAAAAAATTAACAAAATGAAAATCATTTCCTAAACATAATACTCAAGGGACTAGGGTCAATTCGATTTTTTAAAAATGAGTCTCCATATTTTGTTTTTGGCTACAAGCAATTTTTTTCTGAGTGTTGCAGCACTGTTCGATTCACTCGAACGTCACGAGCTTCCAAGTTGGATACTTTGCGTGGAGTTGATTCGTATGGTCGCGTCGGTTGAAGGAGTCGGTTGTTCGTTTTGAAGCGCTTAAGTAGCGGTAATCGTGAGCACCGTCGCCTGTTTTACTGGAATTTTAACGCGCGATGCCTGTGCCCCTATGTGTGTGTGGCAGTCAAACAAATTGCAAAACGCAAAACGAAAAAGAAAATCCTAGAGCAGGAATCACGCAAAAAAAAAAGGGGGTGGCGACCATCCTGCTTTTCTGCGCCCGCTCCAGTGTAACCACCCCCTCACAGCAATAATAGCCGCAAGGACTTAAAGATAAAAACGAAAAATAAATATACGTTCACGTATGAACCGTTAACTGCGCCATTCACAATTTTCAACAACAACAAGAAACTAGCAAAGGCAAAACAATTATATTGTTTTTTTGAGCGAGAGAGAACACAAAGTCAACAACAAAATCGTTTTGAAAAAAAAAACAAAAGTGAAGTTGTGTGGAGATATGAATAAAAATTAAAGTTTGCGACTACAATAGAGAAAGCCGAAAAAGGCAGTAAAATGAAATGCCAGAGGAAGTAAAGAGGACAACTCAGTAAAGAAGGACATTAAAATAAAGAAAACAAATATTAAATTGAACTGAAAGATAAAGAGAATAAACCGTGTACACCGAATCAATAATAATTAATAAACAAGTGTAAGCATTTCATGAACTTTTTGTGGTGCAAACGGAAAGTTTATCGAAAATACAAGTTCAATAATAAAACCACATTTAAAAAAAAATAAATATTTAAATGTAAAAATCAAAACTAAAGGGAAAGTTACGAAAAACCAAGCAAATGAACTTTAGAAACTCTATAACAGTAATCAAAAACCAAAGAAGGATGCTGAAAAATCGATTGGGAATTATATGAAACCTTTTGTACCGCTGGATTGCATCATCTGTCGAGGGCGAGGCTTAGCATCGAATGTAATGTACATCTGTCAAGCAGGACCTTTCATCACACATCACACCTCATCATCATCCAAGCCATCTTCTCCAGATCCAACAACACAATGTCCACAAGAACAGCTGGGCTAAGACCTGGACCCAAAGGAGCCAACGGAGTCAGGACGGAGACGACGGATCACATCATAACCATTAGCACTGCCAGTCTGACGGACTCCTGCAACGCGGAGCCCGTTAAGGGAGTAGCATCTCCGGTGGTCAGTAAACCCCAGTCCGTGGGAAGTGGAGTTCCTCTAGCCACCACATTTGTTCCCGATGACCAAGTGAACCCAATTGAGCAAAGGCAGAAACAGCTTTACTTGTGCCGGCTGTCGCAGCTGGTGAGCTACCAAAATAACATCGCTGATGTCCAGCATAGAAAGGGAAGACGCCTCCACGGACTGCAGCTGCCCCTGCATCCCCTCCAGCTCTTTGGCTGGCTGGTGCTTCTCCTTTTCGGAGTGGCCAGCTTTTGGGTGCTTATACCGGCCTTCCATGCGCGTATCCAGGGACCACTTTACGGTCTGATCACGGGCCTCTATCTGGTGCACATTGCCTCCCATTTGACGGCTTTGCTGACGGATCCGGCGGACAAGGAGCTGCGGCGAGTGCATCGCAACGATCGCATCGTCCCTGAATTCGACCGGACGAAGCACAGTCACGTGATCGAGAACGGCCGGTGCCATCTGTGCAACATCCGGACCTCCTCGAGCCGCACCAAGCACTGCTCCGTGTGCAACAAGTGCGTGGGCAAGTTCGATCACCACTGCAAGTGGCTGAACCACTGCATCGGGTCGCGTAACTATGTGGCCTTCCTGATGTGCGTAGTGAGTGCGGTGGTGGCCACCCTGGTCATCGTGGCCGCCGTGGTGGCCCAGATAGTCTTCTACTACGTCCAGCCGGAGTGGTTGAGCTTCTACTGGTGCCCTTCGGGGTCGAGCCACCAAATGGATGGCGGCGACTACATCAACATCACCCTGAGCCTGGGCAACGGCACCATGATGCTAATGGAGCAGCAGCCGGCGGAGGAGGAGGAACGTCAGGAAACAATGGATGAGGAGATGGCCAACCTGACAATATCCACGCTACCCACTCTCCTGGAGAATTTCACAGCCCTGATAGAAGCCAGTACAACTCAGCCTGGGATAAGCTTGATGAATCACACGGTCACACAGCCTGTGGTGGTGGGAGGAATCGGAGTCAACGAAACTATTTTTCTGCTCCTTTTGGGAGTTCTGGGTCTGCTTGCCGCCGTGAGTGCGGGGCTGCTGCTCCACTTGTGCTTCTTTCACATCTACATCTCATTTTTGGGACTAACCACCTATGAGTACATCAGAAACCATCGCCAGGCTCAGGAGGCCAAGGCCAAGCAGCTGGTGGAGGGAGCTCCGAAGAACGGCAGCGTACACTTCTCGGCTTCCCTGCCCGAGCCACACAATCCGTCCAAGTCCCTGCCGACCACCCAGCTCTACTGCTGCTCCAGTGCCCCACATCCCAATCAGCAGTCACAGGAGGCGGTGGGTCAAACAGAGCAGTCCCTGAGATTGCATTGCTGTGCCAGTTCACGGGAGTTTCACCAGAGCCGGCAGGCCATCTACGTTTGCTCCCTGCTGGAGGAGACAGTTCCACAAGTTCAAGTGGAGCAGGATACGCTCAGTAGCTTCCATTGCTGCTCCAGCTTCGCAGCCAGCTCCTTGCAGCGAAGGGTCAGCGTGGCGAAGGGATCGTTGATCTCGGCAGAACCCCGTCCCCAGAGACCAGCGACTTACCTCCAGTACACCGAACGGTGTACCCTCTGCACTTTCCGACTAAGAAGGGGCTCTGGGTCGGGTGCGGGATCGTCAGGAGCTGTGAGCAGCGCCGGCGGAAGCAGCAGCACTCGCACCTTGACCAGCCAAACGGGGGGATCCTCCTCCTCGGCCACAGCAGCTGGAAATATCTCAAAGCACCAGCGTTGGCGAAGGAAATGGAACTGCTGCGCCTCGGTGCCAGATAGTCCCGATGTGCCCAACGATCTTCTAGCTGCCTTGACGTTTCGCGAACGCGAAGAAGCAGCCGCAGCAGCCAAACTGAATGCCCAAGAGCTGCCCATCCAGTTCATACGCACCCTGAACGGCGGATTGGATCAGGAACTGCCCCCAAAGACAACCACAACAGCTACTCCCACGCCACCAAGAAGCTCCCGACT